GACTGCCTTGCTACCGCCCGCAATCACTTTCTTAGTCTCCACCCCGCTGACCTCACCCTCACTAACTTTGTCGACACCCTGTCTATCATAGTGACCCGCCAGCGCTCTATCGCCCAGTCTAGCAGTACTCTGCCGGTCACTATCTTTCAGGGTTGTGCCCCTGCTCAATGTACTTTCTCTGGTGGTTCTGCTGCTATCGCTGAGACAGCGCCTGCTGTGGCGACAACCACCGTAGCGCAGTTCCGTCCGAGGAAGGGTCGCCGCCCCAAGGATGGGCACGGCGGCGGTAGTGGAGGAGGGGGTGGAGGAGGTGGTGGAGCCAGGCCGCCCGCTGGTAGTACGGATGAGGGGACTAGGGCTGGTGCCTCCGAGCAGCAGGACCAACAGCAGCAGCAGCCGCAGCAGCAACAGCGGCAGCAACAGCGACGAGCTGGTGGTCTCCCGCCCGTGTGGCTTAGCACTGGTGGTGGCGGTGGACGTGGTGGTCGTGCGTGCAGTGTGCCGTCGGGTGGTAGTTCGAGTGACGGGCGCTGTCAGTACCAGCTCCAGACCGGTCCTTGCCGTGGCTCCGTGTACGGTAAGATCGCTCACGCCCGCAGCTTTCGTCGCCTGGACGACCTGTTTCGTCTTCGCTTCGGCCCGTCGCCCGACCTCCCCGACAAGAACAGCTTGCTTCGACATAGTGTTCAGATCTTTGATATGGACATGGATGAGATTAGCTCTGCTTTGTATGTGCTGTATGTCGATGACTCTAGTGTGCCTGGTTCCTACTGCCCCTTGTTGCATAGTGTAGGTGTGCCTAGTCCGGCCTCCCCTGTTACGTCAGACATAGGATCCCCTGCCTTGTTTAGTCTTGGCTCCTCCCTTGCCACTCCGACCCCGGCCACCACTGCTGTGCTCTCCTTTACCCTGGACTCTGGCGCTTCTCGGTGTTTCTTTCGCGACTCCACTATGATGACGACGCTTGCCGCTCCCGCCGCAGTTACCCTTGCCGACCCCTCCTCAAGTCCGATAGTCGCCCGTAGCTCCACCACCCTTCCCTGTCCGGCGGCTCCTTCGGGCTCTCTTATAGTCCTGCACATCCCCTCGTTCTCTAGGAACCTAGTAGGTGTCGGCTACCTCCAGGACCTTGGCGTCACCACTACGTTTCCTGGTTACGAGCGGTACGCTGTTTGTACTGAGGCCGCCTATGGTGCTTCCCTCACCACGTTCCCCTAGGACCCAGTGTCTGGCCTGTTCATGCTGTACACCGCGCCCCCCCCGGTTGGGACTCTACCCAGGTGGCTGCGTCTACCCAGGTTGCTGCGGCCTGCTCGTGTCGGTCGCTTACTCACCCGACACTTCTGTGGCACCACCGTCTAGGTCACCCCGCGCTCCCGCATCTGCGTCACATGTCTCAGCATGGTCTTATTCTAGGTCTCCCAGAGTCGTTCCCTGAGTTGCCCTCCTCCCCAGCGCCGCCGTGCATGCCCTGCATCGAGGGCCGGCTCCGCCATGCCCCTCACTCCTCCTCGTTCCCCCCCACCGCCGCACCGCTACAGACCCTGCACATGGACGTCTGGAGCCCTGTCCATGCGCCGCATTGAGAGCACTACTTCCTCGTACTTGTCCACGACTACACGCGCTACACTATGGTTTTTCCCCTTGAGCGGAAGGCCGACGTGCCTGATGCTCTTATCTCGTGGCTGGTCTCTGCGCGTGTGCACCACGGTCTCCCAATCTTGCGTCTTCACTCCGACCGTGGTGGCGAGTTTGCCTTCGGCGTCCTTGGTCGTTTCTATCGTGCGGAGGGCATCACCCAGACGTTCACCCTGCCCGACTCCCCCCAACAGAATGGGGTCGCTGAGCAACGCATCGGTTTGGTTATGGAGGTGGCTCGTACCTCCATGATCCATGCCGGTGCATCCCATTTTCTGTGGCCGTTCGCCATTCACTACACCGCTCACCAGCTTAACCTGTAGCCGCACCCCCAGCAGCCGTAGGTTTCGCCGACCCTTCTTTGGACCGGGTCCCCTGGTGACGCCTCTGCGTTCCACGTCTTGGGCTGCCTTGCTCACGTTCGTGCCTCTGGCAGGGACAAGCTCACTGCCCGCACCGTCCCCTGTTTCTTCCTCGGTTTCCCCCTCGACTCGTGTGACTGGCACAGCGTGACTCCGAGTTACACTCCTTCGTCTTTTCCACTGCTTTTCTGAAGGGCAGCCTACACGAGCAGGTCTACCTGCGCCACCCTCAAGGCTTCACTGGTACCTTCCCTCCTGGGACCCATTGGCTACTGCGTTGCCCAGTCTACGGCTTGCGACAGACGCCCTGTGAGTGGCACAATACACTGCGTGCTACCCTTTCTGTCCTGCAGTTCTTTCCGTCCTCTGCAGACCCTTCGCTCTTCATTCGTGCTGGCCGGACCCCGCTCTACATCGTTGTTTACGTAGACGACCTGGTCTTTGCCACTGCAGATAGGGACACACTGGCCTCCGTGAAGGCAGAGCTGCTGAAGAGACACACCTGCACTGACCTAGGAGAACTGCGCCACTACCTTGGCCTCCAGATCTCGAGGGACAGAGCAGCGCGCACCATCACTCTCAGCCAATCACATTTGGTGCGTCAGGTCCTTCACAGGATCGGTCTTCAATTCTCCTCCTCACAGCCCACACCTTTGCCAGTAGGTCACAGGCTCTCTGCTCCATTTCCGGAGGAGTCAGCAGAGCCCAGTGGTCCGTACGCAGAGTTGGTGGGTTGCCTCATGTACCTGATGTCTTGCACTCGCCCAGATCTCGCATACCCTCTCAGCATCCTGGCTAGCTTTGTGGCCACAGGGAAACACCGACCACAGCACTGGTCGGCCGCTAAGACGGTTTTGCGTTATCTTGCAAGTACATCGGGCATGGGGCTAGTGCTGGGAGGACGCAGGCCAGTTGTCCTTACTGGGCACACAGACGCTTCTTGGGCAGACGACGCTGAGACCCTCAGGTCCTCGCAGGGCTACTGCGTTAGCCTTGGTTCAGGTGCCGTGTCGTGGAGAGCTACTCGCTCCTCGTCTGTTGCCCAGTCCAGCTGTGAGGCCGAGATCTACGCTGGTGCCATGGCGGCACAGGAGCTCCGCTGGCTGACCTTCTTGCTCACAGATTTAGGTGAGCGGCCTAGCTCTGCCCCGGTCCTGTACGCTGACAACAGGGCCATGATCCTCCTGTGTCGGGAGCCTCGACTTGAGGGCAGAGCGAGACACATCCAGCTGCGGTACTTCGTCCTGCACGAGCTACAGCAGCGCCGCCAGGCTCGCATAGTACACTTGGCCTCGGTGCGAACACAGCTGATATCTTTACGAAGGCGCTTGCGCCTAACGATCATCAGTGGTACTGTGTACACCTAGGTCGCGTTCCTGTAACCTCTCACTTGCTAGGGCCTTGATTATGTACAGACCTTTATATATATTTTACCCTGACTGGCCTTGTGGCCTCTCCCAGTGGCTGGACTAGTAGTGCTGCCCTGGTTTTGCTCTTGCTTTGGTTTGTACTGTACTTGTTTGACTGGTCTTTAGACCCTTGCCTCAGAGGTTGGACTAGTAGTGCCACTCTGAGCTGCTTGTCTCTCAACAGGCACTGCCTCTATCCAGTCTAGAGGGTGTGTCAAACACATTTGTGTGTGATGTTATAGACCATATAGCGTTGTGCCTTAGAGAGTACAGCCCCCTAGGTTACAATGCCTTGTACTCTCACATTCTAGTCATTCTTACAGTTTGATAGTCCCCTCTACAGTAGGATCCAGTAATGTAGCACATCTATCATGCCTAAACAAACAAATATATATATACATGTATATATATATATATATATATATATATATATATATATATATATATTTGACACCCTGCCACTCTGCCAGTCTGTTCCTCGCACACGAATTTTGCGATGAGGTGGCGTGATATAATGAGTTGTCGTAGCAAAATTTGTTAGGCCTTGGCATGCTTTCCAACGGAAAAAAAAAGGTGTGTATAGGGAATACCGGTATAAAAAAAACTTAGGGCAATTGGATTATATTATTTGGCACCCTACCCGGATAAACGCACCATGGTGTAAAATAAAGGGCGGGGCGTATGTCCGAGGGAATACGATATAGAATATGGGAAAATGGGTGTTAGTCACAAGCGCGGTATTGTAGTTACAGATGTGAACAAGCCTACCTGTCGTTTTTTTCTATTTGAAGTATGGCGGGTTATTGAAGTTGTCATATACCGTTTGTACATCGACTTTGTACTCACCCTACGAATGAAGCTTCTTAAAAATTTCTCATTATTGGAGTATGTGAACATGTTTTCCTGTGTACCTCCCTATCTTTATACTAAAATGCGCACAGCATCATGCGAAACAGATCTGATGCCAGCATTTTTCTTGCTATCAGGGGAATTACCCTTAATGTCAAAAAATTAAGAGTAAATTTTCAAGCAATCCATTTTTTTACAGTGCGAAGTTTCTCTGAATCCGTCCAGCTTACGGAATCAATTCCGCGCGATTCCTTAGCCTAACGAGTAACTTTTCTTTGAATCCGTACAGGCTATGCTTGTAGCAGGGAAATCTGTAGGGGGTAGCAACCGCCCACACTCCCCCCCCCCCCCCCGCGCCCAATCCCGCCTTTGATCACTTGCTAGCCGAATTTGTAGCGGTCGATTCCTTTCGGTAACGGGTTTTTTTGGGGGAATACCGTCTGTTAGCGGGTGATCCTGAGGCGATTCCGTCCCTTCCGGAATACCGTGCGGCATAGCAAGAGGCCTGGATGCCAGTCGAGATTGCGCGGTTTGCTGTAGCAGATCTACTGGAGCAAGTCTCACCTGCGGAGATGATGGTGAGGTTGTAAGTGAGCTGCTTTGCGTTCCAGAACGTTTTGGTAAGATCTAGAGCGGTTGCGTACGAGGTCATCTGACACACCCCGAGATGCGAGAGGTCTTTGCGTGGGGCCGATTTGGGGCAGGGTGCATATGCTTTGGGTGTTACCTCAGGCAGCAGCTCAGATAACATTTTGTTTGAGGTTGTGCCTTTTCTTACTGCGACACTCCCAATGGTCGGTGAGGGAGCCTTGCCTGGAGAAGGGAAGAAAGTATGTGTCACAGGAGCTTCTGGTAAATGCCTGTACTTTCGCCCAGCTCACTTACAATTTGAAGTTGTACATCGGTCTTGTCGAGCAAGGCATTGATGGTGTCACGTTCCATTCCTTAGTTGAGTGCAGGTTTTATTGGAAGCTATGTTGTCAGGCTTCTTCTCGATTGGGGGTATCACGTGAAAGGAACAGTTCGGGATGCGAACAGCGAAGAAAAGACATCATGGATTCGCGATCTTGTAAGAACCTGCATTAGCTGTCGTAGCGTCATTGATTGCTCTAAGAGCAGACGCAATGACATATTCCGTGTATGGCAGGCTAAGGGAAGGCCAGGGAAGCTTGAGCTATTTTCTGCCGACTTGAACACGCCTGGAAGTTTTGACGACGCAGTCGAGGGATGCGATTTTGTCTGCCACGTCGCTTCTATCGTCTGCTTGAAAGTGTCGGACCCACAGACGGTTGTGGATGTAGCGGTCGAGGGGACAAGAAATGTGTTCTCCTCCATCCTCAAGCATAAAACGGCAACGTAAGCAAGGCGTGAAACTTACTGTCGTATTTCCATTCGTTCACACTCACGACAACTTCTAATAGTATGCGCTCAAGCTGCTTTCCATTCGTTCACACTTGCGACAATATGTAACAGTGTGCGTTCAAGCTGCTCTTCTCTATCACATTTCTGCAGTTCCCGCCTCACTCCTCTCCCTCCGCTGCTTCGCTGGTTTCCTTCCCCTATGCATTCAGACGAGTTGTCTTCACCTCATCTGCAGCTGCAGTCATGGACTACTCCTCAAACCGAGTACTAACCGAAGAAGACTGGAACCAAAATTGGGATATTCATGATCCCTACCCGATGGGCAAGACTCTTGCAGAGAAATTTGCCTGGAAGACAGTGGAGGATTTCAAAGGACAAGCGTGGAATTTTGACCTTGTCACAATCTGTCCAACCATGGTGTTTGGTAAAGCTATGCGAGAGGAGCACGCTCGGACAAGCCTCAATGTATAGCATTCTGTGAAGCTTTCTGTTGATGACGTTGCTCTCGCTTGACTTCAGCTTCGTGTCCTTTTGGCATTTACACAGTAATGATTGTCGGGTTTCACGATGCAGGTGATAAGACAACTCATGGAGAATCGGTTGTTCCTGGCTCCAAGTTTGCATTTCAGCATAGTGCACGTTGATGACGTTGCACTTGCTCATGTGTTGGCGCTTGAGAAAGAGACTGCTAAAGGGAGGTACATATTGTGCAATGGGGACACCCTCAGCATGCTAGAAATCGCTGGTAAGTACTTTTTTTCTTACAACCTCGGCGTCACTCCTTTGCCCCGACTCTTTTGGTTGGCTGAACTACAAACGGTACGTCGTTAATTTCAAATGCAGATGTGATTCGGAAGAAATACCCGCGCTCCAATGTGCCCAGATACGCCATGCCAACATTTTTTATGTATTTAGCACCGCTTATCCTCCCTGGTACGAAGACTGCGATTGTGGCGCGGCATTTCCGCAACTCCCCTACATTCGACAATACGAAATCCAAAAAGGATCTGGGTCTGAAGTATCATTCATCAGAAGAAGCCATCTTAGATGCTGCTGCCAACTTCCCAGCATGTTGGGAAAATGGGCTTGCAAGTTAGGTTCACTTCTGCAATCTGTGTGGTGGATCAGAGCTTTACATTGCACTGGGTCTCTGTGTGGTGTGCTTTCATGTGCTCCCTGTTGTTCATACTACTACAGAAGAGCACCAGGCTTGCATTGAGCACCTACAGAGGTGAAGTATCAGTACAACAGACTTCCCAAATCACCAAGATACCTAACATTGGTAGACTGGTTTTGAAAAGTAGCCTGCTACTGATCCATCTGTTACTGGTCAGAAATAAGCTTCTGATGGCGGTGGCGTATGATATGCCTTGTGCATGAGTTGCTTTGTCTTCTCAAGCACTCCGAAGAAGATAGACCCTCCAATGCCAATCCACATGACCCGTGGGCCAATGCCCTGTGGGGTTGGAAAACGATGGTGCCATGGTTTGTGCATGGACTAAAGTGAAAACGGCGATTCAATGGTAAAGCATGCGACATTGCAGGAGTGGCATGTCACTCATGTCATGAGTGTTCCTGCTTGCGCCACTATACTCACCTTGAAAAGAGCGCCTGCGCCGTCCTGAGCAGCTGTCTTCTGAATGCAGTCTATGATGCCCTTATACTGCCCAGATGTGCCCTGTACTCAAATGCGAGTGTGCATTGGGAGAGTGGGAAGAAGAGACATGCACATATCGATCAGATTCTACGATCCTCCTCTGAGAATCATCTCCCTGACTCAACCGTGGAACCTTGAAATTACAAAAAAAGGAAGGGAAATAACATGCGTGAACAAAGTCATTCGTTGGCCATTACGTTAAAGCGAGCGTCTACGTTGGCGTCAAGATTCAATGGACCTTGAACCTCGCCAGCTTAGTTGCTACAAACGCGTTTGGCGTTTGAACGCTAGCGTTTGAACGCTAAACGCTCGGCAGTGTGTATGTGAACGCTAGGCAAACGCTTGCCCGGGCAGGGGTAAAATTTTTACACAGGCAGGGGTTCAAGATTCCTGTGGGGGAGGGGGGAAACATGTGGGTTCTACCAGCAGGCATTTTGTCTCATAAAAAAGAACCGTGCTTAACATTTAAGCCAGCATCCTCATATGTCATGTAAATCACCTATCCTTAAGGCTATTCTTCAACGACAATCTCGTGTTTTTTTGGGGGGCAGCCCGAAAAAAATCCCAGAGAGCGTTTGCGTTTTTGGGTGCGTTTGGCGTTTGCGTTCAAACGCAAGCGTTTGAACGCTAAACGGGTGTCTGCCAGAGCATTTGTAGCAACTAAGCTCGCCAGGTGTTTTCGTTTCGCCCTGACAAGGTTCAAGGTCCTTTGAACATTGACGCCATTGTAGTCGCGCGCTTTAATACACACAACTTAGCATGACGAACCTGAGTCATGAGTCGCGTCTTGATGACGTCCAGAGGAGTTGTGACAGCGCCTGTGATGGCACCTGAGACTGCCCCCACCACTGCCATTTCTGGATCCTTCAAATCCCGCTTCAACTGAAATTGGTGCACCAAAAGATATGCGCACATTCAAGATCCAACGAGCAGAAACACACAGAAAAAGGAGGCTGACATGATTGGTGAAAAGACGTAAGGGGAAGTTACATGAGAAGCTATAACGCCAACGAACCAGCTGAAATGTGCAGCTCATTGAACACCATGATGTGGAGCATCTAGGACTTAAGATGTATAGGACTGCCACCACGTGAAATTAGTAGCCAAGCGAGCTGAGAAATGTGGCTCACCGTTTTCTTGAGCTGGATCTTGAGCTGCTCGTAGATGGCGAACTGGATGGCATCAAATGGCAGGTCTCGCAGGAGGAAGGAGCCGTAGCCCTGCAAAACATTTACATTCGTGGAAAATAGTGCCAGGGTGAGACGTGTCACATGATCTTAAGTTGCTTAAAGCCCAGATCCCAAATTAGCTCACGCAAGTCAACGGGCAGAATTTGGGCTTGGCGGGTGAAAAAAAGCAAAAGTGTTATTGGGTGCGAAAATTTGATTCTGTTACGGCCAGGGTTTTGTATGCAAGCTGGGCCCAGTTTGATTTGGGGGGAGTTCAAGTTGGGCCAAATACGGATCTGACGGCTGAGACACAGGAACCCATGGAATCCCAATTTGTAAGCACATAAACAGCCGTCGATTGGAAACCTAGGGAGAGCAGGAGTTGGGTTTGGCAAACCCAATGGAAACTGCACGAATCAAACTGGGCCCAGTTTGCAAAGTTGAATTCCACCGTAGATATACCAACCTCGATTTTGCCTCTCACTGAGGCGAAGGGGTAGTTGGTTCTTTTTTTCTTGGGTAGTTCGCGAGCTCAGTCAGCATCAAACTGGGCCCAGTTTGATGCCTGCATAATTAATTTGGGACTTGGGCTTTTAAAAAAGGGGAGGGTAACATGTTTCATGATAAACACATTATGCATTCCAATTTCCACATAGCTCATAGATGCAAGCGCCACTTTAAGTATGTACCGGACAGAGCAAACACGAGAAATAGCTCTGCACGGAAGGAGGAACACACCACACCACTACACTGAGCATATAGGCACGTACCGCATAGAGGCCCCTGAATCCCTCCTTGGAGAGAATGGTCTTGACGGCATTCACTGCTGTAGGGAACTGCCCCGTTTGCATGCGCTGCTTCACAACCTGATGGGGGGTTGGGGGCAGGAGGACAGAAGAGAGAAATGGGAGCTCTGACAGAGGAGAGAGGGTGGTGTGGTGCTGGCGAGAGGGTGATGCTCTAAGAGAGGAGAGAGGGTGGTTGTTCGAGTGATGCAAAGCAGCCCCTAGACTGCCGCAGGGAACTGCCCCATCAGCATCATCATAGACCATCATGGATGGACACGACACATCATATGACACCATCATGGGCACGGCACATCACCACATACGATCATCCACATCGCACTTCAGCATTGGCCATCATGGACACGCCATACGACGGCGTCGTCATGATGACTTACCTCAGTGGGCACTAGAACGAGAGACACTGCTGTGCCTCCCGCTACTCCTGCTTCTTTGGATGACGTCACATGATGGCACATGACGTCACATGATGCCACATGGCGGCACATCATCACGACTTACCTCAGTGGGCACTCGAACGAGAGAAGCTGCTGTGCCTCCCGCAGCTCCTGCCGCCTGGACAGGGGGCAAAAAGGAGCAGGACGGACTGACAGGTCTTGATGCGCGACAGTATCAGATTTACACATATGCAGAAAATGAGCGGCGAACATAAAAGAAAGAGGAGAGAACAGAATTGGAGATGTATGGATGGAGAGCGTACCAGGTGAGCTGCAACGCTTATGTTATCGGGGAAGGCGTTCAGCAGAAAGGCCTTGACCGGCTCATACACGCCAATGAATATGGCCGACGCCCTGGAGGGAGCAAAAGGAAGAAAGTCGTAATAGGTTTAAGGGGAAGGGCGTTAGGCCGAAAGGCCTTGAGTGGCTCGTATACTCCAATGAAGATGGCCAATGCTCTGGAGGGGACGAACAGCTCCAAGAATCGCGTCTGATGTGGCCAGCATTCAGGGAAAGTTGGTGGAGAGGGAGAAAAGGACAACTCGTGGCAGCCTGTCAACGAGGTTGCCGGAGAGGCCGGAGTAGAGCCGCGTAAAGCTAACCATTGCGCATACTAGCTAGTTTCCATCAGAGATAATAGCGAGGAACCCAACCCAGAGCAGCGGGGAGAAAGAGCACTCACGGCAGCACGCCAACGAGGTTGCCAGAGAGGCCAGAGTAGAGCCCCTTGAAGTTGATGCCGCCTCCCGAGGTGGCCACCTGGGGATGGACGGCGGGCAGAGGGGGAGGATGGACGGCGGGCAGGCAGCGGGGGAAACAGGGAGGGTGAGAGGAGAGGGAGCACAGACGGCGGGCAAGTGGAGGGATAGGCGGACTTACTTGTAGCCCGGTTTTCATGGTTTTAGAAGGGTATAAAACTTACAGTACGTTTCTTTCTAAAAAAGAACTCCATATGCTTGCGAGCCCACTCTGTATGCCTCGCTCGGTTTGCCTACCTGCAGCCGGGTCTTGGTGGTGTCGATGGGGTACACGACATCACATGCGTCTATTTCCGAATAATCTATACACTCGCAGCCTCACAAGGTATGCTTTCCTCGCTTTGCCCACCTGCAGGCGAGTCTTGATGGTGTCAATGGGGTACAAGGCAGTCTCCACCGTCACACCTGCTGTTCCTCCGGCCACTGCTCCCTCTGTTTGGTTTGGACACAGAAGGAAGGGGTGCCAGGAAAGCGCGATGGCATGAGCATACACTTAGCAGACTCCAAAAAGGAGAAGAAAACTAGGGAATAGTGACTTCAGAAGAAACACACGGGAGCCTTTTTTTTTCCACCACCAGCCCAAAAATGGCATGTGCAGCGGACTTACCTAGAATTATCTGCGGCCAGCTCTTTTTCTTCTCCTCCATCTTCGCCTTCTTGCCTCCGCAGCAGCTCTTCTTCTCGCCCGTGGCAGCTGTAGCAGGGGTGGCTGTAGCGGGTGTGGCTGTGGCAGCAGCTGACGACACCAGCACCAGTCCGGCGAATCGGCGTGCGCCACGTCGACGGCGCTTACCGCCCTGCTCGTCCTGATTGGAGGCGATGCAGAGACCCGCGAAACCCGCCGCTCGCGAGCCAATAGATAAGCTCGCCTGAAATCAAGAAAGGGCACGGAAAACAACAAAATCGAGAACGGCATCTCGGATTGGTGGAAGAGGGAGAATAAGAGAACTATTTCCGTGCAGAAAATGAAGGAAGCGAGCTGACAGAAAAATAATGGCCAATGGCAGGAAAACGGTATAATCGTATAAATGGTGCGGCATTAAGTACAGTGATGTAACGGTCGGAACGAGGCACATTGTGAGCAAACAAAGCAGAATCAGCCAAGAGACTGTTGTTGCTCAAGCAGAACCGCGGTCAAGGATCAGGAGGTTTGATCGTGGCTTACCACACGGCTCATCCTGCAGCATGCACAGGGAGAGCAGCCGAGGGAAACAGAGGAGGAACAACAAACGGACGATTGAAGTGAGCTTAGACCTCGAAGAACAAGGAACCCTGCTCTACACGAAGAATCGAATGGTGAATTTGCTGAAAGATGTGTGAAAGTCGCCCTTCTACGGAGCAAATGACACCAGAGTTTTAAAATTAATCAAGTGGTTAATCGCAAACGCTGAAGGCCACGCGAAACGGACATTGCAGTCCAAACTGTCGTGCTTTCAGCTTTTTCTGAACTCTATTGTAATCTACGTCGACGTGTTTCTCAGCTTCCCTGGGATCGAATGTGATCGAGCCGTCTGCTATCATAGTATCTTACCATGCGGCGCCGCCGGAAAGATCCAGAGAACCCATATGTGTCGTCTAAGGGCGTGACTCCTGCTTCTCGGTACGCGGAAATCTGAGCCTCCCACAACCTGATCCTCCCAGCTAAGTCCTCTACAAGGCCAGGACGGCAGCAGAGATGGCGCGTTGAACTAGGCTTAGTGGAGGACAAGTTAGGTGACTAATTACAGAGAATCACTCCCACTGAATGAAGGCCTCTGATCAGCAAAAAGTTAGACTGGGAGACATCAATTGTGGGAGGCTCCCCTCCCTCCCTGGGCAGAAAGCTAGAGATCAGAGATGCGAGCAAGCGTCTTCCCGAGCCTATCCGATCAGTCAGCGAGCGATCCCAGGCAAAAATTCACAACCACTTTTGGTTGGCTTGCCATTGGTTCCCGAGAACACCTTTCAGGCTAGGCAAGTGTTCCCGTGCGTGATTTGGTTTGGAACCGGTCTGGGCAGAACCAAGTCGAGCCTGTGTGTAAACCCCGAGGCTCGGCCAGCCAAGTTCGTTGCACCCATGCAGTTGAGTTTGGAATGGCGGCACAATTGCAAGGCGACAGGCGGTGTGCGCAGCAAAATGTGATTGTGACGATTGAAACAAGAACGGGTGTTGCAGCATAACACTGTATCGTCAGCTTACCGTTTATACATCCACCAAGAGGTACAAGCCCCACGAGATTATGGAAAGTTGAACAAAACACATGGCTCCATCCAAAGAGTACTAATTACACAAATGTACAGCGCCACAAATGTACAGGGCCATAACAAAACCACCTAGATTCTTCTCATGAAAACGAAACTACTTCCTCATGAAAACGGGAGCAGTAGGATCATACTCCTCCGTGGCAGCCCAAGTGCGACCAGTCTCAGCAGGACGCTGCCCAGCAGTTCCGCTTGATCCTGTAAAAGCTTGCTTGATTGTCCCCAGGATACCTCCGCCTCCAGTCTTCCCAGTCCCCTGCTCCTGAGTACCATAGCCAGTACCAGTCCCACGCTCCTGGCCAGCACCATAGCCAGTGCCGGCACCACCCTCCTGCCCATAGCCCATGCCAGTACCAGTTCCGGCACCATGCTCGTACGTACCACCATAGCCCATGCCTGTGCCAGTCCCACCAAGGCCGGTGCCAGTCTCACCGTGACACTCACCAGCAGTTCCTCCTGATCCCGTCACAGCGTGCTTCACCTTCCCCATCACGCCCTCACCTCCGGTCCCCCGCTCCTGACCAGCACCATAGCCCGTGCCAGCACCACCCACGTGACCATAGCCAGCACCAGTACCAGTACCCGAACCCAGCTCGTGCCTCGCACCATAGCCGGTGCCAGTGCCAGTCTCACCATAGCCAGACTCACCAGCTGTTCCCTTCAATCCCGTCACAGCGTGCTTGACCTTCCCCATCACGCCTTCACCTCCAGTACCATGCTCGTGGGTACCATAGCCGGTACCCGTACCAGTACCACGCTCGTGAGCAGCACCATAGCCAGTGCCAGTGCCGGTCTCACCGTAACCAGCTCCCGTCTCTCCTTGGCGCTCACCAGCAGTACCCTTTGATCCCGTCACAGCTTGCTTCACTTTCCCCATGATACCTCCACCACCAGTCCCACGCTCCTGATTAGCACCATAGCCAGTGCCAGTGCCAGTCTCGCCGTAACCAGTGCCAGTGCCACGCTCATGCGCCCCTAAGCCAGTACCAGTACCCGTGCCACGCTCGTGGCTTGCACCGTAAGCACCAGCACCCGCACCAGCAGCACTAGCGCCAGCAGCAGTAGCGCCAGCAAAACCTGGTGTCACTCCATGCCCAGGCTGCTCTTCCTCCGCCTTGGAAGCATGTACCTTGTGGAGCACCTCTGAGAAAAAAGGAGGAGAAAAAAAAAAAAAAAAAAAAAAAAAAAACGTTAACAAAACCGAGGAATGAAGTATCAAGCACAGTTACATCTGGCGTTAAATCCAATCAAGATCACCTTCAGTGGCCTCCTGGCGTCGCTCGTGAGCAATCTCCTTCCTCTCCAGCTTCTCCCTCGTTGCTTCCAGCTTCCGCTCAAACGCCTCGTCGCGAGACTCCAGATTCTTCTCCCTGCAATGAATGAAACAAGTGTCAACAAAAATCATTCCGAAAGTAATAATAAAAAATCTATTTAAGTCACCTGTTCATGGGGTGCTTGAGCTTCTCGAACGTCTGCTTCATGTCGGCCTTAGCATACTCCATGGATTCCTTGAGCCCGGCCTTGGCTCCCTCCACCTTCTCCTTCGTGCCTTCCTTGACCTCCTGCATCATGCCCTTCATCCGCAAACGGAATCAAACACTGGGTAGTACCTCCTGACTCTGGCTGCGCTCCGCAGCTACCCGAAAGCTTTCAGAGCCTTCTCAGTTCAGCGCAGTAGCTCAGGTCACGCAACCTCGTCGCAGGTGCTCGGGACTACTAGTAGACCAATCAACGAATATGAGAAACCATCGTGAGCGAACCAGCCTGGTCCGCAAATTTCTCCAAAGCGGAAAACGCGAAGCCGAGGCGGAAATTGGCGAAGCTGGTTGCTCCATAATAGCGGCTCGGGGACTGCTTCGCTTGCTCCAGCTCGTGCTGCGTTTGCGCGGCACCTACTAGCTGACACGTGGCGAGAGCTGGTGAACATGCAAGGGAAACTAGTGCTGTCAATGGTGACTCCAGAAACACCCTGCGCGCATAAGAGGACTAAGCAGCAGGATCCAATGCCTCAACTTCTGAAACAGTGCACCACATTCCAGCAGTACACTTCCAGCCCTGTCCACAAGATTAACAAACGCTGTACCATAAAAGTGTCCTCAAACGCTGTACGATTGTGCACTGGAAAGCCAAACACCTTGCGATTTCCAGCCCACCGTGTATTTGAGTCCGGAATCTAGAGTGCTAGAAAGCGCCCACCGTGTATTTGAGTCAAGAATCTAGAGTGCTAGAAAGCCTAGGTTTCAGCAACAATTTGTAGCACCTATGAGGGTTACCCCCTACTTTGTATATTGTGCATACAGGCACAACATGTAGATATTGAAGGTTAGTTGAGTTTTCCTAGATCTATTTTCCTCTTTATGGCACGCTGACTGTGGTAGATGAAGGCATCAACCATCCCTGTGACGGTGAAAATGCCTGCATGGAAGGGAAAAGTGGAGCAGGCATCAAGAAAGGGAGAAGGGAAGTGGGAAGGTGGAAAAGTGGGGGGGTGTGGGAGGGGAGGGAGGGGGTAAGGGAATGGAGGATAAGGAGGATGAGAGGATGTCCGCAAGAGCACAAGCGCCGACTGTAGTTGGTTTTGCATTCTCAGACCAGCATACAACATCACGGGCTTTCTTTGGAGTCCAAAATCTGCTCACCACCCAACGATCGCGCACCATGACATTTGAGTCGACTCAAAATTCACCTTATCTGCTCGCCTCCCACAATGACAGCTTTAGAGTTGACTCGGAGGTCACCTCATCTGCTAACGTACCTCCCACGATGGCAGCTTGAGTCGACTCGGAGGTCACCTCATCTGCTTACGTACCTCCCACGATGGCGCACACGTTGGTGAGGAAGTGGAGGAATGATGTGTACCGTTCCAGGTACTGCACCTGGTGGGTCCAAGCACAGGCGGCAGGGGGAGCGGAAACATGCACAGAGATGAAGTAAGAACGCACAGGTAAAGAGGGTCCGGGGAATATTTTCACGGCATGGAAACAGCAACGTATAACCAGAACCAGCATGTGAGTCAAGCAGCAGGCCAGTGGCCAAGCAAAGCGGCAGAACAGCAGAGGAGCGGAAGAGCAGAGGAAGGGGCACTCGCCTTGATGGGCGAGAGGTCATAGAAGAAGAACACTCCCGGAAGCGATTGTTGGTCCTTTGGCCCTGCCGGTCGGAAGTGCTCCGTCACTGAGAACTGCATGAGCAGGACGGGATGAGTGCAATCAGAGGAATGTGATCAGAAGGATGTGGCATTGCTGGTCATCCGGCCCTGCTGGGCGGAAGTGCTCCTTCACTGAGAACTGGTGGGCACAATGGGATGAGAGTGGGGGGGAAGTTGGAGGGCGTGTTGGCATCAAGGGGCGACTTGAATGCCGCTCACACCAGCCCCTGCTGGGCGGAAGTGCTCTGTCACTGAGATGAGAACAGGGAAGGTGAGGAAAAGAGGGAGAAACAGATGATGGGGAGAGAGCCAGAGAGGAAAGCAAGAGAAAAGGGGAAGAGGGGTAAACCGGGAAGAGGGGGGGAGAGCCAGAGAGAGCAGTATGAGAAGTGCTCTGTCACTGAAAGGAACTGGCAGAGAGGGCGAATGATGGGAGGAGATGATAGCAGAAAACGATGGGAGCCACCAGGTAAATGAAGCGTATTGGAGGCATGTATGTATCTTACCTGGTTGGAGGCAATGCTGTGGTTGCGGGAGTCGGTGTAGACGGTGGGCACCACCTTGATGAAGTACTGGTACATGCCTGAATCGCTCTCCTGGATCCACTGAATCCTGTAGGGGCAATGCGGGGGGGGGGGGGGGGGGAGGGGATATCTGGAGATGTGAGAATATAAACACTGGTGGGCACCACCTTGATGAAGTACTGGTACATGCCTGAATCGCTCTCTTGGATCCACTGAATCCTGTTGTAAGGGAACGAGGGGGAATGAGGGAACGAGGGGGAATGAGGGAACGAGGGGGGATGAGGGAAGGGGAAGAGTGAAATAGAGTGGCCTTTTTAGCACCTCCGCATCACATTGTTGAAGCACTGGGGCAAGCCTGAGTCGCTCTCCTAGATCCACTGAATCCTAGGGAGAGGACAGGAGGGACATGGGTGAGAAACGGGCGATTTCAAACACCTCTGAACCAGCGTTATAAAGTACTGATGCATGCATGAGTCGGCCGACTGGATCCACTGAGACCTGTCGGGGGGGACCCGGGGACGGAGGGAGGGAAATGTGTGGAGAGACGTTATGACCTGTACAACAAGCCAAGCCAGATACCCCAAAAGTGGATCTTTCGTGTGAATGCATGCAACGATGAGAGCCATACAGCAAAGTCTCATGCTTCCACAAATGAGCCACAACCTCTCACAGGCGTTTATTTTGAAGGCATGTAGGACCTTACTTGTCCAGAGGGTTGACCGCTCCAGGGAACTTGGCACCAAAGGACAGGGAGTTGACTGTGTGGGATATCTGAGGGGGGGGAAACATGGTGCCATGGGACCGATGCGTGATTATGGCGTAGGCGTAATTAGCGCACCATGCAACATAAGCAGGTAGAATGGCTTACTCACCATGTAACCAACATAGGACAAGCCTCAGCAGTCACTCGCAGTGAATTGTTCACTGTCGTGTGGAGCATGTCAGTCATCCTAAGCTGTTCCGAACAGCCCACAACTGCTTCAAATTGGACTGCCTCACAATGCACGGTCTCCTATGGTGCCTGGGCTCACATTGAACACGGTGCCTGGGCTCACATTGAACACGGTGTCGTGGAACATAACGAGGTCAAAGATGGAGATGCCGGCCGTGTAGAACACCTTGGCAGGGGCGAAGTGGAAGTTGCCCGCCACCTTGTTCACCTGGGGGACAGGGGTCGAGTGTGGGGGGGTTTCAGTCTCAGAATGAGGAGTGAAGTGGAAGTTGCCCGCTACCTTGCTCACCTGGGGGACAGGGGGAGGAAGGCAGGGCGGAGGACGGTGTGGGGGGGTGGGTTGGGGATTGGGGGGGAGGGCGGGGGGGGGGTTGGGTGTGGGGGGGTTGCAGTCTCAGAATGAGGAGGATTGAAGTTGGGAGTTGCCCGCTATCTTGTTCAACTGAAGGAGCGAGGGTTGGTGAGGGAAGGGATGAGCCAAATGAGGGGTAATGGTACGGGAGAGTGCAGCATTCGTGAGAGTCACAACGCAAGCGAATGCAGAGAAAAGGAGTTTGACGAGCTCTCATGACACACCCACCTCCAACCCCGCAAGTGTTACCTTCAACGCAAGTGTAAATCTCCAAACAATTATTGTTACCATTCCTTCAACCCAGCAGATTTGCCTCCAGCCTAGTACACTCACCTCTAGCCCAGTGCACCTACCTCCAATACACCGTACATGTTGCACCCCTCCCCCACTTGCGCCTGAATCTTGTCTATCAGATCCTCCCTCTTGCACTATGCAGTGATCACAACAGGGGAGGGGGGTTGTGGGGGAGGAGTGGGTGGGCCACGGAAAAAGGGAGTATGCAACGCGCGAATGAGCATGAGAGAGGCGCAAGCAGAATGTGCCATTGGCGCAGGAGGACGGAATGGAGGTATGGTATGAGAGGATGGTGCAACAGGGAATCTGGTTAAGCTTTGAGTACGATAAGAAAGGGTGGAGAGGGCGGAGAGGGCGGAGAGGGCGGAGAGGGCGGAGAGGGCGGAGAGGGCGGAGAGGGCGGAGAGGGCGGAGAGGGCGGAGAGGGCGGAGAGGGCGGAGAGGGTGGAGAGGGCGGAGAGGGCGGAGAGGGCGGAGAGGGCGGAGAGGGCGGAGAGGGTGGAGAGGGCGGAGAGGGCGGAGAGGGCGGAGAGGGCGGAGAGGGCGGAGAGGGCGGGGAGGGCGGGGAGGGCGGGGAGGGCGGAGACGGCGGGGAGGGCGGACCTGTTCAATGGCGTCGGCGTTGTTGAAGGCCCAGCCTCGTTTGTTGTATGCCTCCCGCACCTCCTCGCAGTTGTTGCAGCACTGGTCGTCCGCCTGAACGAAGGGACAAGGGAAAGGGGGGGGGGGGTGTTGGGTGGTATACCAAAGATAAGAATGGCTGCTGAGAGGCCCTCACAACTCGCACCTCCTCACAGTTGTGGCGCACTGGTCGCCCGCCTGAAGGGGGGTGGGGGTGGGGGTGGGGGGTGGGGAGAGTGGCTGATGTAGAGGAGGTGATGTGAGACAGGAGAGGAGGAGGAGCGAGAGAAAGTCAGAAGAAAGTAGAGCAGAGCAGAGCAACGATAGCGCACATCAGCAGCAGCGCCTAGTCCTAGCAGCACGCACCTCAGCGGCGCCGTAGCAGCTGCCAGCACGCACTTCAGGAAAGAAAGAGCCCCACACGAGAGAGGGAGCGCACCTCAGCAGCGCCGTAGCAGCTGCCGCAGAAGTCCTGGTCGTCGGGCACCACGTTGCCAAACTTGTCTCTCTTCTTCAGCACCTCGCGGCAATCCTCGTGCTTTGAGGTGCTACAAAACCCTCAACTGTTATCCGATCCTATGATTGGAATGAATGCTCTTCATCCCAACCTCATTCCATCACACAGACCAGAAAGGAGCCCCACACGACAGAGAGAGCGCACCTCAGCGGCACCCTAGACCTGGCAGCACGCACCTCAGCGGCGCCGTAGCAGCTGCCGCAGAAGTCCTGGTCATCGGGCACCACGTTGCCAAACTTGTCTCTCTTCTTCAGCACCTCGTGCTGCTTCGCCCCGATCTCGTGCTTCGAGTCGATGCCCTCCACTGGCAGCCCGATGGGCGTCAGTCGCCGCTTGTAGATGTTGTGCACCTGAGGAGAGCGGGTGGTGTGGAGGTGGGGGGGAAGAGAGGAGGGAAGCGGACAGGGAATCGGGGGGGGAGGGGGACAGGGAAGCGGTTTCATATTGCCTTATTCCAAGCGTCGACTCGATGCCCTCCACTGGCAGCCCGATGGGCGTCAGCCGTCGCTTGTAGATGTTGTGCACCTGACAGCGGGGGGAGGGGGAGGGTGGGTGGGAAGAGGGGGGCGGGGGGGTTGGGCATGGGGAAGCGGTTTTGAGTTGCCTGAGTTCATTCTTTCAGTCGACGCCCTCCACTGGCAGCCCGACGGGCGTCAGCCGCCGCTTGTAGATGTTGTGCACCTGATGGGATTGGTGTGGGGGGGGGGGAGGGGAGGGGAGGGACAAGGGAGCGGTTTCGAGTTGCCTAATTCCGTGCTTAGAGTCGCTGCCCTCCACTCCATTGGCAGGCTGATAGGGGTCACCGTCAGGCGCCGCTTGTAGATGCTGTGTACCTGACAGGGGGGGACAGGGGTTAGGGTATGGAGGAAGGAGATGTCCCCTTGGCCGTGAGCTGCCGCTTGGGGATGTTGTGCTGTGCACTGCACGGTGCGCCTGCAGCGCCAGAAGCGATGATGGGGAGTTGCAGATGGGAGGATTTGCAGACGGCACAAGAGCCCCCTTGGACGTTGTCGGCCGCCTCTGCTTTATAATGAGCACCTGGGGAGGAGGGAGGGGAAGGGTGGGGGCGGGGGGGGGATAGGATGGGGTGGGGGAAAGTGAGGTTCAGCACAGAACGCGCACATGCAGCATACCACAAGCGCGTTGGGGATTTTTTAGTCGACTCAAGAAGTGAGGTTCAGCACAGAACTCGCACGTGGAGCATACCATAAGCCCGTGCAGATCGCACATCCAGATACCGACCGATCTGTTCGTTGACGTGGCGTCCGGAGACATGGCGGCTCCTGGCAGGAGGAGCGGCCGTTTCCTTGAAATCCTCGGGACATCCCCAAAATAAACCCGCTACTGATAACCATGAAAACAATCCACACCAGCACGTGCAGCGTACCACGTCCAGGTGCTGCTCGCCGCTGATGTCCATGGCGTCCAGCGATAGAACCGCACAGGACAGGCGGGGAAACGTCACGTCCAGCTGAATGGCAGATTGGGGGGGGGGAGGGGGGGGGGGGGGGCGAGAGAGGGGGAAAGAAACGGGAAGGGGGCGAAGAGGGAGTGGGTGCGAGAAGGGAACTGCTGAGTTCGAAAGGCGACTAATCCTTTTAAGAAATGGGAGCTGGAAAAGCTCACGTACCTTACCAAGGCATGTGATGTGCGAATAGTGGTAAAAAACAACCCGTTATTTTGTAATCTTCGTGGTCTTCGATGCACTCCGTGCACTCACATTGATTTTGAGCGTTTCTCCGCGAGATAGGTCCACTGAGAGCTCGTTGACGATCTTCGGCTGGAGGAAAAGTCCTGATTGAATCAAGTACGGAAATGAGGTAGAAGGAGGTTGTTTTTTGGCAGCAGAGAATACGGAATCTGTGGCTGAAACTTTGGCTAAGGACGACGGAAGCAGCAGCAATGTGTAGGATAGGAGGACGAGATGGGTAGTGAAGAAGAGAATGGCCATGACGACGGAGGAGATGAGCGTGGGGATGTTGAGGCACGGCGGAACGAATGAACATGCGTAGCTCCGTGTTTTAGGCGCCTCAGTTCGGTGATGAAGAGCACAGCCATGGCGACGGAGGAGACGAGCGTGATGATGTTTACAATCGGATGATCGCAAGAGGAGTGTCAAGTACCCGTTCGGAGCTCGGTGATGAAGACGATCGCCATGACTAATAAAGAGAGCGTGCGGATGCTTACGAAAGAGGATCAGGTGTACATACGGAGTTCGGTGACGAAGAGCACAGCCATGACGACGGAGGAGACGAGCATGAGGAGGTTTACACTCGGATGATCGTAAGCGGAGAAGCATGTACATACGGAGCTCGGTGATGAAGAGAGGATCGCCATGAGCAATGAAGAGACGAGCGTGCGGGCGTCTACGAACGGAGGATCAGATGTACATACGAAGTTCGGTGATGAAGAGTATGGCCATGACGACGGAGGAGATGAGCGTGAGGATGCCGCCGGACATGGTGCGACTGTAGAAGTCCTCATTGACCTTCGGATACGCGTCCAGCTGCCGAAGCTTCTTGAGGACCTCCATGACCACGCGTTACGCGTCACGCTTCTCCAATAGCCGGACTTTCTTCGAACGTTATGAAATGCTCACGCTCCTCCTCTGGCTGACCTTTCTTGTCAGACGACCAAAAATGCTCCTCTGGACGTTCCTCCTATTCTGGCTGGCGAGATCTCGAAATGTCCTCTACTCTGGCGAGATCCCTCCTCTACTCTGATCGGCCTTTTGAGATGTCCCGAAATGCTGACGTCCCTCCTCTGATCTGCCTCTCGGATATCGGATTTACCGTTAAAGTGAACGAGCTAGCTCCTAGAGACTATCTATGGCCAACTTTCAGCGTTATCGAAGGCTCGACATGCATGAGCGACGAGCCTTAATTCCTAACGATTTCAAGCAATCTCACCACGAGCTACTGTCTTTATCAAACAACCTTTTATTAGCTAAATCTTGCTATTAGTGACATGGGCTGAGTCAGCTAAACTCCCTCCGACAAGCCCCCCCTAGATACGACTACCCTTGCAAGAGGTCGCACGATGGTCGCGCTTTGGTGGAGCGAACGAAAAACACTCACCCCACCACGAGCCGAGCACTGGTGAATCAGGCGGCAATGGCGGCGTGTCACCCGAGAAAAAACAAATGGAGGGAGAGGAGAACAGGCCAGTCAAACAGTCACGGTCCAGAACATGAGCTGACCAGAGTGACTCAGCAAGGCAGCAGGCAAGGGGAAATCAAGGTGGCAAAACAAGACGACCAACCACAGAAGAGAGGAGAGAGCAGAAGCAGTGCAGTGGCAGCCTCGACCTCGATTCTAGAAGGAGAGGTTGGTTGAAATGGAGCGAACCACAGATGCAGAGCTACAGTCGATGCAGAATGGAACAGAAAGTTATCAATATCATAAAAAGCAACTACCATAATCCACTATATGTTTCATGTTTACTATAACCCCTCCACACGAACGAATTTTGCAGGCCACTAGTGCAAACGTGGCACTAGTAACTATTTTTCTGCGTACATGCAACAGGATTCCTCACTGCTATGGCTATTGTACAAGAAAATATGAGATGGCATTACTGCCATTTGGCAACCCATCCTAAGATTTACATTATACAATTCACGTGGCTGAAAACAGCCTGCAAGCAGCGCCTATACAATGGCTACTCGTACTAACTAACAAAATTATGCAAACCCAAACCCTTGTACAAGGTGGTCTGCGATCACAGTGTGCAATCGTTGCCTCATCATGGCCTTGGACAAATAGGGCGGCAGCACCAGTTGGTGGAAGCATGTATGGGCAGTCGGCAGATGTGCAGTGTCAGTCAGTGCGAGGTGAATGTGGAACCTGCAAACCATTGCACGGGGAAGAGAAAACATCCACCATCAAGCACGTCAGTTCCTCAATGCGACCATTGCAAGGAGGGAAGCATGAGCAACGAAGTCTGGAATGCAGGGTGCGACAAGACAAGATCATGCATACAGTAGCAGAAGCTTCAAATGCCAGGGCCGTACCTGGACTGCAGGCCTGCAAAGCCCGAGGCAGGGAGGCGCGTGATGGCAGTGGTGAAGTAGAGCAGCCGCCTGCGCTGGTCCTTGGTCATCTCCTCCACCACCTCCCAGAACCACTCAATCTGCAGGGATGAGGACACGGCAAGGGGGTGCAGCAACTAGAGTAAGACAGGAGAGAAGCAACAAGAGTACGCCGGGAAACAGCAACAAGGGCTCCTTAAAACAAACCCAGCTCAAACAGCAGAAGCACGAGATGAAGCAAGAGCCGCAGACAGCACTAGCAATCCATACACACCTCAGGATCTGTTGCGCGGTAGCCATGGTAGTCAGTGTGAGTGCGCCAGTCACCCACGTCGATGTCCCTCTCCTCACCATACAGCAGCGCCTCAAAGTCCCCCGCGTCCAAAGGCCTCAGCGCCTGCTGCATCACCCACCCACTCTCCACCATCGATACAACCGGACTTATCAAGGATGCTACAACCTGCGCCATTGGGGCTGCAACCGGCGCCATAGGGGCTGCAACCGATACAGCCAATGCAGCCGTAGTGGGCAAACTTGCAGCAGCAACAGCTGTAGTCATGGGAAGGACTTCTGGCAGGGCGCCTGTAGCACCAGCAGCAGCAGCTGTAGCAGCTGTAGCTAGAGGCACCACGACTGATGGGTGGCTGGCAAGGACTGCTGGGACAGAGTCGATCACCCCTTGCAACGCAGCTGCAGCTGTAGCGGCTGTAGCAGCAGGGGCACCTGCAGCGGCTGTAGCATGGGCAGCCATGACTGCTGGAAGAGCTTCCATAGCTGCAGGCAGGGCTCCTGGCCCAGACGCCCCTTGCAAGGCAGCAGCCCACAGGGCGGTTGCTGCTACAGCCGCCGCTGCTGCTGCTGATGCTGCTGTGTTCGGAGTGGCAGTGGGCAAGGGAAGGGAAGTTGCGGCAGGGGCTGTTACATGTGCTTGGGCTGCTGCTGTTGCTGCTGCTGGTGGTACTGCTGGTGCTGCTGGTACTGCTGGTGCTGGTTCTGATGCCAGTACTGGTGCCGTTGCAGCAGCAGGAGGGGCTGCGCGGCCCCATTGCTGCCCCCCTGTCTCTGCACTCCCTGGTGTGGCCACCGGCACTCGGCTGATCACGCCACTGCTGACGCCAGCAGGGCCCATGGTGACGCCAGCAGCAGGAATGCTGACGCCAGCAGGAATGGAGTGGGGAATCCGGACGGCGGAGGGGTGGAGGGCGAGCGAGATGGGGAGGTCGCGGCAGTGCAAAAGCTCTGAGAAGCCAGCAGCAAAGGCGCAGGCCTGAATGGGGTGGGCGGGGCAGAAGGAACGAAGGGAAGTTGTTCAGAAAAATGACGTTTTCCCCACTCCCTCCCTAGCCCCAACACACATGTCATGTCAGTCAGTCCCACCCACCCAAACACCCCCATCCCCCCCTTCCTCCTCCCCTCACGCTTTCACCCACCTGCAGCCTCGTCGGCAACACGATCCGTCTCGTCACAAGCAGAGCGGGTCAATCCCCCCACCATACCCCCCTCCCCCTTAAAACCACCCACACCAACCCCACCCTCCCCCCCCACCCCCCAACCCCGTTGCCACCCACCTGCAGCCTCATGGGCGCGACGATGCGTCTCTTGACGAGCAGGTCAATGAAGGCGTGGCGGTTGCTGTTGGTCACTTTGATGAACTCCCCTCCGGGGCACAGCTCCATCACCTTACTCTCCCCCAGCTCCTCCACGCTGCACACAAACGTCAGCCCCAACACGTCCGCATCCACGTCCGTGGCCGGCAGCGCCAGGATCGCTCTGCAGCTCGCAAACAGCTCCGGATCAATGTCTTTGCAGTCGCGCCACGTCACCTCCCGCCCGGCCAGCAGCTTGTAGAATGCCAGGGCGAAGGTGACGTCGAGATGGATGTTGTGCATGAGGGCTAGGGCGACGACGCGGCCGCAGAAGCGGAAGTAGGAGAGGTGGCCGGGGTTGACAGAGGAGGAGGGCGAGGGGAAGAAGCGCTGGTGGTCGTCCGGGCAGGCGGAGAAGAGGGCGTTTACCCCCGAGAAAAGCTCGCAGCCCACCAGCATGAACCATTCGCGGAGCACCCCGGCGCCGGACCCGTCCTCGTCGACGAATTGCACGAGGAGGCCAGCTTTCAGCGCGTCCGGGGGTGCATAGAAGATCTGGTTGAATGACTCATGGAGGAGGGACGCGCCTCTGTGCACCTGTAGGGTTGGCAGGGGAGAAGAGAGGAGGATAAAGAGAGAGAATTGAGCAACAGTGGGGCCGGAGGACAGTTAGAGGGAGAGTCATTGCCTCGACTGACACTGACTGTGCATGGGTCACCACGACCTCAACTCACTCTGCCTGTGCAAGGGCCATCACCTTGACTCACAATGACGGTGCATCGATTGGCGTGGTCTTCAGCTGGCTCCGGCAGCAGAGCCCCCATCCACCGCCGCTTCACATCCATATCGATCAGCTCCCTGTGCTCGCACACCCACGCCAGGTCCCCTCCCGGCGCCAGGTGCTGGTTCTGAATCACCGCATTCACACACCCCCGGTGCCGCACCAGTAACCCTACAAGCTGCTCCGCGCTGCCCTCCCTCCCCGCCCCTGCTGCTGCGGCGGCCAGGAGGTAGAGTCCTTGGAGCACGGCTGGGATGCACTCCCTGAGTGGCTCTGGGAGGAGGGAGAGGGCCATGCGGCCGACCAGGTCCGGAGGGGAGAGCGGGGCGAGTGGGGAGGATTGGGAGTGGAGGGAGAAGGGAGACGAGGCTGGGGGAGGGAAGGGGGGTGGGGGTTGGGGGGAGTGATGGGAGTGGTTGCGGTGAGGGGAGGTGTGGATGGGTGAAGGGGTGGCGGGTTGATGGTAATGGTAGTGGTGGTTATTGTGGTGGTGGTTGTGGTGGTTGTGCCAGGGTGGGCTGTGCGGGACAGGAGGAGCAGACGCAGTATGCTGGCTTGCGCCTATGGAGGCATGCGCTGCTACTGCTGTTCCTGTCGTGGTTGGGTGATATTGGTATGGGTGCAGCGCGGTTGCTGACTGGGATAGCTGTGCTTGCTGCGCTGCAGCTGCTGCTGCCGCCACAGCGGCTGCTGTTTCAGGTGAGTATGCAGGCGATGGGGCAGCAAAGGTAGGGAGACCACCGAAGTAGGGCCAGCTCGCAGCGAACGAGCCAAAGGGAGCAGCACCAAAGGGAGCAGCTGATGACGACAGCACTGATAGATCAGAAGCAGGGCCAAAACCAGCAGCAGCGGCGCCACCACTAGCAAAACTGCCGAAAATTGCAGCAGCGCCACCGCCAAGTGCACCGCCAGCAGCATCCGCGCCAGCAGCAGCAGCGGCAGCAGCAGCAGCAGCAGTACTGGCGAGCACAGCAGGCCCCTCTGTGAGTAGCAGCAGGCGCCTGGCAAACCGTGCTGACTCAGCCAGACACGCGTCCACGTGTCTCAGCACCGAGCCAAACACAGTCAGCAGCCACCCCGGGCGGCAGAACGCGGACTGGCGCACAGCCGGGCGGCAGAAGGGGAGCGAGAGGACGATGGCTGATGCGAAGGTCTTGAAGGCGGTGGAGGAGGAGGAGGTGAGGGGGGTGGTCAGAGTGTCGGATTTCGCTGCTGCGAGGAGGGTTAGCTGGTGCAGGCTTATGCAGAGGTCTGAGGCCGCCTGTATGGGGGACAGGAGGAATAGAACAGGGAACAGGGAAAGGTGAGAATGGAACTCAGCAGCTGGGAGAAAAAAAGTGATTATGGCCGGTTGCGGCTGTTTCCCGAGTGTGGCTGCATTTTTCTCTGACTGAATTTGAAGGGCCTCGAAACCCACCTTCTCGAGGAACAATGCGAGGCTGGGCACGAGCCAGTCTGATTTGCACGCACAGCACACACGGAAGCACGCCCCCACACAACGCACCCCCACACAGAGGCCCGCCCTCTCACCTTCTCAAGGAACGGAGCGAGGTTGCGCACGAGCCAGTCCGGCGAGCGGTTGAGCTGTGGGCAGAAGCGACCCAGCTGCACCTTGCCAAACAACTTCACCAGCGCGTCCCAACACCTGGAAGAGCATAGGAGAAGAGAGGGAGCAGCACGCGGAAGAAACGAGTTAGAGGTCTCAGGGGAAGAAGGCCCACAGGGCCGTGCGAGGAGGATTCGAGCAGCACCGGCAGCTCCATGAGCACAGGGCCCAGGTAGTGTGGTTGCAGTGAGTGATAGTGGTATTGGTAGTGGGTGCACTGGTGACTCGTGAGTGCACAAGCAAGCACACCCACACACCTGGTGGTGAGAGCAGGGCGGAGGCGGCACGAGTCGAGCAGCACGTGCAGCTCCATGAGCACAGGCCCCAGGTAGTCCAGCAGGGGGCGGGCGAATTTACCGGGGCACGCGTAGTCGTGCATGTACGTGATCAGGGCTGGTGGGGGGAGGGGGGATGTAGAAACGGAGGGAAACGGGAAGGAGGAGTGCGTGAGAGCAAGGCATTGTGGAACAAAACTTTCGAGTGACTGCGAGTGTAGTGTGCGTGTGTGTTTTTCTACCCATTCATCGAGGAAGCCAGTTCCCCCTTCTCACCTCGCTCGTCCAGGAAGCTAGCGACGGTCTGATCGGCAAACCGCATGTGGTGCGGCTCCTTCAGCTGCAGCAGCTGCACCGCTGCCCGCACCCCTCCTGCTAGCCTGTGAGGTGGAGAGACATGCGGAGGCAAAAAGGCAGAAATCAGAAATGTTGAGGGGAATTAGTATTTAAAAAAGAAGGGGATATGATGGAATGGCCAGTTCCATCTTAGAGGCTCATATCCTTACCATAAAAGAAAGCAAGGAACTGGACGCCTGAAGAGGCTCATGACAGGGAGTCTCTGCTGAATCCACCTGAAGGCATTGTTGACTTCACCTGAAGGCTTCGATGTATTCGGCCAATTTAATGGTCCAGCCGTCGTGGCCGCTCCGGATGGTGTCGACGGCGCGCACGTAGAGCTGCGCCATGGCGCAGTGGATCTTGTCCTCGTAGTACTTGCTCAGCCGCTGCCGCCGCCCCTTGCCGTTCGCCTGCCAGCTCAGCACCGCGCCTCCCCCGCCTGCTGGCACCTCCTGCTGTTGCTGTTGTAGTTGTTGTGGTTGTTGCTGCTGCTCTTGCTGGTGCGCTGCTTCCTGTGCCTGCTGCTGCGGCTGGGCTGCGTCTTGCTCCATGACACCACTGCTGTCGTCTAATTGAGCCTCCACGACTCCTCCTCCACTCGCACCTTCCGCTGCTGCTCCGCCCCCTCCCCCTCGCCCTCGCCCCCTCCCGCGCCCTCTCCCCCCCCCTCTCCCCCTCCCTCCCCTCTCCTCTGCACAATTGCACGCATCTCCGCCTCCTCCTCCCCCTCCCCTCCCCCCTTCCGGCACTCCCGCGCGCTGCTCTTGCAGGGGGCCTTCTCCCCCGTCTTCCCTCCCACTCCGTTTTCCGCCCCCCTTTGCGCCCCCCTCACCTTTCCCCGCGCCAGGGGGCTCCCCCGCGCCCGCGCCCACGGCCTCCAGGCGCTGCAGCTGCGCCAGTCCCGCCTCCATCTCCGCCACCAGCAGCCACACGTCCGGGAAGAGCGTCGATCTCAGCCGTCCGATCAGCTGCAGCGTTGCATCGTGCGGCACAGGCACGTCCTGCAGGCGAGCGGAGGTGTCGAGCTGCTTTCCGGCGTAGATGAGACGGTGCTCGTGAGCTGGAAGACCCGTTTTGCGCCTGTTGTGGGGGAGAGCGAAGGGGGGGAAACAAAGCGTCAAATCATCTGACGCTTGCCGGCGTAGAGGAGACGGTGCTAGTGAGCTGGAAGACCCGTTCTAGCCTGTTGGGGAGGAAGGAGCGTAGGGAAGAAACAGAGGATCGGTTCGTTGCTGCTTTCAGGAGCAGATAGGCTGATTCTCAAACCATGGTAGTGCTGACATGGCACTGGTGACGTGGCGATGCTGATGTCACTTACTGGATCTGCCACAGCACGTCATCCACGGTGTCCCTCGGCTTGACTCGCAGAACCACCGTGCGACTCGACTCCAGGCTCGTGCGAACCAGCACCTGCGACACCGCCGCCAATCGCGCTTGCTCCTTCCCCTTCGCCTTCCCCCCATGCACGGCGGCGCTCTTCCCGACGGCGCAACTGTCAGCATGGCTCTCCGCGACCGCCGGCGCAACATTCGTGGCTGTCGCCAATTCAACAGCAGCGGCAAGTCTCGACTCTTTCGAGGGGTCTGCAGCCACAGAAGCTTCCTCCATTCTTCCGTACGTGTCTTCTTGGCCTCCCTTCCGACCGGCGCTCTCCGCAAAATACGCCGCATCTGCCGCCGCCGCCGCCGCCGCGCTGCCGTCCACGTCCATCATGGCGTCGTTCTTCTCCGCGTCGAACAGTGACAGCGCCACGTCTTCGCCATCATCCCCCCCCTGCCGCTGCTGTTTAACCAGCTCCACCTCCTCCGAGTTTCCCGCGGCGTTCCGCGGCGCTTCTCGCGCCGCCGCATCCTCCGCTTCTCCGAGTCGCGCATCCATCCCCGGTCCTCCCCTCTCCTCCTCAGACGCGTCGCTCTCCGTCGTCTCACTCCCCTCCTCCCGTCCTCCCTCCGACCTCCCACCCTCCTCGGGTTGATTTGACGCTGACGGGAAATTTCCCTCCGCCGTCTTCTTGTGGACTCTCCGTCTACGTTTCCGTTTATTCATCTCCGCCTCCTCGCTGCTCGCCTCTGCCTCCCACTTCTCGCTCGCCAGCGCGCCTGCCGCTGCGGCAGCTGTAGCCGCTACAACCGCCGCTGCTTCCTCGCAGATCGAGTCAATCTCCTCCGGAGTAAATTCCGTCGTTTTGTCCTCTGTTACTCGAGAGAATCCCGCCGCCTCTTCCGCCGCAGCAGCCGCGGCGTCAGCAGCTGCCTCCGCTTCCGCTGCTGCGACAGCCTCTTCTTTCTGCTGAGACCCGGCTACGACGCGAGCCGCCATTTCTTGGGACACAACTCCCGGCGGCTGGATCAGCTGACGGGCATTTATTGACGGCGATAGCGGTTGCGGCGTGCTCTCGTGGTCTTCGTGAACTGTCTCGGGTTTTGATGGAACTCCAACAACGCAAGGACTGTCCTGCGAGACGCGAGGAAAGTCCTTCTCACGAGGAAAGTCCTTCTCACGAGGAAAGTCCTTCTCACGAAGAAAGTCCTTCTCACGAAGAAAGTCCTTCTCCCGAGGAGAAGCGAGGACTGGATGTGATGATGATGTTGTGATTTGGTCGAACGGACAGTTAGAAGGAGCTGCTAGGTTCGTAATAGAGCCGTTGATTTCGGGACGGAAATCCTCCTCTTCCCCTTCTCTCTTGCGCTTTCCTCCTACAGCCATAGATAGAGAGGGTGAGTTCTCCATCTAGAAATAACAAAGATGAAACTCGTAAATCTGCCGCTGGAATTAGCCAGTGGAGGTTTTGATATTACTTAACAGCTAGGATAGCTGCTCGACAGGAAAATTGGACTAAATAGACGGTCCGATGATGAATAAACGGTCAGCTTGAACATTAGGTGTTCTGAAACGGTTTGAACGAACCGGTTTGAGTGGAACTGTGTGACGATTAGTGATCAGTGCTCGAGCTTGAGCTAATCTGTTCCGTTTTGAGGGAGCTTGAAGCATTTTCGGCTGGGCTAATCATCAGCTGGTCATGGAGCATTTCGGTGGTTGCGTGTGGTATGCTGCATACAAACTCGGAATATGGAATCGGAAACGGGAAGAAAGCAGCACTCACAGCAAGCGAGCAGCCTCGAGTTTTCCTGCTCTCGCAAGTCTCGAGGTGGCGGAGGAAACTCCCGAGGTTTGGTGAGGTGGGGAGGAGAGGGGAGGGGATGGGAGACAGCTGAGGAGCGGAAGTTGGAACCATCGGAGGGGCGAGAAAAGGTGGTCCGCGGAAAAGGGAGGACTGGTGGGGGAAGACTTGTGGTGGAGAATCGCTCATCGAGGCGCGAAAATACCCCATTTCCCCCAACAAGACCTGGCGCGGTGATGATGGGGCGGAAGAAAGCGGAAAAAGGGCAAGAGGTGTGTCGGTCCTTTTTCTGACGCGCCTTGGAGCTTTTTTCTTGAGCTGACGTGTTTGCCGGTAGCAGGTGGGAAATGGGCAGATCGATCATGTTGGGGCGGATGCCAGCTCGTTGGCGGGGCTTCCGGGGAACCTGGGGAAAACGAGGCTTGAGGGGGAACTCGTGGCTGTGAGCGGCTGTTGAAGGCTCAGTCAAAACCGTATCCACAAAAACACTTTCAGCTGCCCACTTTTCCACGTCGGCTGCAGTGGGATACTCCCTGAGCAACACTGGTGGTTGAGGGGCGTTGAGCACCATGAAGCAGCCATGTGCAAAACTGGAGCTGCCATCACGTGAAGAGCCACCCCAACGTAGATTCAATTCGACAGCGAACGCCAGCGTGGCTCGTTTCTGGCCCCGTGTTTCCCAAGCCTTCAACAGATGCACAGGGAACATGGAAAATAAAAGTTCCGCGCTCAATCTACGTGAGGTTTGTGGCACAGAACTGCCGAGATGCAAAGATCTACAGTAAGATCGGAAATTTGAGGCGAAAATGGTCTGTGCTAGATTGTAAGTCAGGGTGGGTGGTTGAGAGCCGCTTCTCCCACGCGTGCCACAAAAAGTATCCCATCTCGTGGACCACATCTTCCCGTGGTAACAGTGCCTTGCGCGTGTCAAATATGGCAGTTCTTGCATCGATGTAACGAGATATGTTGTGTTACATATTCTGAGCTTCTTGTCACGCTCAAAGCTTATATCATCCTGCATTGTTTCTATGGAGTCTCCTCTGCAAAGCAGTAAAGAGTTGAGCACAAGGGCACCTCAGTATGAGCTGTACCACACCACTAGTTCTCCGGCTATTCACGACTTCCGCAAGTGGAGAATGAAGCAAAACGAAACGACACTGCTTTGAAAGACCAACAGGAGCGCAACAAACAGCAGACATCTCATGGAGGGGCCACAAGCAATGACGACCAATGCGGGCGTATCATCCTGACATTGGTGAAACCAGGTAGTAATTGAGACGAAGTAAATTATTCATACGAAGAAAGCAAACCTGCTCGACTATTGACTTTCCCGGGTATCTGAGTCACCAATCAAACCAGTTAGCGGGAAGGATCACTCCTTCCTAACTCAACCACTCAACCACTCCACCTCCTTCCCTCCCTCCCCCCCCCCATCCTCCCCAAAAAAGGAACCCAGCAAACATTAAACCCCAACCCAACACACACACAGCCATCTAAAAAGGAACTATTGGACGCCTTCTGCTCCATAAGCTCATCCAGATCAAGCACCCCACAAAATGACGCTAGCGAACCAGTTGTCTTGTCGGCCTGGTCTGGTCGCTCTTGTTGACAGTGGGCACGGGATGCACTGTGTGCTCGTGGAGATTCGCTGCCCAGCGCACTCACTCACTCTCTCTCTCTCTCTCTCTCTCTCTCTCTCTCTCTCTCTCTCTCTCTCTCTCTCTCTCTCTCTCTCTCTCTCTCTCTCTTCAAAAAGTATTGTTGAACGCCTTTTGCTCCATGCGCTCGTTCCAATTCAGGCATCTGACCAGGCTAGCGAACCAGTCATCAGTCTGATCACTCTTGTTGACGGTCGGCACGGGGTGGGCACTCATGGAGATGCGCACCGAGTCCCCCCGCGACAGCTGCTGCCGCTTCTTCCCGTCGAAGGACACCCAGCAGTTGCTGCGCGCGTCAGCCGGCACCTGAAGGGGTGGGAGAGATGTGTGCAAGAGAGGGGAGGGCGCAGAGGCAAGGGGAGTGCCTTGAGCACCAGTCAAGCTTCTTCCCCTCAAAGGACACCCAGCAGTTCCTGCGCGCGTCAGCCGGCACCCGAAGGGGGGTTGGAAGGCAGGAGAGGGAGAGAGGGAGTGAGGCGTTGAGGCAAAGGGGTGTCCAAAATAGCTGCCAGCCGATTAATACCCAGCAGTTGCTGCATGCATCAGCTGGCACCTGAAGGGGGGTTGACAAGGGAGTGAGGGGGAGAAGCAGAGAGGAAGTTGTGAGGAGGAACATGCGAGGAGGAGAAGAAAATGGCGGCAGGGGTGGAGTACAAGTCATTACGACTTGCAGAAGAACACGTGGAAGGTGTACTAGGTGAAGCCATACATGGAGTTCAGCAAGAGGTTAGGGAAGAGCTCTGGGGTTTGCAGGGGGGACTCACTCTGAGCTCGAGGATGGCAGAGTCGGGCAGAATGACGGGGTGGATGGAGAGGGAGTGTGCAGGCAGATGGGCGAGTTTTGAGCCAACTGAAGATGAACTAACCCTCGGTCCTACAATTGCAGAGATGGCTCTTGAGTTTTCAACAGGCGTGTGGAAGATGGACTCGCGAGTTGTCAACCGGCGTGTGGAAGATGGACCCTTGAGTTGTCAACAGGCGTGTGGAAGATGGACTCTTGAGTTGTCAACGGGCGTGTGGAAGACAGACTCTTGAGTTGTCAACAGGCGTGTGGAAGATGGACTCTTGAGTTGTCAACAGGCGTGTGGAAGACGGACTCTTGAGTTGTCAACAGGCGTGTGGAAGACGGACTCGTGAGTTGTCAACAGGCGTGTGGAAGACGGACTCTTGAGTTGTCAACAGGCGTGTGGAAGACGGACTCTTGAGTTGTCAACAGGCGTGTGGAAGATGGACTCTTGAGTTGTCAACAGGCGTGTGGAAGATGGACTCTTGAGTTGTCAACGGGCGTGTGGAAGACAGACTCTTGAGTTGTCAACAGGCGTGTGGAAGATGGACTCTTGAGTTGTCAACAGGCGTGTGGAAGACGGACTCTTGAGTTGTCAACAGGCGTGTGGAAGACGGACTCGTGAGTTGTCAACAGGCGTGTGGAAGACGGACTCTTGAGTTGTCAACAGGCGTGTGGAAGACGGACTCGTGAGTTGTCAACAGGCGTGTGGAAGACGGACTCTTGAGTTGTCAACAGGCGTGTGGAAGACGGACTCTTGAGTTGTCAACAGGCGTGTGGAAGACGGACTCGTGAGTTGTCAACAGGCGTGTGGAAGACGGACTCTTGAGTTGTCAACAGGCGTGTGGAAGACGGACTCTTGAGTTGTCAACAGGCGTGTGGAAGACGGACTCTTGAGTTGTCAACAGGCGTGTGGAAGACGGACTCTTGAGTTGTCAACAGGCGTGTGGAAGACGGACTCGTGAGTTGTCAACAGGCGTGTGGAAGACGGACTCTTGAGTTGTCAACAGGCGTGTGGAAGATGGACTCGTGAGTTGTCAACAGGCGTGTGGAAGACGGACTCTTGAGTTGTCAACAGGCGTGTGGAAGATGGACTCGTGAGTTGTCAACAGGCGTGTGGAAGACGGACTCTTGAGTTGTCAACAGGCGTGTGGAAGATGGACTCGTGAGTTGTCAACAGGCGTGTGGAAGACGGACTCTTGAGTTGTCAACAGGCGTGTGGAAGACGGACTCTTGAGTTGTCAACAGGCGTGTGGAAGACGGACTCTTGAGTTGTCAACAGGCGTGTGGAAGACGGACTCTTGAGTTGTCAACAGGCGTGTGGAAGACGGACTCTTGAGTTGTCAACAGGCGTGTGGAAGACGGACTCGTGAGTTGTCAACAGGCGTGTGGAAGACGGACTCTTGAGTTGTCAACAGGCGTGTGGAAGATGGACTCGTGAGTTGTCAACAGGCGTGTGGAAGACGGACTCTTGAGTTGTCAACAGGCGTGTGGAAGACGGACTCTTGAGTTGTCAACAGGCGTGTGGAAGACGGACTCTTGAGTTGTCAACAGGCGTGTGGAAGACGGACTCGTGAGTTGTCAACAGGCGTGTGGAAGACGGACTCTTGAGTTGTCAACAGGCGTGTGGAAGATGGACTCGTGAGTTGTCAACAGGCGTGTGGAAGACGGACTCTTGAGTTGTCAACAGGCGTGTGGAAGACGGACTCGTGAGTTGTCAACAGGCGTGTGGAAGACGGACTCTTGAGTTGTCAACAGGCGTGTGGAAGACGGACTCTTGAGTTGTCAACAGGCGTGTGGAAGACGGACTCTTGAGTTGTCAACAGGCGTGTGGAAGACGGACTCTTGAGTTGTCAACAGGCGTGTGGAAGACGGACTCGTGAGTTGTCAACAGGCGTGTGGAAGACGGACTCTTGAGTTGTCAACAGGCGTGTGGAAGATGGACTCGTGAGTTGTCAACAGGCGTGTGGAAGACGGACTCTTGAGTTGTCAACAGGCGTGTGGAAGATGGACTCGTGAGTTGTCAACAGGCGTGTGGAAGACGGACTCTTGAGTTGTCAACAGGCGTGTGGAAGATGGACTCGTGAGTTGTCAACAGGCGTGTGGAAGACGGACTCTTGAGTTGTCAACAGGCGTGTGGAAGACGGACTCTTGAGTTGTCAACAGGCGTGTGGAAGACGGACTCTTGAGTTGTCAACAGGCGTGTGGAAGACGGACTCTTGAGTTGTCAACAGGCGTGTGGAAGACGGACTCTTGAGTTGTCAACAGGCGTGTGGAAGACGGACTCGTGAGTTGTCAACAGGCGTGTGGAAGACGGACTCTTGAGTTGTCAACAGGCGTGTGGAAGATGGACTCGTGAGTTGTCAACAGGCGTGTGGAAGACGGACTCTTGAGTTGTCAACAGGCGTGTGGAAGACGGACTCTTGAGTTGTCAACAGGCGTGTGGAAGACGGACTCTTGAGTTGTCAACAGGCGTGTGGAAGACGGACTCGTGAGTTGTCAACAGGCGTGTGGAAGACGGACTCTTGAGTTGTCAACAGGCGTGTGGAAGATGGACTCGTGAGTTGTCAACAGGCGTGTGGAAGACGGACTCTTGAGTTGTCAACAGGCGTGTGGAAGACGGACTCTTGAGTTGTCAACAGGCGTGTGGAAGACGGACTCTTGAGTTGTCAACAGGCGTGTGGAAGACGGACTCTTGAGTTGTCAACAGGCGTGTGGAAGGTGGACTCACTCTGAGCTCGAGGATGGCAGAGTCGGGCAGAATGATGGGGCGGAAGGAGAGCGAGTGCGGGCAGATGGGCGTGAAGAGCATGCAGGGCACGTTGGGGTGCACCTGCGAGGAGGTGGGAGGGCGGGGTGGGAGGGTGGGAGGGGGGGAGGGGGGAGGAGGGGGGGAGGGGGGACGAGACGGCTAGAAAGTGAGGCATGCAGGGTGAGGGGATGCATGCAGGGCGAAGGGATGCATGCAGGGCGAGGGGATGCATGCAGCGCGAGCGGATGCATGCAGGGCGAGGGGATGCATGCAGGGCGAGGGGGTGCATGCAGGACGAGGGGATGCATGCAGGGCGAAGGGATGCATGCAGGGCGAGGGGATGCATGCAGCGCGAGCGGATGCATGCAGAGCGAGGGGATGCATGCAGGGCGAGGGGGTGCATGCAGGACGAGGGGATGCATGCAGGGCGAGGGGATACATGCAGGGCGAGGGGATGCATGCGGGGCTTGCAGGGCGAGGGGGGACGAGACGTTGGGATGCACCAGCGAGGGGCGGGAGGGCGGTGTGAGGGGACAGGGAGCGATTAGGAGAGGAAAGGTAGAGGAAGGAGCGATTGATAGAGAGGCAGAGGGGTGAGGAGAGACGAGCGAGAGAGGGAAAGACGGAGAGGCGAGGGAGGGAGAATGAATGAGGAAAGGGGTGGACAGAGACATGACACTGGAGGGAGAGGAAATAGGTAGTGCGGAACCAAGGTGAAGCACACATCCACATGCACACGCCCACACACCCATCCACACACCCCTCCCCCCACGCACCTGGAGCCGCCAGCAGCAGTGGAGAATGCCATGCTTCCCGTGGGTGTTGCCACTACTGCATTGACATCCTTACCATCGCCTCCACACACAGACATGCACATGCACACGCACACACACACACACACACACGCACACGCACACACACACACACACACACACACACACACACACACACACACACACACACACACACACACACACACACACACACACACACACACACACACTTGCACCCAACCCCTCCACCCCCCCCCTCTTCCTCCCCCCACCCACCATGGAGCCGCCAGCAGCACTGGAGTATGCCATGCTGCCCGTGGGTGCCACCACTACTGCCTAAACAGCCTTACCATCGCCACCAACCCCTCCCCCTTCGCGCCCCCCCCACCCCCCTTCGCCCCCCACCCCCACGCACCATGGAGCCGCCAGCAGCAGTGGAGTATGCTGTGCTGCCCGTGGGTGTTGCCACTATCACTCCGTCCGCTTGCACCTGAGGCAGACGCGTGGGAGAAGGCGGACACAGGGAGCGAAGTTTGAGAGAAGCGTAGACTCTCCATCAGCACGTGTAACACCCACTCCCCCACACTTCCCCATACTGACGTGGTGTGAGTGAGTCGACTCAATTTATGTTGGAACCCAATCCTTCATGCCTACCCTGCCCTGCCCTGCCCTGCCCTGCCCGCCCCACTGACCTTGCTGCGCTCGTAAAACTCGATCTTGCAGAGATAAGGATAAGAGTGTGTGTTGAAATGACTGGCACAGTGTGTATTAAAATTACTTAAAAGTGACCGTTACAGTGCGTACCTTGGTGATGAGCTTGCTGCGCTCGTAGCACTCGATCTTGCACAGGTACGGGTTGGACCCACGATCCACCACCACCTCGTTCAGCACGTCAAACACCTTCCCGGGCACGGGCCGCCCGCCCTTGACCAGCTCGCACTTGAGGCGCATCCTCAGCGTGATGTACACGCCTGCCGTCTGCTCCTGCCCATGGATCACCGCCTTTAGGTCCTGTCTGAACTGCTCGTACTGCAGACAACAAGAGAGTGTGTGGGGCAGGGGGGGTGGGGAAGGGAAGATTCCACTTGAGCCTTATCCTCAGCGTGATGTAAACGCCTGCCGTCTGTTCCTGCCTGTGAATCACCGCCTTCAGGTCCTGGCGAAACTGCTCGTACTGCAGACAGTGAGGCGCTTGCGGTGCTTGAGGCGCTTGAGGGCACTTGAGGAGCATGCGCAGCGTGGTGTGGTGTATGTACATGCCTGCCCGGTGGTTTTGAGAAATAAAAAAAACAGCCTGCCTTCCGTTTTTTTTCCCTGCCCGTGGCGAAAGCAGAATATGTTGGACGCATGTATGCGAGCAGGCATGCATAACCGGGAATATCAGCCCTTTCTTACCGGGTGCGCAGTGAGGAAGCCCAATGACCCGAGGTTGAAGGAGACGATAGGGGGTACAGAGGCGCTGAAGATGTTAGACGCATGCAGAATGACCCCGTCGCCCCCCAGGCACACCACGAAGTCCACCTTCTCGTGCAGCTTGCTGGGAAGTGAAGGGGAAGGGAGGGGGAAGGGAGGTGGGAGGGGGGGGGGGGGAAGGGAGAATAAGAGGTAGGCGAGAGAAGAGGAGAGCCTGCCAAGGAGATTCAGCAATGACCCCCCCCCCCCGCCCCCCCCCACGACACACCACGAAATCCACCTTCTCCTGGCTGCTGTGATCGCTGCTGTCCTGGTTGTAGGAACCATCTCCCATCCCCTGGTGTCTTGGCCGTACTGCCTACCCTATCACCTGGTGTGCTGGCTGTACCTGGTGTCCTGTCTGTAGCAGCTACTACCTGATCCTCTCACTGGTGTCTTGGCTGTAGCATCTAGTACCTAATCCTCCCACCTGGTGTCCTGGCTGTAGCAGCTAGCATCTTTGCGCCCCCCGCCTGGTGTCCTGGCTGTAGCAGCTAGCATCTATGCGCCCCCTACCTGGTATCCTGGCTGTAGCAGCTAGCATCTATGCGCCCCCCACCTGGTGTCCTGGCTGTAGAAGGTCTGCAGGAAGCCGAAGCCGGGCATGCGGGAGAGCGTGTCGTGCAGCTCGGGCTCCACCATCACGTTCATGCCCTCCTCGCCGTGCATGAACCGCGCCACCTGGTGGTGGCGGGGATGCCAATAACGGGGATGGGATGTCAAGTGAGTGGAGGAGAGCCCAGCATGACAGCAAGGGAGAGCGTGCCGTGCAGCTCGGGCTCCACCATCACGTTCATGCCCTCCTCGCCCTGCATGAACCGCGCCACCTGTCCCCCATGCATGGGCAGGGCATGGGCAGGGCATGGGCAGGGGATGGGCAGGGCATGGGCAGGAGATGGGCAGGGGATGGGTGCGGAGGTGCAGGGGATGTGAGGTGAGTGGGGGAAAGCCTGGCAGGTCGTGCAGCTCGGGCTCCACCAGCACGTTCATGCCGTCGTCCCCGTGCATGAACCGCGCCACCTGTCATGCCAGTAACGGGTATGCCCAGTAACAAGGATGACAATGAGGGGGATGCCAAGGAGGGGCAAGAGTAGCAAATGAGGGATCCATCAGACACATCAGCATCCGATGCTGCTCACTGTCTCTCACTCGATCTCACACCCTCCCCGTCGCCCTCGCACTCACCTCCATGGCTTCACTCATGAGCTCCGTCCCCAGCTTCTTGAGCAGCAGCAACGTCCTGGGTCTAGTGCGCCACATGAGCATCTGCTGCTGCGTGCTGGGGTGCGAGAAGGCCACATACACACCATCACTCTCTCACACCCTCCCCGTCGCCCTCGCACTCACCTCCATGGCTTCACTCATGAGCTCCGTCCCCAGCTTCTTCAACAACAGGACCGTCCTGGGCCGGGTGCGCCACATGAGCATCTGCTGCTGCGTGCTGGGGTGCGAGAAGGCGAGCGTGGACTGGGTGACCTTCTCCCTTGTGCAGCTGATGCCGTCCGTGCGCACCAGGTACATCTCCGCCTTCTTCCGCGACTGCACACGCACCACCCCCGTGGCTGACGCACACATGTCGCCGCCCAGGTACTCCCCTTCCGAGTCGCTGCTGCTGCCACTGCCCGCATCCTCACTGCTGGTACTGTTGCTGGCGTCCCTGGTGCTGTTGCTGCTGGGGGCGTTCGTCGTGTTGGGTGCAGCGCGGGTGCTATCTGACCCGCCCTCGCTGTCGTTCTCACTGTCGCTGTCGCTGTCGGTGTACACCCCACTTTCGAGAGAGAGAATGCCGCCTGACACACTCGGAATCATGCTGCTCATGCCGCTTACGCTCTCGCTGCCGCTGCTGCTGCTGCCATTTCCCGTTTCCAGCCATCCCTCCGTCGCTCCAGCAGCAGCAGCAGCAGCAGCAGCAGCAACAACGGGCCAAACACCATCCCCCCCCCTGTCATTTTCAGACAGAACCGCACCCGACCCCATAACCACCACGTCGCCATCATCCTCACCTTCACTCTCGCTCCCTTCTCTCCACGCCCCTGCATCTTCAGTCTCCGTTACAGAAGACTCGCTACTGGCTTCTGTCACGAGGTTGCTTTCTACATAGGTTTCAGTGGAGCGGTACATCAACGAACCAGACAACAGTTCGGACCCGGAAGCCGTGTCCGAACTGTAGGTTGTGGAGATGTCAACGCTGCTGCTGCTGCTGCTCCTGCTGCTGCTGGTGCCAGTAATGCTAGAACCACTGCCACTGGCACTGGCACTGGCAACAGCCTTGCCAGGGGTCCGGCTCTTGCTGCTGCTGCTGGTCTTACCCTTGCGAAGTGTGGCCGCAGCCACTCTCCCCAAATAGAAAGGCGACACGTGCTTCCGTTTGCTCGCTGCCCTGCGCTTTAATCTCGGCCGTTGAGCCTCCAACGGGTTACGAACCACGAACCATTCGTTGTCGCTGCTGCTGCTCTCGCTCTCGCTCTCGCTCCCGGCAGAGCCACTCCAGCTAGTGTCACTCTCTTCTCCGATATTAGACACGGGTAATGCTGACGCCGCCTCTGCTGCCCCTTGTACCGCCTTGGGCTGCTGGCGCTGGTGTTTGGGTTGGGAGGGAGGGAGGAAGTGGTGATTTTGAGAATTCTAGAAAACCTAACACTGCTGGCGCTGGTGATTGGGTTGGGAGGTAGGCAGGTAGTGGAGCAACGGAGAGAATAAAGCTGAGTGGACTAGGGATTCGACAGTACGAGACGGGAAGTCAGAGAGATGTGAGGCTTGCCGAATAAGAAACAGGAAGGAAATGGGATACAAAAAAAGAGCACAAAAACGAACAGCTACCAAACAAGTACATGGCCTTACCTGCTCCCTGTTCCCCGAAGCTGAGACTACTAGTCGCGCTGACGGATTCGAGCCAATGAGGCAAGGAACTGCTGCTGACGAATTCGTTCTTAAACGCGTACGTCCTGTAAAGAAACATTCTCTCCGCTGCTGAAGACCATTCGGACCAGTATTGCTGGAACGCGAAATGCCTGCACTACCACTTATTGCTCTACTGCATCTCGATTGTATAGATTCCACGCGACGTAAGGCATATCGGGGGTGAGAGGCCAAAGTCACGGTGCGGATTGAATGTGGATGAGAATGAACGGTGGTGGAGAATGGGTTCCCAGGAGGTCGGCGGAGTTGCGGGGAAGCTAACATGCTACACGTCAGCAGCGTTTGATTGGTGGCAAGTTCCATCGGAGGGTTAAGTCGCCGAAACGCTTCACGGTTGCTGGACGGACTTTAGAAGTCTTACAGCATATCAAACCAGGAATACTAAGCAGAGACTGATAAATCAGTTTACTAGGCGGAAAGGACGAGAAAGCAGAAGAGAATTTTACGAAAAGGCAGATTGGCTTTCCTCGTGCAACAGCGTCCGGACATGCAGAACAAGACGGAATTTGATATGTCGTGTCAACTCTCTGTCATAATAAGTGAAGGTGCTTGCCTCTTAGGCTAGGGGGTATGTGACAGTGTGTGTCTCTAATTTAGACACAGCAGACAATATGTAGTGGTATGGTTGCTTGGTCAAAGAGTTCGCACAGTTTCGCGACCTTTCGTCAAACAATTTCAGCCACTCCCAGCCCAGCATACAGTGCTGTGGTGACGGATAGCGAATGTGACAGGAGAAATTGTGTGAGCCTCGACTCGGCGAGGTCACCACCGGAGTGGTGGAGCGTGCACTCACGTGGCGGCACCAAGGCTGAGACGCTGACGTGGATACCGCAGATTTGGGAAAGACGGACTACTTGTTGGTGGAATCTGTCCAACGCTGTGCGTGGCATGCCGCCAGCCAGATATCTAACAGGATCTTTCGTTACTCATTGAGCGAACTCGCGAGTTGACGAAAAGTCGTCTTACGTAACGTGAGGAGGAGTTGAGATGCCACATACCAGTACAACGTTTGGAAACAACTTTCAGTTTTTTTGGGTATTGTTAGAACTGGTAGATGTGTTCAAGTCCATCGAAACTTGCATGCAGCAAATCCAAGAGGAAAGAACGCCGGACAGCGAAACGGCAAACTGCACGCTGCACAGTAATCCATCCACTCATGAGCCTACTTCTTCCTGCCTCCACGCTCCTTCAAGCTCATTACAACCGCATCCCCAGGCCCAACATTGTAGTACGCCAATGAAAGCGAATCCTTGAAAAAGCCCACCTTGCCACTCAGCTTCTGCTTGTTGGCCGGCACACTCCCGCCCAAAGCCTGTGCAATGTGCTCTTTGAACGCGCCGGTTGTCTCACTGAGAGAGGGTACTAGGACCTCCACCTTTTGCCCGTTGAGTGCCGGCTCGCCCTCCACAGAAGGGAGGTTAACCACCACACGCACCGGGCCCTGAATAGGACAAGGGCACGGGATAGGGGACAAGGGCACGGGATAGGGCAAGGGGTATGAGTTGCAACCCAAGATTTGTGAGTAAAAGACAGGTGACCTGAAGAGCGGGCTGGCAAGGGCCACTGTACACAAGCGAGGGCAACGCTGCGGCACGTGCAAATTTGCTCAACCAATACCCGGGATGCGGAGGAGGAAGTGCAGAGAAACACACAGGAGGAACGAGGCGACGGAGCACATGGTGACACTCACCGGATACTGCACGAGAAACACATGGTGACATGTGAGGAACACATGGTGACATGTGAGGAACACATGGTGACATGTGAGGAACACATGGTGACATGTGAGGAACACATGGTGACATGTGAGGAACACATGGTGGCACTCACCGGATGCTGTGCGAGGAACACATGCTCGGGAATGAGATTATCCTCCGTCTTCTGCCTCTTGGCGTCATGATCCTCCTCCCCTCCCCCTCCCGCCCCTGCCCGCGCCCCCCCTCCTCCCATTCCCGCAGGCACCATACCCCCAGGTACCATGCCCATAGGTACACCTCCCGGCATTCCCATCGGCACGCCCATGGGCATTCCCCCCGGCATCCCCCCTGGAAATCCCGGGAACCCTCCCGGCACCATGCCTGGTTGTCCCGGGGCCATCATGGGCGGCCGCATACCGAACATCCCCCCCGCTGCAGCAGCAGCCGCAGCAGCTTGGTTCTGCGCCATGAGCATGGGGTTGAGCATCCCTGGGATCCCTGGCATACCCGGCATGCCTGGCATGGGGAGGGGCATGCCGCGTGGCATGCCATATGCAGCCATAGTGGCAATGGGAGGGGGCATGTTGCCCCCCGGGCGGATCATGCCCAGACCAGGAGGGGGACCCCCCGGCGGGGGCCTGGGGAGAGTCGCGGGCCGCGCCCCTGACGCAGGAGCAGGCGGGGGTGCTTGCGGCCCCGAAACCGGCCGGCCCGGCTCGTCCTTTTTCTCCGAGGCGGGCGGCTGCGTGAGGCTCTGCTGCAGCGCCTGGGTGGCGGTCCGGCCGATGCTGGCAGTGTGCCCGTCCCACATGACCCGGCTGGCCGCGCCACCATCATCCTTCTTCTTCTCCAACTCAGCCCGCACTGCCTCGGACACCTCCTCCGCTGTCGTGCCGAAGATATCAGGGCGGGTTTTCGCGAGCCCAATGATGTTCTTGGAGATCTCGTCGTCGTTGGCGAGGGTGTTCTCGCGCAGCTTGGCCAGCATGCGCTCCTTCTGCTCCTTGTACTTGGGGTCGATGAGCGAGATGCGCATGTGCTCAGCCATGTCCGCGATCGGGATCAGCTCGCCCGTGATCGGGGACACCACCACCTTGGTCGGGTCTTGGTCCACGGCGGCGCGCTCCTCCGGCCGCTTCCAGTTGCGCACGATGCGCATGGGCGCCTCGTCTTCATCCTCCATGTCCATCTCGTTCTGCCGAGGAAGGGGGGGGTGGGAGAGGAAGAGGTGAGAGCATGAGCATGCGCTCCATCTGCTGTACTTGGGGTCGATGAGCGAGACGCACATGTGCTCCGCCATGTCTGCGATGGGGATCAGCTCGCCCGTGATGGGAGACACCACCACCTTGGTCGGGTCCTGCTCTGCTGCCACCCGCTCCTCGGGGCGCTTCCAGTTGTGCACGATGCGCATGGGAGCCTCGTCCTCGTCCTCCATGGCCATCTCGTTCTGAACAGGGGCGGGGGGGAGTGGGGCGAGGTGGGGCAAACACCGGGGGAGGTGGGGCAAAGGAGGGGCGAGGTGGGGCAAAGGCGGGGGGAGGTGGGGCAAAGGCGGGGCGAGGTGGGGCAAAGGCGGGGCGAGGTGGGGCAAAGGCGGGGCGAGGTGGGGCAAAGGCGGGGGGAGGTGGGGAAGTGCGGAAGAGGGCAGGGGGGCAGGGTTAGAGGGGCGCATGGGCGCCTGCTCCACATCCTCCATGTCCATCCCGTTCTGGTAAGAGCGGGCAGGTGAAGGGGTGGGAGGGGGAAGGGTGGGTGGAGAGGGTATAGAGTGGCGGAGCGCGAGCAGAGGATGCTTTTCCTTTTCGTCTGCAGGCTAAGGAGGAAAGGGTTGGAGAGGGGGAAGAAGGAAAAGGGCCACAGGGAGCAGATGTGAGGGGGGAAAAACTGGCATGCCAGAAAGACTACGTGCCGACCTGGCTGTGTTAGGTTTTTTTTTAATTCTCAAAAGCCCCAACATGCTTCCAGGCTAAGCTTTGTGGTCCTCATTTCCCATACCCCTGTGTGCGATCATCATCCCCATTTTCCCATACTCTCGGCTTTGCCATCCCCAGCGGCCCAGCCGCTCTGCTGCAGACCCACCTCCTCAGCAGGCGGCGGCGGCGGTGGCGGCGGCGGGGGAGGAGGCGGGGGAACACCAGCCGGCGCACCGCCCTCCTCCTCCATCTCCATCTCCTCCTCCCCCCCCCTCTCCCCCCTCTCCCCCTCCCCTTCCGCCTTCTCCCCGCCCCTCTTCCCCTCCCCCTCCGCGATCCCAGCGGCCCTCATCCCCGCCTCCACCAGCTGCATCTCCTCTTCGTCCATCGCCTGCCCCGCCTCCTTCTCCCCCTTCGCCTTCTCCGCCGCCGCCGCCGCCGCCGCCGTCCCCGGCTTCGCGCCCGCCTCCGCCGCCGCGACCGCCGCCGCGTCCTCCGCCTCGAGCTCCTCGTCCGCGCCCAGCTGCTTGCTCTTTCTAATCACTTCCTCTATAGTCATCGGCACGGGCAGCTCCGCCTCTTCGTCGTCCGCGAACTCTATACTCTCGACTACTATAAAGTCGTGCCAGTCGATTAAAGCCATCTGCACGCGCTCCTTTTCGATCTCGTCTTCGGCTTTCTTCCGCGCCTTCTCCTGCTTCTTCTCGTAGTCGAGCCGCGTCTGGATCCTCGCCATGATCGCGGCCTGTCCGCCTGGCCCCGCGTCGCGCTTCACCTTATCCAATACTTCTTTAGGAGGCATTAGTACCTTAGAGTACGCGTCGGCGAGGGCGGTGAAAAAGGTGAAGAGACTATGAGTGGGCTTGAGGAAATTAAACTGCGGGTTCATATGCTCGCGACTAATCAGCCCGGTTAAGAACGTCTTGCCGTTTCGCGCCACGAGCTGCGCGGTCAGCTTGATAACGTCTAAATCCTGCCCGGACATGCCTTCGGGCACCCGAACAGTGTACTGCTCCGGGTCAGGCAGATCCGGAAGTTTCGCCGCTGCTGCCGAAGCCCCTGCTGCAGCAGCGTCCGTGCCAGGCTCCTGGATGACCCCTGCGGGCCCCGCAGGCTTGACAACCACCGCTGCAGCTCCGGCTGCTCCCGGAGCAGCCCCGGACGCAGCTCCGGCTGCCGGACCTGCTGCCGAGCCTGCGCCAGGCTCGGCAGCTATAGGTTCGGGCTGAGCCGGGAGATTAAGCTGCGCGAGCTGCTCGTTGATCTTATGGCGGTAGTACGCGTGGTAGGGGTCCGTGGGCGTGAGGAAATTAAACTTGACGTTGCCTTTGTTCGCGGCAAGAATCTTCTTTTCGAAATCCGGCCCGTTTCGCGCGACGAAGGTGGCGGTCTTGTCGACGATGCTGCGGATGTCGGGAGGAGGGTGGATGATGCCGATCGTCTTCGTCTGAGTTGCCACCACCACCTGCTGCGGTTTCGCCTTTTCTGCCGGTTTCTGCTGCTGCCCGGACCGTTCTTCCGCCGTCAGAACTGACGGCGTGGCGTCTTTTAGGCCGCCCGGCGGCGGCGCCGGAAGTGCGAGAGTTTCGCCTGGCATGCTGGGCGAGGCTGTGCGAGGCTGTGCAACGCTGTGCGAAGGAACGATGGTTCCGCTGCAAAGCTGACAAGCGAGGAAGCGAGAAGATGGATCAGGAGTTAGAGAGCACCAGGCTGGGATAGGTTCTCGAGAACTCACAAAAACCTATCATAGAGATACAGCACCAGGCTCCTATGAAGGATACGACTGACGCGTCGTCCGTAATTTACGACAACTAACCTCTAGGATCCCTAAGACCAGTAGTTTAGGACGTGGAAATCCGAGAGGAAGAAGTGAAATCAAGTGCCCAGATGATAGGAGGAGGGTGTAAAGGTTGTTGGGGGGGGGGAGGGGGGGTTTGTTGAAATTGAGGTGGGTGCGTGTGTGTAGCGATCAGGGGAGGGAAAATCTAGGGTTCTTTTGGCGAGGGGTGCGAACAGCAACGAGAGTTTTAGGCGTTGACGAAACTCGTCACACGGCTGACTTTATTCGCCACACCTTCGCTCCGCTGAATCTGTCACACGGCGAAAATTCGAGAATCGTCGAACCCCCCTTACAGTGTCAGGGCAACTGGTTCTCATCACCCTAATAACGCCCCTTTCAGTCTCCTGTCCCAAAACACTAACATAGAGCATAGAACCAGGAACTTAGGGCGGGTTACCGGAGGCCGCTTTTGAAGCAGCAGCCCCCCGATCCACCTGCGCTCTGTCGATCGGAATGCCTTGAGTCCGTTAGTTATCTCACTTCTCGAATTGACGGATCTAGAGTAGATGCTACTGTGTTTTGCCTAGGGATCAGCAGCACTCGGGGATTTCTAAGCAGGCTCAGGGGGCACCGCTAGCAGGTTCAGCCAGTACGGATGCGAAAAGCAGACCCCCGATAGAAGAACATAGCATTTGAGGTGCCTCGATATAATCGCGTTGCTGGAGGACGAAGAGTTGACGCGTTGGTGCTCAACGCTTGCACGGCAATCAATCGCGACGACTCACTCCTGGAGCTCATGCTTGAAGCTCAGGCATACACAACCACCACCATTCCCGATTCCCGATACTAACCACCCCCTGAGCCGATTTTTCAGGCATATACAGCCGCCACCATTCCCGATACTAACCACCCCCTTAGCCTCCTACAGGAATCAATCGCGTCAACTTAAAACGAAATTACTCTCACGCCTGGAGCTCAGGCACAACAACCACCATTCCCGACACTAACCACCCTCTTAGCCTCCAACGAGCCGATAGGAGCCTAGCCAGCCTACAGTGCAATCAGGCTGCCTTTCGGGCCTTCCCCCTCGTGTGCGGGGCTTCCGCCTCCCGTTCCTCTCCCCCCCTCCCCCCCCCCCCCCCCCTCTTCCCCCCCTTCCCCACCCCCCGCGCGCGCCATGGAGGAGGCGCAGCGGAGGGCGGACGAGATGCTGGCGGGGCTGCAGGCGGGGAGCGGGGCGGAGGAGAAGGCGGAGCGGATGGCGGCGCTAGTATCGTATCTGACGGGCCTTCCGCCTGACCTGCGGGCGGCTGTGCTGCCAGACGCGCTGCCGCGGCTGCTGGAGCTGCAGGCAGACGCCGCGTGCCTCGTGCGCAAGAGCTCAGTCGAGTGAGTGCCTCTCTCTATCGTGCTGGTTACCTGGACTTACCTCTCTCTATCGTGCTGGTTACCTGGACTTGCCTCTTCACACCAGCGACGGCCGGCCGTGCTGCCAGACGTGCTGCCAGACGTGCTGCCAGACGTGCTGCCAGACGTGCTCTCATAGCTGGCGGCCGTCTCGAATCCTTGCTTGCTGCACGCTTCTCACGCGGTGAACTCTTGATTTTGCAGGGTGTTTTTTAGAATTCTCATGCGGTGAACTCTCGCTGTATTAGCACCACTCGCTCCCTCCCAATCGCCCGTGTCCCTTCCATTCCATGCCTGCTGCCCTGTCCCCTCCCATTCCACCGCCCTTACAAACCCCTCCCCCCAGGCTCCTCCACCGTCTCGGCTCCTTCATCAAGCAGCAGGACTCCCCTTCTCTCATCGCATGTGCCCTGGCTTCCGTCATCCGCGCCTGTTCGCCCATGCCCCTCCCCAAACCCGCCTTCTTGCCGCCTTTCTTTCCTCCGACTTATCTCAACCCCTTCCCTTCTGCCATCTGATATGAATTCCTTCCCCCAGGCTCTTCCACCGTCTCGGCCCCTCCATCAAGCAGCAGCGCTCCCCTGATTTTTGAGGTGCCTCAAAAATCTTCCCCAGGCTCTTCCACCGTCTCGGCCCCTCCATCAAGCAGCAGGACTCCCCTGCCCTCATCGCATCCGCCCTCGCCGCTATCATCCCCCCCTCCCCAACCCCTGCCTTCCCTGCTGTCTGTCCCCTGCCTTTCCGTCTCAACCCCTTCCCCCAGGCTCTTCCACCGCCTCGGCGCCTCCATCAAGCATCAGGACTCCCCTGCGCTCATCGCATCCGCCCTCGCTGCTATCATCCGCGCCTGCCCGCCCATGCCCGTCCCCTCCTCCCCCTCCTCCGCCCCCCCTGCCCTCTCCCCCGCTGCTGCTGCTGCTCTCACCCCTCTGCCCACCCGCCTGTCGCCCCCGGCCATCGCGTCTACCAAGGCGGTCAAGCATGCCATCTCCGCTGCTGCTGCCTTGGTCAAGGGCGCATTCGCTGCTGTCACACCCATCACAGGCGAGGTGAGCTACGTTTACTCGTTAGAAGGTGTTGCTGTTGCTCCCACCACTGCCCCCCCCCCTCTGCCCTCCCGCCTGTCGGCCCCGGCCCCTGCCATCGCGTCCACCAAGGCGGTCAAGCATGCCATATCGGCTGCTGCTGCCCTCGTTAAAGGGGCATTCGCTGCTGTCACGCCTGTTACAGGCGAGGTGAGCTCTATTCTATGTTTGCTGCTGTCACGCCTGTTACAGGCGAGGTGAGCTTTGGTTTAGCTACGGAATGCTGCTGCTGCTGCTGCCTCCTCGTCCTCCTCATGCCTAGCACTCTCCATCGTAAGCCCGCCCGCACAGAACAGAACTCCCCGCTCCTGCCTTAAATCGATTTTTGAGGCGCCTAAAAACTCGCTCTCAATTGTAAGTCCGCACAGAATTAAACTTCCCCCTCCTGCTCGAAATCTTCCCCGCCCCCCTCTTCCCCTTGCCCTTCCTCTTCCCCTTGCCCTTCCTCTTCCCCTTGCCCTTCCTCTCCTCAGCCCCAGCCGTGGTGAGCTGCATGGGAGCAGGTATCAGCACTGGTGCCAGTGATTCGAGACATGCTGCCAGGTAGCCAGGCCAGTACGCCAGCAGAATCAGGGTGCACTACACACAAACCCCCCCTCTCCCTTCCCTTCCTTTCCGCCCCTTCTCTTTGTTCTCCTCAGCCGCAGCCGTGGTCAGCAGCATGGGAGCAGGTATCAGCGCTGGTGCCACTCATTCGAGACATGCTGCCAGGGCAGTACGCTGACAGTGTGCGGGTGCACGCAGTGGGCTTTGTGGAAATGCTTGTGCTGCTGGGGCGGCCCGGGGGCAAAACTGCTGCGGCTGCTGCTGCTGGTGGTGCTGGCAATGGCAGCAGTGGTGGCAGCAGGGGGCAGAATGGAAGCAGTGGAGGCGACGGGTCGGACGGTGCTGATGAGGGTGCAGGCAGCAGCAAGGACATGCCACTTTCCAATGGCTGTTTCTACCTGGAGGATCCTGACTCCGACCCCTGGCTCAAGGCGCAGTCCCTCGCCTCCCTCTCCGCACTCACCTCTCTCCTGCAACCCCCAGCGCTCACCGCCCTCTCGGCCCCGCTCCTCCTCACTGTTACCAGCAGCCTCGCTGGCATCGCCCGCCGCTGCCCCGCCCTTTACAGTCGCATCGTCCCTGCCCTCGCTGGGATTGTCCCGCCCACGGCTGCATCCACTGCCTCGGCACCTGTAGCGCTGCCCCCTGCTGGTGCTGGTGCTGGTGGTGATGGGAGTGGGGGCCTGCAGCTGCTGCAGGCGTCGGCGAGTGTGAAGCATGGCGTGCGGGCGGCGCTGCTTGTCATGCTGCGACTCATGCCGCTTGCTCCAGGGGGATTAAAGGTGGGTGTGGGTGTGGGTGTGGGTGTGGGCGTGGGTGTGGGTGTGGGCGTGGGTGTGAGTGTGGGTGTGGGTGTGTGTCCATGCTAAGTCTTCTCTGAGGCGCATTGATACCGTCATGCACTACCACTCTCTTTCTCCTCACCCTCTCCCCTCTCTCTCTCTCTCCCCTCTCTCTCTCCCCCTCTCCCCCCCTCTGCAGTGGCAGGACTGCTTGACGTTCTCTGAAGGAGTTGCTGGGAGCAGGAGACACACATTGACCATGACATACCCATGCACAACCCCCCACTCTCTTTCTCACTTTCTTTCTCGCCCCCCCCCCCTCCTTTCCCATTCTGCAGTGGCGAGACTGCTTGACGTCGCTCTTGAAGGAGTCGCTGGGAGCAGGCGAGGTGGTCGACTCGTCTCTACGGCACATTGACAGAGCCCTGCGCAACTCTGCTGCTGCCGCCGCTGCTGCTGCGGCTGCTAGCCCTGCTGGTGGTAACGGCACCGGTGGCAACGGTGGTGGTGTTGGGAATGGTGGTGCTGCTAGTGGCGGTGGTGGTGCTGCTGGCACCGCTGGTGGTGGTGGGGGCGGAGAGGGAGGAGCAAAGGCGTCTGGAGTGTCAGGGAAGGCTGCTGGGCGTGACCCACGTGTGAGTAGTCCTGTGTGCGTGCGTGCGTGCGTGCGTGCGTGCGTGTGTGTGTGTGTGTGCGCGCGCGCAGGCACGCGCGTGCGTGGGTGTGTGTGTGTGCGTGCGTGCGTGCATGCGCACATGCATGTGCGTGCATGTGAGTGTGTAGGTGTGACTCATGGCTGGGTGCGCATACGCCTGGTTACCAGTGTGTGCGTGCCTCCTCTCTGCCTCTTACCCTGCTCTATCTCCTATATTTGCCACCCCCCCCCCCCCCCCCCCCCTCTTTATCCGCACTGCTCATGTTCCTTGGCTAGGCCAAGGCAGCGGGAGTCAAGAGAGCAAGGGGTGCAGCTGCCGACACAGGGGCGGCACCAGCACCAGGCAGTAGCAGTGGCGGTGCTGCTGGTGGTGGCCCCGATGCTGCTGCTTCGACAACAGCAGATGCAGCTGCCAAAGCTGCCACGCCTGGTGCTGCTGGTGCTGCTGGTGCTGCTGGTGCTGCTGGTGCTGCTGGTGCAGTTGGTAGAGGTGCTTCAGAGGCGGTGGAGGAGATATCAGTGAGGGACTCGAAGCGCATCCGACCGTCCAACGCTGATCAAACCAGCACAGCCACTCCTGCTACCAGTGCACCAGCACCAGCAGCAGCAGCAGCAGCAGCAGCAGCAGGAGCAGGAGAGGCGAACACAGCGGCAGCAGCGGCGGCTGCAGCGGCAGCAGAGGCCATGGCCGTAGATCCATCAGCCTCCACTCTCCCCCTCGAGCAGCTGGTGACGCTGCTGAGCGCGCTGGTGGCCAAGGGCAGCGAGGGCATGCTGGCGGTGGATGCGCTGATCGCGTCGCTGCCCCCCGGCATGCTCGCCGACCTTGTCATCGAATTCATGCAGCACCTCCCGCCCTCCCCGCCGGCTGCTGCTGCTGAAATTGGTGCTGCTGGTACTTCTGCTGGTGCTACTGGTGGTGGTGGTGCTGCTGCTGCTGCTGCTGCTGCTGCTGCTGCTGCTGGTTCTGCGGATGAGGGGGCGGTGGATGGTGATGGCAAGAGGGAGCCCGGCAGGGGCGCTCGTCGCCTCGACCCTCGGCGATCGAAAACCAAAGCAGAGGAAGCGACTGCAGGAGGGGGTGCTGCTGCTGCTACAGCAAGCACAGTGAAGGATGAGCCGGGGCTACAGCCGCCATTGCTACATCCTGCAGCAGACAGGACAACAGATGCCATTCATCCCCAGACCTTCAAGCCAGAAGATGCAGCCGTGGTGCCTGTTCCTTCTGCTGCCACTGCTCCCGATACATCTGCTGCTGCTGCTGCTGCTGCTGGCAATGCTGGTGCTCTAGTCGCTGTCTCCGCCCCTATGGGCCCTCCAGCAGCGCCTCTCTCTCCCCGCCTGGCAGCCTACGTCTCTGTCCCACGCACCCCCGTGGCCCTGCTTCCCCTCTCGCCCCCGCAGCTGGCTGCAGCGCAGCAGGCAGCCATGCAGCGAGTGGTGACCGGGGGTAGCAGAGCGGTGCTGCTGGGCGAAGTGGGGTTGTGGGTGGCGCTGCTGGTGGGCATGCTGAGGGGGGCAGAGGAGGAGGAGGAGCAGCAGCAGCAGTTGTTGGACGCGCTGCTGAATCATCTGCTGGCGGACTACAACCGGGTCAAGGTGAGTATCGGTTTTTGGGAACTCTCAAAAACGATGACTCAGCAGTTGTTGCTGGACGCGCTGCTGAATCATCTGCTGGCAGACTACAACCAACCAGGTAGTCTATTTTTGAGGCGCCTCAAAAATAGACTCCTCAACCGGGTAAATTTTTTAGTCGACTCAAAAATCACCTGCTGAATCATCTGCTGGCAGAATAGAACCGGGTAAAAAAATCTCGTTATTGTTTGTAATGAGTCGATTTTTGAGTTGACTCAAAAATCGACTCATTACACACGGATTATACACTGAGAGAATTTTTGTCGCATGGAAGGCTGGGCGTAACTTGCAAAAGTTACTTGTTTTCGCGAGGCTTCCTGAGCACCAGCTGGCGAGATGTGGGTTACCCACGACACGTCCCGAGGAATGAAGACCTGGCACCTTGGAACTTTCCAGGGTGTTTTGGATTGGCTGACCAGATTTCAGTCGTGGTTGTTCCAACCTTGAAGTTGTTGTTCTCGTAGCGCAGTTTCTGTTTAAGAGCTCGCTTGTAAACTCACTTTTATAATTCCACCAGCACTGATGAAGGTCTGATTTGGGGCCTGTCCCAGTCAGCCGAAACTAGTTTGCGTTTTAATCTTCTAGTGGAGTTGAGTTCGGAACTTCGAATTCTCGGTTTTTAACAGGGGTATCAATTTACCTACTGTCACTCTTTTTGCTAAAGTTCTTCCTCTTCGCTGCAGCCCACCCTAACGCTTAATGGCTACAAGTAAAAAAATCTCGTTATTGTTTTCCTCCATTGCAGCTCAGTCTGGCATAGTAAAGTCGGGGTCTGTGCGTGCGATACAGTAGGCTCCTGTCCTGTGGGATAACTTTCTCAACATCGCAACTCAGGACACGCCCTATGATTCTAAAGAACAATATTGCTTGCTGGACTGGATGGATGTGCTGGATTGAATTGATTGCTGGCAGATTCCAACCGAATCAAAATGAACAGCTTACATGCGTGAGGAGTCTATTTTTGAGGCGCCTCAAAAATAGCTTACATCCAAGTCAATATTAGCTAATCAAACCCTTGCCCTTCTTCAAGCCCTTAATCTTGCTCTGTGCCCCATTGCCCTCCCTCTCCCTCCCCTCCCTCCTTTCCTTCCCCCCATACCAGGGTTCACAGGTTGTCCTGTCTGTGCTGCACGCTCTGGCAGTGAACAACTCAACCCCCCAACCGTCCTCCTCCGCCTCTTCCACCCTCCCAGCTCTTCTAGCACCACCAGCAGCAGCAGCATCAGCACCAGCATCAGCATCACCAGTAGCGCCAGTAGCACCTGGAGTTGCGGGTACAGCACCAGCACCAGGCGGCGATGCCATGCAAGTGGATGATAGGGGACAAGGTGGCGCTGTTGCTGCTGCTGCTGCTTCAACAGCTGCTGCTGTTGGTGGTGCTGGTGCCTCTGCTGTCGGCTCTAAGGATCTCGCGTCCCCTCAGATTCCTCCCCTCTACACATCTTTTTTCTCTCGTGTGGTGAGTTTGCTTTTGAGATCGTTTTCCCCCTAAACTTGAAACCCGAAACCCTGAACCCGAAACCCCGAACCCTACACATGTTTTTTTCTCTCGTGTGGTGAGTTTGAGTTTCTGCCTTCTGGTTGAAGTTTTGAAGTTGTTGGGACCTGGTCTTGTAAGGGCCAAGCCACGGTCTTACCTGCCGAATTTGGCTTACCGTACGTTTCTCTTTCTTCCCCTCCCTTCATCCCATCATCACCCCCCCCCCCCCCCCCCCCCCCCCCGACATGCGTATCCATCCAGTTGCGATCGCTCCTCTCCCCATCCTCCGCTGCGGCGGCCGCTGCTCCTGGCGGGCTGAAGTCCCTTCTGCTGCCTCTCTTCGTGGAGGCCCCCTTCCTCCCTCCCCCCGTCCTCAACCTGCTGGGCCAGGCGTGCGGGCTGGAAGGGCTGGGGAGGAAGGAGGGAGAAGTGGGGTTAGGTGGGGGTGTGGGGGTTGGGGCTGGCAGGAAGAGGAGACTAGACGAGAGGGGAGATGGGGAGGAGGGTGGGGGAGGAAGGGAGGCGGATGAGGGAGGAGGGAGTGGTGGGGTAGGAGGAGGAGAGAGGGAGGGAGGAGGAAAAGGGGAGGGAGGAGCCAGAGGAGAAGGAGGAGAGGGAGGGGAGGGAGGGGAAGACGGGAAGGAGGAGGAGGGGCCGAGGTCCGAGGAAGAGCTCAAGAGAGTAAAAGAATCCTTGGTAGTGTTATGGCGGTTGCTAGTACTGAGGCCGCCTGTACGGAGGCGGTGTCTCGCCATGGCGCTGCAGTGCACAGTGCACCCGCACCCCGACATCCGCTCCAAGGGGGTGGCGCTGGTGGCCAATCGTCTGCACGCCCTGCCGTACCTCACGGCACCCATTGAGCGGTACGCGCTCAAGCAGCTGCTGTCCCTGCCTGGCTTGGCGCTGCCGCCACCAGTGCAGCCAGCGCAAACTGCTGCTGCTGCTGATGCTGGTGGTGCTGGTGCTGGTGCTGGTGGTGAGAAGGATAGGGTGGGAGGAGAGCAAGGAGGGGCAGCAGGAGAAGCGGGGCAGGCAGGAGAGGGAGGTGCGGTGAGCCAAGCAGTTCAAGCAGGAGGGGGAGCATCACAGTTGACCGGCGAGCAGCAGAAGGCAGTGGCTCATGAGGTGGAGCGAAGACTGGCGCTCTTCTGTGCCCTCTGCTCCCGGGTATGCATGCATGCCTCCAGTCTCCTGCTGTGTGCTCTGTATTCCTTGTGATAATAGTTCAGTTTTGAGACGTCTCAAAACTACAGTATTATCACTAGTATTTATGTATGCCTCCCTCCTGCTGCATGTTCTGCATTCCTCCCCCACGCTCAGATTTTTTTTCTCTTTTTTTTCTTTTCTTTTTTTTTCTCCCTTGTTTGCCCTCTCCTATTGCGGCCTTCCACCACCCACCCTGCTTTTCTCCTCCCACAGTTAGAGAGTACCTCTGCTGTCAGACTTCGTCCATGTGTTTGGAGAAGTGAAGCCTTTGCCACAAAGAGCCATGCTGCGAGACTTCACCACTTCTTCACTCTCTTCCCATCTCACTCCCCATGCGTGAGGAGTCTATTTTTTAGGCGCCTCAAAAAAAGACTCCTCACTCCCCATCACCTTCCTCCCCCCCCCCCCCACCCCCCGGACCCCCTCTTCCTCGTCACCAACGAGTATCGCTGCTTTCAGACTTCTTCCGTGTGTTTGGAGAAGTTTATCCCATAACAAAGAGAGCCGTGCAGCGAGACCCTTCATAACTCTCCCTCCCTTCACCCTTTCCTCTCCCCCCCCCTCCTTTTACCTTTTACAGAGAGTATCTCTGCTGTCAGACTACTTCCGTGTGTTTGGAGAAGTCAACCCCGTGGCGAAGAGAGTCATGCTGCGAGACCTGCTGCCACCAATCATCGCCACTCTCCCTCCCACCACCCCTGACCTCCTCTCCCTCATCGCCAACCCCCCTGAGGGCTCAACGCGCCTGCTGCTCAAGGTAGGCCTGGTTCTAGTCAGGTGCATCCAAGGCAGGGCTGATTCAAGTCAGTTGAATCCAAGGTAGGCTGTATTCAAGGTTATGCTATGATATATGAGACATGACCTAGTTATGCTGTGAGATCTGTTGCCTCAAATCGTCGCCACTCTCCCTCCCTGCGCGACCTTATTACTTATCAGCCTGAGCCCTTTCTTTCTTTGGCTGACATGGGCACAGCGTGATGGCATGCCTCCATCCCTCATTTTACCTTCCCTTTTTCTCTTCTTTCTCTATCGCCCCTTGAACCCTCTCTGTCACTCCCGCAGCTGCTGCACTGTGTGGCGGACACGCCACGCCCATTCGCCCCTCCCCCGCCCTTCATCGCTGCGGTCAAAACCCTCTCGGCTGCCAGGCCCGCAGTAAGTCTCTAGGCTTTTTCTTCTTCTCGTTTCTTGCAATCCCTGCAATCCTTCCAATCCTTCCACGCATTTAAAAGGAACGCATTGTAGGTAGGTAGAGAAGAGAGCACAAATGAATGACTTCAATTCGGCTCAACTTAAGCTGCACCCGCAGCAGCAGCTCCTTTCCCCTCCTCGCCCTTCATTGCACCCTCACAAGCAACCTCGCCCTCATCCTCATCTTACGCCCTCGTCCCCATCCTGCTCTCAGTGTGCGTAATGAGTCGATTTTTGAGTCGACTCAAAAATCCCCATCCTGCCCTCAGTGTGCATGCATGCTCACAGCTTTCGTTGCAATCACACTTCTTCCCCACAATTGCTTCCCACAACTTCTCCCCGCAATTCCTCCCCGCAATCCCTTCCCCATAATCCCGCCCCCCTGCTCCCCTTTCTCTCTGCTACTGCGGGAGCCGGAGCTGCCCATCCCCATCCTGCCCCCGCATTGCCTTCTCTCAACATGCATTGCACCCACAGTTGCTCACCCCTTGACTTCGTTGCACCCTCACTTCCCCCCTCCCCCCTTGCTCCCCTTGCTCTCTGCTATTCCAGGAGCCGGAGCTGCTCATCCCCGTGCTGCCCTTCCTCTCCAAAAACGAGGTGCGCACACTGCTGCAGTGCCGTGCATGGTGTGACTACTGATGTGACTACTGATGTGACCACAGTGATGTGACTGCAGTGATGTGACTGCAGTGATGTGACTGTAGTGATGTGACTGTAGCAGCATCCAGCATTGTTCTGCACCATTCCTTACCCCCCTCTTGTATGTCTGCAGATGAATCATGCTTGTTTTCCGGTTGTCTATTTTTTAGGTTTTATGCCATGAAGGCGCTTAGCATGGCGTAGCATGGGGAGGTGAAGTCATGGTCGATTCTACTTGATAGATCTTTGAGTCGACTCAAAAACCTCCTTTTTATTCATCGCCTCCCCTCCCCATGTGTCGAGTGCCGCGTTCTGCATTTCGTTCCACCACAGCCCATGCCCCATGCCCCATGCCCCATGCCCATTGGCCCCCATGCCCCATGCCCCATGCCCCATATCCCGTGTATGGATCATCACCACCATCATCACCACCATGGCATGGCAGGCACTGGAGGTGCTTCCCCGCCTTCTCCATCTCCCCCTGGAGCTCTTCAAAATCGCCCAGGACAGACTGCTGCAGGTGAGAGCCTAGTGAAGGTGAGAGATTTCTGCAAGTGATAGATAGAGAGGGCTGCAGGTGAGAGCTGGCTGCACGTGAGAGCTGGCTGCACGTGAGAGCTGGCTGCAGGTGAGAGCCTGGTGAAGGTTGGATGGAAGGAGAGGAAAGGTTTCCGAACACCTCTAACGCCCCAATTTGTTTTGCTTGTTCCACTGTCGCCGTCGCTGCTCTCCTTCCACTATGCATTCCCTTTCTTGTTACCCAAGGGGCTCCTTGTGCACAAGGGCACAAGGGCACAAGGGCACAAGGGCACAAAGGGCACGAGGGCACAAGGGCAGGCACAGAGGGCACAAGGGCACTAGGGCACAAGGGCAGGCACAAAGGGCACGAGGGCACAAGGGCACAAGGGCACGAGGGCACAAGGGCAGGCACAAAGGGCCCTCCTTGTTCCCTCACCCAAATTCAGGCCTCCCCCAACATGCCTCCTGCGCTCACTCTCTCCATCGCTTGGACCCCTCTCACCATCTCCTACTTACTCTCCTCCCCCCCTCCTCACTCTCTCCCAGGGCCTCCCCCACATGCCTCCACCGCTCACAGCAGTGGAGCTCATGACCCTGCTGCTTGCCTTTGTTCTCGGCAGTGGAGCTGCATGCTGCTCTCTCACTATTGCGTACTCCCTTTCATCAACCCCTGCCTAACTCTCCCCTACCCCTCGCACTCTCTCCCAGGGCTCGCCGCACACGCCTCCGCCGCTCACAGCAGTGGAGCTCATGACCACGCTGCATGCGGTGCAGCCCAAGAGGGACAACGTGCCGCTCAAGAAGGTGAGCCTGGAATTCATTTCAGGTGCTCTCAGGTGCTCTCAGGTGCTCTAAGGTGCTCTCAGGTGCTCTCAGGTGCTCTCAGGTGCTCTCAGGTGCTCTAAGGTGCTCTCAGGTGCTCTCAGGTGCTCTCAGGTGCTCTCAGGCGCTCCCAGGTGCTCTCAGGTGCTCTCAGGTGCTCTTAGGCGCTCCCAGGTGCTCTCGGATGCTGCATGCCGTGCAGCCAACGAGGGACAACGTGCCGCTGGAAAAGGTGAGTCTGTGGAGTTGTGAGCTCCCCCACACGTGCGGTTAACCAGGGCTTCCCCCACACGCCGTGTGTTGCAGGTCTTATCGGAAGTGCAGGCGCTTCGTGACCTTTTTCTTTCAGGCATCCACGAACCTCCTCTTTCAACCTTATGTTTTCTAACCCAGTCACCTTGTGCTTGTTTGTTCAATCTGAAACCCCTTGTGTTTGTCAGATCATGGCCGTGTGTTCATTCTGCATCTCCCAACGCGCCATCTACACGCAGCAAGTCATTGCCAAAGTGCTCAATCAGCTGGTATGCACTGCAATGCACTTGATAGCACTCCGTGGTTCGATAAGAGTTGCCCGCTTGGGCGCATGTTCAGTGCTGCTGTTTCAAACCGTGTTGCACCACTAAGAAAGAAGGGGGTGATGTATAATATGGCACAACCTTCTTGGCACAGCTGCACAGCCCTGTTGTCTTGCCCAGCCGACGTTCTCTCCTTTCAGATATCTTTAAGTTTTCACCACGTGAAGTTTTTTAGGAGTTTGTTTCAGTAGTCGTACTCCCCCATCCAATTCCTTTCAGTTAATTAGAATAGCACCTGACTGCTTCGTGTTTTTTTTTTTTTTTTTTTTTTTTTTTTTTTTTCATTGCAGGTCGGGCAGACTCCCCTTCCCATGCTGCTATTCCGCACCGCCATGGAGTCTGTTGCTGCGTTCCCTGACATTGTCAGATCCTCTCGCCCCTCCGCACCTTACTTCCTCGCACGCTGCCTCTCCCTCGCACACTGCCTCTCCTTCACCCTGTCCAACAAATCTGTTCCTTTTGTAACCTGCCTCCCTTTTTCAATCCCTCTTATGTTACACCTCATGCGGCCGCTGTGCGGCCACAGCAGCCATCAGCTGCCGTGGTACCTTCCCCCATCACCGTTTTCCTTTCATCATTCTGCCTTGTTTTGACACTTACGTAAAAGTAATTCACCCTTTCCGTTACCCTTGGTTTTTCCACGCCGTCTTATTGTTGGTGCAGGCATCTTTTGTGGCGGACATTCTCTCGCGCCTTGTGACCAAACAGGTGAGATTGACTATGACTGGTGGGATTGGCGATATGGCTGGGGTGGGCATTAGCAATTACCTTGGCATCTGACATGCTGCATCATCCTCTTCTGTATAGCCATCTGTTTCTGTATTTCTAGTGGTCGTACTGCTAAATGCATGGTTTGTGTGCGTGTATGTGGTGTGCTGGCGGTGAGATGGACACGCTGCAGACCATGCAACCGCATGCCATCTGATGCCACCCCTGTCCATCTGATGCCACGTCATGCTGCCAGTTCATCCCTTTTCCTGCTCACCGTCTCCTCTCCCCCTCCACCCTTTCAGGTCTGGAGGGCCCATCCGCAGTTGTGGCTGGGCTTCATTAAGTGCTGCCTCGTTACAAAGCCACTCTCTTTCCCTGTTCTCCTACAAGTAAGCAGCTCAGCCTACCACTTCTCCCTCCTCATCCTGAGTTGCACCCCTCTCTATCCTCTCAAACGGCAGTCTCTGCACTTTTCCGTTCACTCACTCCTTTTGAAAGTTACGTTCCAACATCCCCTTCTCCTCACAAGTCTACCTCCCATCTTCAATCCGTTCCTCTACCCACAGCTGCCAGCAGCGCAGCTAGAGGATGCACTCAATCGGGAGCCGTCCCTCCGGCCAGACCTCGCTGCACACGCCGCCCAACCATCTGTGCAGCCCTCCGTTCCTCGGTATAGATTCGGACTCTCAGCTGTTGTGAATAAAGTGAAGCCTCCCTGTACTTGCACTAGTTGCACAAGTTGCACCCCTGTCCTCACTTCCCTGCTTCTCACATCCCTCGCCTCTTCATAACCCCAACTCAATCGATGGGCCCCTCCGCTCTCCCCCAATGTGTGTTTCTGTGCTTGTGTGTGTGTGTGTTTGTGTGTTTGTGTGCTACTATCTGAGAGCTGTACGCAAGATACCAAATGAAGCGTCATCGGTAGTCTGTGTCCTGCACTTGACAAATTTTTCTCTTTCTTTGTTGTGGTTTCCATTTTCAGTGCGTCCCTGGTTATTCTAGGAGTCATCACGCCTGACCATGGGGACACTCCGGCATCAGGGGCTCCAGCAATTGCCACTGCCTGATTTGTGGCACAGCTCCTAGGATTACGGGTTTTTGCGTGTCTAGAAATATTAAATGCTTTTGCATGCCTAGGAATCTGATAAGGCAGGGCTATCGCTACTGTGGAAAGGAAAGATGAAAGAAGCGTGAGGCATATTGCATTCAACAATGCTTTTCAGATAGGATACGTAAAGAGATAGAGCATTGGGGTTTTTTGCGTTAGTGAGAAGTGCAGTATGCATTCCTTCCGGTTTCACTAATGTTTGTGGGAGTAGCGTGACATGACATGGCGGCGCTAGGGATTTGACCTCCAATTTGGTCCATGTTGACACAGCTAACCCGGTGCTGTTTTGTGGCAGCTGATATAGTAAAATCGAACGTCGCTTTCGCAATCTCGTGGTGGTTCGCTACACTGTGGGGCTGGCAGAATGTCCCTGGCGACGCTGAGCTGTGGTGCGCTGGTATGCAGTTGGAAGATAGTACACATGGGTTCTGTTCTGGTAGTATCTTGGCTTCACATGGTATATATTTTTCCACGATGATAAATAGCTCAAGAGGTTACAAACGCTTCTCATGTATAGGCTCTGAAATATAACAAACTGCGTCAAAGCTTTAAGCATCAGCGAACCTGCACAGGACGAACAACGTATTAAAAACCTTGTCAAAACAAAAATCCCCAGGACATGCATAGCACATCTGGATCACATCTTTGCCCTGTTCTTTCCCATCCGTTCACTTACCCGAGCTCTGAGAGTGCTAGGTGAGCCGCGGCATAGTCAGCAAAGAAAGCATCCTCATCCTGTCAAAAGTAGCAAACCAGATATCTCAGGTCAGCGTTGGGTGTGTGTTTTCTGTGCAAGCCAGCCATAAACTCAGAGAACAGAGCAACGCACCTTAGCATAGATGTCCACAAACTTCTTGAACTCGGGGTCCTCCACGAGGGCCTTGTCACTGGGAAGCACCAACAGATCCTTCTCCTGGTTGCTCAGAAGGTTGCTGCAGTAACAGCCGGGGTAAGAATGAGAATCCGTTGGCACATTGGACTCCTACTGTGGGCTTCTGCCTTATCTGATAAACTTTTTTTGCACTTACACAAAGTACTCGTTGTCAAACTTCAGGGGTTGTGTCGTCCACGCGCCCTCGAATCCCGACCTTTCCTTGTGGCATTTCCCCTGTCAATGACAACGCATCATCGCGTTAGAAACTTCCCTTCCTTGATTTTGCCTTCATAAAACTGATATAGCTAGATAATGTCATCACTAAGTCATCACTCACCAGGGTGTGAGCGCCAGAAAGCGCGACAATCTCCTTGTCATTGAGACCCATCTTGTAGAAGATGTCCCTCAGGTGGTCGGAGCCCTTCGTGGCATCTGGTAGGCGACCTTCAGGCGGAGTCTTCTCCTCGTCCTGAAAACACCAACAGTCTCTGAGGGATCTAAGGATATGGACCGTTGCGGGAAAAAGCACTTCTGAACAGACGGAATCCAGGAATAAGATCGTGCAACATGGTACGCACCTTGCGTCCGGGATGGAAGGGGATCTCTGGGCCTCCAGTGACCTCCACAGCGACGACTCCAGCAAGCTGTTCATGCAAGTACACTCGGGTTAAAACGGCTGGCTTTACCCGATCTACAAGGCTCTACGAGCCAAAATCATAAATTTCAATGTCATTGACAGGAGGAGACAGCAGCACGAACCTGGTAGAGGTCTCCGTATGAGAGGGTGGGGAACTTGGCCTTGATGGGCTCAAGGATATCAACAGCCCACTTGAGCCCAGCGTTCGCTCCGTGCGCCAGCTCCTCCGGCTTGCGGATCGTTCCGAAGGGACCTCCGGTCTTATCCTTGACATCGAAAGTGCCAGCATTATGCCAACTGCACGCAGGAAAGATCGGTCCATAACCCACGACAACCGTCAGATTCCACGTCAACCTATGGTACCAAGTCTTCAGAACTGTCAGGCTAAGAATCTCCTTGGAGAAACGTAATTCGGTACTTACGCCAGGCGAACCATGATGGGAGCGCAGTTCTTCTCCGCGATGAGAGCCCTCAGTTCCCTCCTAGCCTTGGTAATGGCCGTCTGGTACTCCTCGCTGACGGTAGGGTATGACTTCCCCATGGCTACGGACTCTGCGCTGCTGGAAATAGACAAGAACACGAAGCCACAAGCAAGCTAGGGAGGAGCAAGAAAGTGCCAAGTACCGCCCTATCAAAATGTTGAATGTGGCTGATGTAGTTTCAGCAGCATCCGCCTTGGGATTCATTCCTTAGTGTGGGGGGGGTAAGGGGGGGGGTTGGGGGGAAAAGGGATGGGGGGGAAGTGGGGGGAAACGGGCGCGAGGGCGGGTGCGACAAGGGTGGCATGGTGAGGAGAGGTTCGGTGTCGGGGAACTCGGGATTCGGGAAGACCCAGCATTGAGGTCCGGGGGTCGGGGTTCAGGACGAATCAGGGCAGGAATCTCCGACGGAGACTGGCTGTCGAAGGCAGGCAGGCAGCGAAGCGATGACCTTGAGCTCGAAGGGGAAGGGGACCGGGGTCGGTGGAGAAAGCTGGCGGAAAGGAGGGGAAGAATTCACGAACTGGGGTGGAGGGGGGCCAATGGTGGGAATTGATTCGTCCAAGCTTGGCGTTATGGAAGGTTCGTGAAACACGTGGCTCGCCCTTCGTGAAATCAGCCTTTGCTGTGTCCACGTCAGCAGTGCACAGTCGGTGACCAGTCACGGAGATTCAAGAACTGCTATTAACGGGTACAAAATACATATAGGAAATAGGACCCTTCCAATGCAACAAAGTTGGAATGAGGCAAGGTACGGAATTCAAATTGTTAGCAATTGGTGAAGTGCCACTGACTAGTGGCATGGTAATATGTGTCGTATGAGATGTTTTGGACTCTTATGAACATAACATACTACAACTAACAAACCCAAGCCTTCTGGCTAGTATTCAATTAACGGCAACCATGGAAGAACCGTACAATAATGGAAATGCATGATGGCTAGAGCCGATTTCATTACTGCACATGGGTTTTTTTGCAACGTGTGGTACGTGTAAAACCGCCGTTCTGCACCATGCTGGATGGCACAGCGTACTGACGCCTTCACAATGTTCCTCCTCTGTTTTGCAGCAGCTTGCAGAGCGATGGAAAGCCCGGAGTCGCTGTCCATTGGTGATGCTGGTACAGAACAGCACCTGCTGAGAGGTTGCTGCGCAGGTGTTGTTGTGGCGTAGACCAGAGAGGGAAGCCGCCATCTTGTTTGCACCAAAAATAACTGAAAAAACGGTATGTGGTGTGCTAATGACAGAGGCTGAATATTCTTCTGGCAGTCTTCAGACAACTACCGGTACCGGTCCGAGACAAGCTCACTGTGGCGAGAAGGCGTTGCTCAGGTAAGACACTATGTAGAAGATCAAAGTTATCTGCACACAAACAAAAAAGCAAATTTGTTCGGCAGTTACCCAACAACAACAATAACAAGTAGCTCGTACACAAACAAGAAACTGTGGGATGGCGGTGATTGTAAGCGATGCTGTAGTGAATGCAGAGGGATGTGGCACTCTATGGCGGATATTATAACGGGAAAAGAGATGAAAGAATTCACTGTGGAACAAAGGGAAGAGTGAGCAAGCAAGGCGTGGGACAAAATGGGGGAAGACACGGAGAGGGGAGATAGCGGGAGTAGGAGGGGGACAAAGAGGGAGTGGGAGAGGGGTGATAGAGGGAGTAGGAGAGGGACAAAGAGGCGAGGAAGAGAGAGAGACGGGGAGCGGGAGGGGTTGGGCTGAGAGAAAAGGTGAGTGAGAGGGCACTTACAATAACGATTAGATAGAATAGATATCGCCACTTGGCATTGTCACAGACTGCCAAGCGCCCCCTCACAAGCCTCCCCTCTGTTCTGCACGAGGCAATGATCTTGCCAATACACTCTCGTGTCGCCTGGGAATTGGGATCCGAGCAATCGACCTGCAGTTCACATGTGCGCACATGGGTGTGCAGGCAGGGGAGATGGAGAGCGAGGGGTTGCAGTGGTTTGGTGCCGAGAGTTCTCTAGATTCGACCCATGTGAATGTGTGTGTGTGTGCGTGCGTGCAGGGGAGTAGGTGGCGAGTGAGGGTGATGCAGTTATCACATTACATGCCGTATACAGCCAGCCTTCCTTTCATCCGTTACCCCATCCTAGGCAAGGTGCGGCGCACCTTCTTCATGATCTCGAACCCAAAGTCGGTGAAGGAAGAGCGCACGTCCGCCATGCTCCGCGTCTGCTCCATCACCTTGGCCGCCAGTCCTGCGAGTGGTGGGAGAGAGTGAGACAGGGTGGGGAGGGCGGCGACAGACAGGGTATGAGGAGAGGTGCTCTTGAAGGGCTCAGAGCCGCGTCAGCTGCATCACCTCGGCCGCCAGGCCTGGGGGAGACGGGAGTGCAAGGCAGGGTGAGGCGTGACACAGGGAGACAGCGAGACACAGTGGGGGGGAGGCATATTTACACTAAGGAGCCCATGACTGTACTGGATTGAGGGACACGCTTCACCAAGGCGGCCTCCCTGCCGCGCTCCCCCCTTCCTTGTTTTCCTCCCTTCACCCATTTCAGCCCGTGGAACTCGTCTCATCTGACCGTCCCTTGGGGATCCCACCTCGTCTCATCTTCACGACGCCTTTGAAGACCTCGATGTTGTTGTAGCACAGAGCGAGAGTGCCCATGGCCATGATCTGCACGCGGGGCAGGTAAGGGGAGCACGGAAGCAGGGAAGCTCTGACGCGTGTCCTGCCATTCCTTGGAAGCATATTTACACTAAGGAGCCCATGACTGTACTTGGTGTCAACTCGCGTTCACACAGTATCTTCATGGATCATACTCGTTCGCATCCGGGTCTCAACTGCTGGCATGTGGATGTTCTCATTCCGGTATTTCTAAAACTGATGATGACCTGTCACGGCTCGATCTGTGAGGCACTGACCTGGGGGATGGCGCAGATGACTTTTGAGTCGACTCAAAAGTCATCTCGTTACAATGTCACACGGAACGTTCGCTTCAAGAAGAACCATTCTCGCTTGGAGGCTGCCGAAGAGAGCTGGAAATTTTCTTATTTCTGCTCATAAGTGTTAGACTACAGTATATTTGTACTGTTTTGTTTTTCTCTTTTCCCTGGCCATCGTCGAGACCCCGCAGAGGAATGCCTCGCGAGGAGTCCTCGAGGTGGTATTTATAGGCTAGCTAGTCTTGCTTATTTCTTTGTGATCTGAAGAAGGCTCTCGAGCCGAAACCGGTTACCATCAAATCTTCACAAAGATTTTTCAAAAAGCAAGTTCTACACTCTGCTTTTTACTTAAGCGTTTTCTTGAGTTGCTGCCACGTAAAGACCCATGGCACCCAAGTGGTGTTCACTCGGATGGCGCCCTGTGAGCAACTGACCTGGGGGATGGCGCAGAATCTGAAGACCTGGGGGTCTCTAAGGCGGTTCATGTAGGTGAGGCAGTCCGACACATGGCCCAGGGCGTTGGTCACCATGTCGTTCACGCACTTCACAGCTGCTGCCCCGTTGGCGTCCACGTCCTTGAAGTCCTGGTGGGAGTGAGTGGGGACGGAAGGCAGCATGGTAGTGGTCAGAGGGCAAGGCACACATACATTGCAGTCGGACACATGGCCCCAGGCAGGGCGTTGATCACCATGTCGTTCACGCACATCACTGCTGCTGCCCCATTCGCATCCACGTCTTTAAAGTCCTGATGAGAGGGAGTACAGGCGGGACACACAAGGCAGTCAGATGCAAATGGCCCCAGGCAGGGCGTTGCGTTGGTCACCATGTCGTTCACGCACTTCACAGGTGCTGTGACATTGGCGTCCACATCCTTGAAGTCCTAGTGCAGCGGCATGAGCGTAGTTGCAGGGAAAGAATTACAGTGGTGCATGTGATTCAAGGTACGTGGCAGTCAGTGGGGCACGTAATGCAGGGCACGTGGCAGTCAGTGGAGCACATAATGCAGGGCACGTGGTGGCAGTCAGTGGGGCACAAAATGCAGGGTACGTGTTGAAGACTTGCTTGGCCTATTTCCTCCCACATCAACGCACCTCGAGGTGCTTGGCGTATTTGCCCCAGATGGCTTTGGGCCAGAACATGCGGGGAGCCGGCTCCTCCATGATGTCCTCTAGGTAGTCCCGGATGATGTTCGTCTTCTGCTCCACATGGTGTGACCATCGACACATGCACATGGGCAGGGGGGAAGGTGGAATGGATTGAGAGTGGGGCAGGGCTGGGATGGGCGCTAGGTCCAACGCAGGCTCCCCCAGGATGTCCTCTAAATAGGCCCGGATGATGCTCGTCTTCTGCTCCATGGGGCATGCACGCATGGGAAAATGCATGCATGGGGGCATCCACACACAGGGACAAGCACATGGGTTAAAGCCAGGGTCCCATAATTCCAACTATTTATCACTTGGTTGGGACATTCGGTGATTGGAGGGCGAGGTGCAGAAGAGTTGGAGAAAACGAAACGCAGGTAGCGAGGCCGTTTGTTTCGTCAAAATTCCCAAACCGAAATCCTGGTTCGGGCAAAGGTGGCTCGAATTTGGTTTTCCGCACCGAGCCAGTCACACTTCGGAAATCCAACGGCCTACAATCCATTTTTTTTGCTCTCACTTTCTACTTCGCTACCAACCGTCGATTCAACTGCCTAGGGAGCTGACCGTCAGATCTGAAATTGGGACAGATCTAACGGCCCACAGTACCAGTTGCGCGCTACTTCCCAGGGTGTGAGCAGTCTCATATTTCACGGAACCGTGGTGCCCCTGGTTGCTTCCACCCTCTCACGGGCTTCCCCTAACCTCCCCCCCTAGTTTCGGCCATGTAGCCTGGTACCAAGTGTTTAACGCTTGGAAAGATTCTGGAACTGAGACACGGGCTTTAAGGGATGGCGTGGAGCAGAATGGGATAGAAAGGGTCCGATGCAAGATCCTCCACGACGTGCTCTATATAGCCTCGGAACGAGTTGGTTTTCTGCTCCATGGGGTTTAGGGTAGGAATGGGGCATGCACGGAATGGGGCATGCAGACGGGTTAGGGGGCATGCAGACGGGTTAGGGGGGGAGTAGATCAGAATGGGATAGATAGAATGTTCTGATGCAGGCTCCTGCACTGCACCCATGATTCAATGGCATTACTGTGAGCTATGGACAATGGGCATACACAAAGCCACCTCGACTGGAGCTCATCTGTAACTTGACTCGCCATCGTCTGCACGAAGCATGGGGCTCTTCCTGCAGGTCAGGTCAGCTGTAACTTGACTCACTCTTAAAAGGTCCCCAAGAGAGGACCTGACCTGCAGGAAGAGCCCCATGGAGTTGGAGAGCGACTCCTCAAAGGCTTCCTCCAGGTTCTTCGTTGTGGCAACTCAAAACCACCATACCTCACCTAAGAGTTGCCCTGCGCGTCATCACACTAAGCCCAGCGCGGACCTGCAGGAAGAGCCCCATGGAGTTGGAGAGCGACTCCTCAAAGGCGTCCTCCAGGTGGGCTGCCCCTGCCATTACTAGCCATCGTCGCACCTCAGGAAAGTGTTGCCCTAGCGGCTACAATGGGAGCCCTGACCTGCAGGAAGAGCCCCATGGAGTTGGAGAGCGACTCCTCAAAGGCGTCCTCCAGGTTGGAGGCATGGAAGAGGTCAGACAGCCCGATGCCCACCAGCCCCGCCACGTAGTGGCAGTACTCGTCGTACTGCGGCACCGTCTCCACCTGGGATGCAGAGACCGGGGAGAGATGGAAAACGGATAATCCTTCTAAGGCGCCTCCGAGGCAGACACTGCGCCATGTAGTGCCCCTACTCGTCGTACTGCGGCACCGCCTCCACCTGGAATCAGTCTACAACACGGGGGAGGTGACAGTGGGGAAACGGAGCATAGTTTTGAGGCGCCTCAAAACTAGAATCAGTGTACGACACGGGGGAGATGACAATGGGGAAACGGAGCATTCAGCTTGTGAGTCGACTCAAAGACATGCCCACCAGACACGGTGGCAGTACTCGCCATACTGCGGTACCTCCACCACCTGGGGTTTGTTCTGGGGAGGGGTTTGCATTAGCAAAGGTATGGGGTTTGGTCTGGGGAGGGGTTTGCATTAGCAAAGGTATGGGGTTTGGTCTGGGGAGGGGTTTGCGTTAGAAAAGGTATGAGGCGAGGGATTTGCAGGGTTACAAGGTCAGGGTTCAGCGCTGAGTGGAGGGGTGAGCATTAGCAAAGGTGTGAGAAGGCATTTGCATCAGGGTTCAGTGTTGCGGGGAGGGAGGAGCATAACCAGAGAGGTAGAGGGGAATGAATGACAACTACATGGAAAATAGAGAAGGCCACAGGAGATCGGCTTGAAACGGCTGGCTGACCTCTGTGGTGGCGATGGGCGACATGCCTGCGCCCAGGCTTGCTTCTGAGGCGCTAAAAGAAAGAAGAAAAGGCCAGAAAGAGCCCTGTGTGGAATCGGCGGCGCTGACTGACCTCTGTGGTGATGAAGGACGCCATGCCTGCGCCCATGCGTTTTGTGATGTCCAGAATCACCGCCTTGTACCTGCCAGCCATGCGTGAGCCCATCCCATGCGTGCGAGGAAACGGCAGGGTGGTTGGTTTTGGGGGGGGGGGGGGGGGGGGGGGGAGGGGAGGGAGGGAGATCTGATGGGTAGTAAAACTATAGCACGACATCCAGCACAGCCTGGTCCAACATTGCACCTGAACTGGGAAATAGCTTTCACTAGCTTATAGCCCGGATTGGCTTGACTCTACCCCCACCTGGGCTCTACCCTGCACCTGGGCTGTACCCCGCACCTGGGCTCTAGTTTATCAAGTGCGTTGCGCACGTGGTGCAGCCGTTGCATGAGGTCCTTGTAGTCCTTGGTGCCGCCTGGCGGAGGGCCCAGGATGCAGCAGGAGGAAGGAAGCAGAGAGTGTGAGTAAGAGAGGGAATGGGCTCGCGTGAGTGTGTGCGTGGCTTCCAATTGGCAAGAAGAAGGAAGGAGATAAGAGAGAACCGAAGGAAAGGAATAAAGAGAACGAAGGCGTTGTGGAGCTTGTTGGGCTGGGACTACTGACTGCCAGGCGTGGTATCTCCATGGACAAAATGGAGGAGAAAGCGAGCAGGAAGAAGGGGGGGGGGTGGGGTGGGGTGGGGTGGGGGGAGGGGCACTGACAGACGAATTTCCAGTTGGGGTCGCAGATGTGTTGATGGAAGGCGATGAGGATGGGGACCTTCTCGTCGATGGGAATCGCCATGTCGTCCTCTGGTGAGAGGTGGATTCGAGAATGGGAATGGAAGGGCGAGTGGGAATGGAAGTGGGGGTGGAGTGATAGCGAGGAATTTGGGGGGGTGGAATGTACGTTGGTAGATTCGTAGACTATAGTGCGAGTGGGGAAAAAGGGAAGTGGAGAGGAGAAGAGGAATGGAAAAGGGAAGGAATTTGGGAGAGTTTGCATAAATTGTTAGGTTAAGCTAGCATCAAGTCAAAGAAAAAAGCGGAAGGAGACGACGAAGAAGGTGGGTGAAATGTACCGACTGTGTCGAGGGCGCGTAGCACGAGGTAGAAGATGCACACCTGCCAGGGAAACGCAGAACATTCAAAATCATTATCCTGATTCTCTAACATGACTCTCCATCTGAGACCACAGTCAGAAGCATTGGGTGAGTGCACGCCTTCGACACTTCACACATACAGCAGACAACGGCTCTTCTGCAAGCCCGGCTCAGAGAACCCATTAGCAATGGCGTTCCCTTAATCACATGTTCAATGTTGGAAAATGGTTTCGTTGTATTTTGAGTCGACTCAAAATACAATTAACGATGGCGTTCCCTTAATCACATGTTCAATGTTGGAAAATGGTTTCGAGTTTTCACCACCCTTGTCGTGCTTATGGTCCACGGAGGGCATTACTCAGTCAAATTCCAACTTCTTCATTCCGTACCGGATCCCGGAGCAGCGGGTGCAGCTGCTGGATGACGAAGGAGAAGCTTCTGCTGACGCGGTTGAGCATGCCGTAGCAGAAGGCGAAGTCCTCGTCGTCGGGAAGCTTCGCGACCATCGCCGCCATGTGCCGAACCCGCAGCAGCGGCATCAGCTCGTCTGGATGGCTCAAGATCTCGCTCAGCATCCCCATGGCTGCTTCGCTGTGCTTCCAAAACTTATCAGTAACTTAATTTACTGTCGGGTTGCTCCTGATGGATGGTGCTATCCGATCACGCTGCAGCGCGCAGTATTTCAGCTTACGCGAGGCAATGTTACTAAAGTTTGCCGTCAGTCTGCCGTCAGTCCGACTCAAAAAGAGATCTCAAGATAGTGGCCTGAAGTGCAGCCTGAAGTGCAGCCTGAAGTGCAGCCTGAAGTGCAGCCTGAAGTGCAGCCTGAAGTGCAGCCTGAAGTGCAGCCCGAGCACCCTCGAGACTGACGATGATCCTCGTGCTGCTCTGAAAGCCTGTGCGTTTTCTACGGAGAATTTCAAGCTTCAGTTGACAAGCAGAAAATTCCCTGAATCCCACCAAGCAGTTGACAGGTCAGACATTCACCAGTTTTCTCACACAATGACCTGAATCGATTGTCAGCCACACGCTTGGCTTGCTAGGACCGTTGGCTTGGACGATCAGGATTGGGAGGATTCGGTGACCTGGTATACCGCTGATTCCGCCTGAGTCACGAGGAAACGGTGATCGCGCTAGTACTCGGCAGCCAATCATAAGGTTTCTAGGTTTCTACAATACACGCAGAAATGCATTAATGGCTTACACGAAGCGGTTTATGTCTTCGATCTATTTGATATACTAAATACTTTTTGAAGTCTCTTCTTACATGCACCTCCAATAGTTGTCCCTTACCCACAAGATGCGAGCAGATACACCACATCGAATCCATCCATTACCTCCTTACAAGCCTGGGAAGTACTAATAACCTGCATTAGGATGTGCACCCATAACAAGGCGTGTGATCTGTAGCCCTCGGCTGAATGCTTGGTTGAACAACACTCTCGTCTGCATGTCTTGAACTCCAGGGAGCCACGACAGCACCGCCATGGGCAAAAACACAATCACCCCGATAATAAACTCGTACGTCCTCGCGAAGCTCTTCACAAGGCCCCACGTCCACCATGTCTCGACCATTGGGAATGCTCCAGCCACCACGAGTGACAACTGCAGGAACCCCCACCCAGTGGGGAGGAAGACTAGAGGAAGCAAGAAGACATCTGAAATGGACAGGCTTGTGAAGGAAAGGGCAGTGATGAGGGCGGCGAGGAAGACGAGGCTGATGGTGACTTTGACGGCGCGGTACATGCGGTGCGAGCGGATGGAGAGGTATTGGTCGCAGAGCGTGAGGGAGATCCAGAAGAGGCCCATGGCGGCGATGAAGAGCCACGAGAAGACGTACACAATGATGCTCGTGCTTGCGTTGGCTACGTCCAGCTGGCGATGGGGATAGGGAGAAACGTAGAGAAAAAGGAACAGAGAGGTGGGGGGAGGAGGGGGGAGGGGGGAGAGGGGGCAGGGGGGGGGGGAATATAAATGGGTGAAACACAGACAGCTCGTAGGCGCCAGGAAGACAACAGGTTCAGAAAGTGTCAAACGTTTCCTCATTCCAGCTCAAAATCCGGCTGTTTCCCGTCAATCGAGAAACTGACCAACAGCTGTGGTCAGCTCGACTCACCCGGTACACGAGCGCATACTGGAAGAAGAACCATCTCAGCGCCAGCAGCGTCTCCACAATCCACCCACCCCACCCCGTGGTCTTCAGATGCGACCTCTCCTCGTCCCACCACACCACCCACGCCTGCTTCTCTGTCACGCCCTTGCCCCCCTTGGTCCACAGCCACCCTGTCCACTCCTCCCAGTCGTCGCAGCACTTGAGCCAGTCGAAGCCCAGGGGGTTGAAGGCGAAGGGGGCGAGCAGCCAGGAGAGCACAAGGATCCACGCGGAGAGGGAGAGCAGCCAGTAGGCGGTGGAGGCGGAGAGGGAGGAGTAGAGCATGTAGATCACGAGGCACAGCAGCAGCTCCACCGCCTTGTTGAAGTGGCTGCGAGAATACAGGCGGTAGTTCTCCGAAAACGCCTCGTGCTTCACCACGAAGCCACGCCCCGTGGCTCGGTACTGCAGAGGGGGAGGGTCGGTAGAGTGGGGGAGCGGGCAAGAAATGGGATCAGGTGAGTGCAGCAGGCAGTCTCAGCTAGTGGCTGTGCCTCATGTGGAAAAGAAGGGGAGGAGACGGAGGAGTAGAGCATGTAGATGACGAGGCACAGCAGCAGCTCCACCGCCTTGTTGAAGGGGCTGCGCGATTAGAGGCGGTAGTTCTCCGAGAACGCCTCGTGCTGTACTACTAAGCCACAGCCTGTGGCTCGGTACTGGGTAGGTAGGGGGGAGGAGGGGAGGGAAGGAGAGGGGAGGGAGGGCTTGATGGGGAGAAGGGGGAACGGGAATGGAAACTGGAAGAGGAAGTAGAGGATTGGTCACCCTCTCACCTTGGCGCCGCCGTGCATGACTCTCACCTTGGCGCCGCCGTGCATGAGTGTGCGCAGGAAGTAGTGCGCTCTGGTGCCGAGGGAGAAGGTGAAGAAGGCGAAGCAGAGCTGCACGTGCATGATGAGGAACTCCCAGATGGCTGCCCCCGTGCCCTTCTCCAGAATCAGCTCCATCAGCATCGGCAGCGACGTGAACAGCCCGATCTGGGGGAATGGGTAAGAGGGGAAACGGAGAGATGGTGTTTTACTAGAGCACCATGAGTGCGGAATGGGACATGACATCAACATGCACCATCACCACGGGCAGCAACGTGAAGCGACTGATCTGGAGGAGTGCAACTACGAGATGGGGGGAGCACCCAGTGGCCTATTTGACAAACCTCAACTCCCATGTACCCATGACAAACCTCCACTAGTTCACACCTGCACAAGAAACTGCTGGTTGATGGCAGCAGAAAGCGCCTGGCTGTCCGAGGAAGCGATCGTGGCCTCCACGCCAGACAGCACCAGGTAGCACCTCCCCCAGAGGAAGGCGTAGACAGCCATGGCAGTTAAAGCAGTGCTGAAGAAGAAGCCGATGGACGTGGTGTAGAAGGACAGCAGGCGGAAGATGTCCAGCCCGTGGCCCAGGCGGTACACGTCGCGCGACAGCAGCTGCTCGCCGTTGCCACTCGCCACCTTGGCCTCGAAGAGAGAGATCTGGTTCAGCCCCACGTCCCTGCCCTTGCCCACCTGAAGCATGGGGTGAGGCACATGTTTGTGGAGGGAGGGAAGCGAGGGAGGGGAGGGAGGATCTGGTTCAGCCCCACGTCCCTGCCCTTGCCCACCTGAAGCATCGGGCGAGGCACATGCGTGTGGAGGGAGGGAGGCGAGGGAGGGGAGGGAGGATCTGGTTCAGCCCCACGTCCCTGCCCTTGCCCACCTGAAGCATGGGGTGAGGCACATGCATGTGGAGGGAGGGAGGCGAGGGAGGGGAGGGAGGATCTGGTTCAGCCCCACGTCCCTGCCCTTGCCCACCTGAAGCATGGGGTGAGGCACATGCATGTGGAGGGAGGGAGGTGAGGGAGGGGAGGGAGGATCTGGTTCAGCCCCACGTCCCTGCCCTTGCCCACCTGAAGCATGGGGTGAGGCACATGCATGTGGAGGGAGGGAGGCGAGGGAGGGGAGGGAGGATCTGGTTCAGCCCCACGTCCCTGCCCTTGCCCACCTGAAGCATGGGGTGACACATGTGCGTGTGGAGGGAAGGACGGGTATGGCCATGGGCAGGGATGTGGAGGGAAGGAGAGGTATGCGTATGGGGGAAGGGTGTTGGCACAAGGGCAGGTGAATGGATGAGGAGAGCAGGCGGAAGATGTCCAGCCCGTGGCCCAGGCGGTACACATCGTGCGACAGCAGCTGCTTGCCGTTGCCGCTGGCGACATTTGCTTCAAACAGAGAGCTCTGGTTTAGCCCCACGTCACGGCCCCTTTCCGACCTGAAGCATGGGGTGAGGCACATGCGCGTGTGCAGGAGAGAGGGGTATGTGTATGGGAGGTCTGGTTTTACCCCACATTGCGACGCGGCCCTTGCCCACCTGGAGTGAGAGGCATGGGTACAGCGTGCAGCATAGCTGGGTGCAGCATAGCTGGGTGCAGCATAGCTGGGTGCAGCATAGCTGGGTGCAGCATAGCTGGGTGCAGCATAGCTGGGTGCAGCATAGCTGGGTGCAGCATAGCTGGGTGCAGCATAGCTGGGTGCAGCATAGCTGGGTGCAGCATAGCTGGGTGCAGCATAGCTGGGTGCAGCATAGCTGGGTGCAGCATAGCTGGGTGCAGCATAGCTGGGTGCAGCATAGCTGGGTGCAGCATAGCTGCGTGCAGCATAGCTAGGTGCAGGATAGCTGGGTGCAGCATAACTCGGTGCAGCATAGCTGGGTGCCGCATAGCTTGGCGCAGCATAGCTACATTGGGGCATTCTGCTTTTGAGCCGACTCAAAGGCAGACCTTGCCCACCTGGAGTGAGAGGCATGGGTACGGGGTGGAGCATAGGGGCATGGAGGGACGTATATAATATATGCTCATGGGGCGAAGTGTATGGACATAGAGGGGAAGCACCTGCCCTACCACATAGCAGTCTGAACATGGAGAGAGCATAGCAAATCACCTGCATGTACTCGTGGTGCGAGATGGCCCCTCGTCTGAGCGTGGTGTTGAACCCTGCGAAGATGTCCTCGCTGATGTTGATCACCCGCGACGCCTTGCTAATGCCTCCCCGCGCCAGCGACCACACGCGGTCAAAAACGTCCGGATGGCCATAGTGCATGCGCACCTGGAGGGGGTGCGAGGGAGATCGAGACAAGGAGAGGAGAATGAGCGAGGGGGCGAGAAGGAACGTATGGGTGGGGTGCCAGCGACCATACTTGGTCAAACACGTCGGACGACAAGAGTGCCAACAACCCACCTTGAGCGGGTTGTAGAGCACGCGTTGGCCGATGGTGACAAACGCCGTCTCCTGCGCCGACATAAACGCCGCCAGCGACGACACACTCCCCGTGAACACATGCTCCCGCATCCCCAGAATCCGCCTCCTCGGCTCCGAAAACTCCTCCAAGAAGTTCCTTATCTTCAGCGCCTCCTCCAGATAGCTGTCCTGGTTCATGTCAATCGTCTGCAGCGCGTCCCCCCGCGTGAAGATGATGGCATGGTTCTGGTTCTCCGGCTTGCCCTCCCCGACCTTGATCGGGCCCGGTAACCGCACGCGAAAGATCTCCACCTCCCGCTGATTCCAGTGGTCCCACTTCACCAGGACCGAGTAGTATCTAGTCCCACCACCCGATCCCGGCGCGGGCGGCTGCTCGTCCACATAGGCGATTCTGAGTGCCGGATTCTCCTGCATGAGCTCCAAAACGTGCCGCGCTTTCGGGTCGTTTTTCCGCTTGTGCTCCCCGTAGATCTGGCACGCGACGACGTACGTGAACTTGACGTCTGCCAGGGGGAACTGCGGGTCGTACTCCTGCTGCTGCCCCAGGTGCTGGGAGATCTGCTCCTTCATCTGCTCGATCGACGCCTGGGATTCCCAGCTTGCACCGCCTGACATCCTGCCGCTGGAGCCAAACGCAGAGGCGACGGCAGCAGCCGCAGCGGCAGCAGCGGATGCCTCCTCAGCAGGAGGGGCAGGGGCGGCGTGGGGCTTGGGGCGAAGCTCCTGGCCTTGGGCGGGGGGGGCGTCTGGGTCCGTGTCAAAGTAGGAGAGCAGGTCGAGAGCCCTGTGGTAGTACATGATGCCGCGCACGGTGCGAGCGAGGGTCTGGCCGCGGTAGGATGCCCAACGGCACACCTCAGCCCCGTCGTCAAACTCCCACACCTCCCTGCCGCGCACCCCCAGCCGCTCCTCCAGGTTCTTCCACTCGTCTGCAGGGAAGGGAAGAAAGAGAGACCGGGGGAACAACAGAAAGCGCTGTTAGCAAGAAGGAAGGGCGAGCAGGAGGCAATTCTAAACTCCCACACCTCCCTGCCACGTTCTCCCAGCCACTCCTCCAGGTTCTTCCACTCGTCTGCACGGACAGGGAAGAAGGGGAAACCGGCGGAGTAACAGAGAGTGCTGTTAGCAAGAGTACAGGACGAGAAAGCGAGAAAAGCCACCTCCCTGCCGTGCACTCCCAGCCGCTCCTCCAGGTTCTTCCACTCATCTGCGCGGACAGGGGAGCAAAGCAACAGAGAGTGCTGTGAGCAGGTGGGAAGGCGGAAGAAACAAGGAGCTTGACCCTTGTTTCTTCCCACCTCCTCCTTGTCCAAGGGTAATATGTAAACTGTTATGCCTCCGTGCTTGACCCTCACACCCAGCCGCTCCTCCAGGCTTTTGAGGGACTCTGAGGCCCACTGGCAAGCTAGTGCACGGCAGTGTGTGAGGTAGGCGCTGAGCACAAGAAGCCTTTCTCAGCACCTGGCAATTTTATTGGCAAATACCTGGGAAGATATTCTGCAGGCAAAAGAGCAGCGAGATGCCGTCTTCAGTGGGCCGCCTGAGCTCGTCCGCCGAGTGCATGACTGACTCGTTATAGTACGGCGTCATCACACAGAAGGACCGCATGCGCTGCACCGTGGCCACTCTTGGTGCGCCACTGACAATACACTAGAAGGTGTTTAAAGAAAACCTAGAAAAGGGGCTCCTATCCAGGAGGTTATTTTTCCCGAGTACCTGGGAAATTCACTGGCAACTACCTGGGAAGATGTTCTGCAGGTAGAAGAGCAGCGAGATGCCGTCTTCATTGGGCCGTCTAATCTCCTCAGGCGAATACATGACGGACTCATTATAGTACGGCGTCATCACACAGAAGGACCGCATGCGCTGCACCGTGGGTGCGGGCGGCATGGCCATGAACAGTGAGTTGCAGAAGAAGGTCACCCGCCTCCTCGCCTCGGGGTTCGCCGGGATGGTGGCCATGGCGTTCTGGCACGTGAGCAGCGAGTGCAGGCGCTGCAGTGGTGCGAAGAAGGCGAGGTCGGAGGGGTCAGGCAGGCGGATGGCGCCCACGTAGAGCGGCGAGGCGGAGGAGGAGGAGCGTGGGATGACGCCCTTGGCCAGCAGGAGAGAGTAGTTGCTGGCGCTCCAGAAGTCACGCACGGCTACTTCGTGAAGATTCTGCACCAACATGATCGCCTGGGGGAGGGGTGGGAGGGCGGTAGTGTTTCCTAGTTGAGTTTTAAGGGGCTGCTGGTGATCCTTAAGGAAGCAAGAGAGAGTAGTTGCTGGCGCTCCAGAAGTCACGCACGGCCACCTCGTGCAGATTCTGCACCAGCATGATGGCCTGGGGGAGGGGTGGGAGGGAGGAAGGGTTTTCTAGTTGGGTTTTAAGCGACCGTTGGTGATCCTTTAGGAAGCAGGAGAGAGTAGTTGCTGGCGCTCCAGAAGTCACGCACGGCCACCTCGTGAAGGTTCTGCACCTGCATGATCGCCTGGGGGAGGGGTGGGAGGGGGGAGAAGGGTGGGAAGGGTGGGAGGGTAGAGGAGTAGGAAAGGGTAAGATAACCTCTTAGAGGTTCTGCACCAGCATGATCGCCTGGGGTCAGTGGGGGAGGGGTGGGAGGGAGGGATGGGGAGGAGAAAGAGGCAAGGGGGTTCAACAACACAGGCTTACTCCGAGGGATGGTCAGTGGAGGCGGCCATGGGAAGGCACAGGCTCAATCCACATGGGGAGTACCAGATCATGCTCCATGCGGCTTGTTGACACGCCTCAAGAGGCTCACCTTGGGAAGGTCATTCTCGGTGGGCCCTTTCAGCAGAAACGTGGTGAGAGCTACCAGCTTCGCCTGCACGGCTGGCAGCTTCTCCAGATGGAAATCGTCCACGAAATCCCTATCAGTGTGCGCCTCCCCTGCCGCCCCGCTGGCAGCGCCGTCGATCTCCGCCAGCAGCTGCTGCATCATGCGGTGCTCGGGTGTGCCGGCGACGATGAGGTGGTCGAGCAGCAGGCGGAAGAGGGCGAACGTCTCCAGCACGGCACAGCGGCAGAATTCGGACGAGCAGAGGCGGCGCCACAGGGAGGAAGACGACCCCTTCCACCTGCCAGCGATGGTAGTGGCCTTCACCACCTGATTGGAATTGGGGGAATGAGTCGGGGGGGTTGGGAGATGGGGTGGGGAGGAAGGAAGTTAGTTGAGCAGAGGCGGCGCCAGAGGGAACAAGACGACCCCCTCCACCTGCCAGCTATGGTAGTGGCCTTCACCACCTGATTGGAATTGGGGGAATGAGTCGGGGGGGTTGGGAGATGGGGTGGGGAGGAAGGAAGTTAGTTGAGCAGAGGCGGCGCCAGAGGGAACAGGACGATCCCCTCCATCTGCCGGCGATGGTTGTGGCCTTCACCACCTGTTTGGAATGGGGGGAACAGAGAGGAGGACGAAGTGGGATGTACAGATCATGCCAGGTATGCGCACCACAGCATCGGGCACCACAGCTGGGGTGCTACAAGCACATCAAGTCATCCCTGATCCGTTATAAGAACATTAGGTCATCCCTGAACTGTTATAAGCACAACAGATCATCTCCGATCCGTGATGAGAACATTGAGCCATACCTGATCTGCCAGAAGCACAATGGGCCAGCGAGAGATAGTGGCAGTGGTGTAGGCCTCCGGGATGGAGAGAAGGTTGAGCTCGCTGTCTGCCAGGAGGTCCTCCTCTCTGAAGCTCTCGATCACGCTGTTCCACAGCACCACCCACCTCTCGTCCGTCTCCTGCATGCGGGGAGAAGGGTTGGGGGGGGGGGACAAACAACGACTCAAAGCATATTCACTTTCTCCTCTCTGAAGTTCTCGATCACGCTGTTCCACAGCACCACCCACCTCTCGTCCGTCTCCTGCATGCGGGGAGAAGGGTGGGGGGGGGGGGACAAACAACGATTCAAAGCATATTCACTTTCTCCTCTCTGAAGCTCTCGATCACGCTGTTCCACAGCACCACCCTCTGCTCGTCCATCCCTGCACGTTCGAGTGTGCAGACAACGCTGGCCCATTCAAGCAACAAGGAACCTGCGTGAGCAGCAGGAATGATGGGTCAGAAGGAAATATCGGTGGAGGGGACAACGGATGACGGACAACAGCAGTCGAGAATCCAACCTCTTCCCAAACCATCCACCCAGCCACAGGCAAACAAATCGACCTAATCACCCAGCCCTAATCACCCAACCCTAATCACCCAACCCTAACCACCCAGCCCTAATCACCCAACCCTAATCACCCAGCCCTAATCACCCAACCCTAATCACCCAGCCCTAACCACCCAACCCTAATCACCCAACCCTAATCACCCAGCCCTTATCACCCAGCCCTTATTACCCAACCCTAATCACCCAACCGTAATCACCCAACCCTAACTATGCCAGATCTTGGCCATGCAAACCTTCCTGCTCCCACTGCCTCCTCCCATAACACGCACCCATGAGTCAGGCAAGACGAGCCATGCTGTTCCACATGCGCACTATGGCACTGCTCCCAGCCCTACCCCTTCCCCCCGCTCCCCAAGCAATGACACGTGCTTACCCATGTGTCGGGCGAGACGAGCCCGTACGTCATGGCCATTCGGTTCCACATGCGCGCCATGGCGCTGCGCATGCCGCTGCGGCGGTGAGCGTTGGCAGAGGGCGGCAGCAGGTTGAGGTGCATGGCTCGGGGGAGAAAGCGGAAGCGCAGCGTGAGCAGCTTCACGTGGCTCACCTGTGGAGGGAGAAGGGGGAAGGGGGGAGGGGGGAGGGGGGATGGCGGAACGGGGAGGGGCAAGATTGCAAGAGAACGTAGAGGCAGCAGGTTGAGGTGCGTGCATGGTGCAGGGGAGGAAGTGGAAGCGCAGCGTGAGCAGCTTCACGTGGCTCACCTTTGGAGGGAGAAAGAGGGGGGGGGGTGGAAGAGGAGTGGGGAGGGGAACAAGAGCGCAGAAGGAAGCAGGTTGAGGTGCATGGGGAGAGGCAGAATCGCAGCGTGCATGGCTGGCATGGGGGGGGGGGGTGGGAAAGCGGGATGGCGGATGGGGAGGGGAGGGGCTGGGGTGCAAGAGAGTGGAGAGGCAGCAGGTTGAGGTGCATGGCGCACGGGAGGCAGCAGGTTGAGGTGCATGGCGCACGGGAGGGAAACAGAAGGGCGGACTCAGCAGCAAGTCAGCAATGGATTTGCCTGCATGCACCGTGGCACCATATCAGAACCGGCGGCTTCCATTTTTGAGGCGCCTCAAGATTTGCCTGCATGCACCTTGGCACCATATCAGAACCGGCGGCTTCCTCTCAACTTCGAATGAAGTTTCCCATACCGACATCACTAACGTCCCCTTACACACCTCTCCGATATGAGCAAAGACGCCCATGATATAGCCGACAACAGATGAGAAGATGGCGTAGAATATCTGCAGATCCATGATGTAGATCTGCATTGGGGCATGGGACGATTGGGGCAGTTCGAAAGGCAAAGGGCGACATGGCATGCGATTCTCTGCCATTTTCTATGAACTATTATGCTACCAAGGTAGCATGCTTGGCGCGGGTCTTAACCATAGAGTTTGGAAGGATTGTGGTCACAAAGATTGCCAAACAAGGAAATGTCTGTAGGGAGGAGGAGAGGGGCATCGAAAGTGACCAGGACGATAAATTGCTGGCAGGGAAGACAGGGAGACCAGATCTCCAAATGGAGACAGGGAAGACGAAAGGCTGGCACGGGTAGGGAAGGGAAACGGGATGCTGTGGAAGGGTGACTGAGGGTGGCTGCATGCAAGGTGAATAGACAGCAGATGAGTGACGTACCACACCAACTGGTGCCCAGAGCCAGAAGACAGCGAAGTAGTTGCCTGTTGTTCACAGAGAGACACACACACAGACATGCACACACCAGCGGACACACACACACACATGCACACACCAGCGCAGGCCCACACACACTCACAGATGCACAGGAGAGGAAAAGGGAAAGGTGCATAAGGGAAAGGAAAGGGAGAGAATAGCCTAAGCCTTGGCAGCACAGCACAGCACAGTGCCCATGGCAGCACAGCACAGCACAGTGCCCATGGCAGCACAGTTGACTCGCACAGCTCATGTCTGTCTTGGGTCACTTCAAGTTCGCTTACAAGTTTCGGAGACGCTCAGACGGAACTCTGACCTTCTGAGTTCGATAACAAGGCCTGCCTTCAGCAAAAGGAGCGCGCTCAGACGTGTTGGTACGCACCCCTGGCCCCTGTTTAGCTTCGAGAGGATTATAGAGTTCTGTGAGGCTCAGGACGCGTTTTCAGACGCCTCACCACGTGCTCCTGAGATTTACAACTGACTTGTAGAGTTTTTCTCGGCCCTGAGACCACACCTGACTTGTAGACAATTTTCGGCCCTGAGACCACACCTGACTTGTAGAGCTCCGGCCACGTGTAGTGGATAGTTGTGTTGAGCAGCGCCTTGGTGGGCTCCACCAGAGGCCGGATCTGCATGGGCGCGCAGACGAGCGGGAGAGAGGGTGAGGGGGAGAGAGGGCGAGAAGGAGAGAGGGAGACGGGGAGAGGGAGCGAGGGGGAGAGGGGGAGAAAGGGTAGAGGGGGAGAGAGGGAAAGAGGGAGAGAGGGAGGAGAGTTGAACGGCTTGGCATAATGGGCTGGGAGGAAGGGAGGTGGTAAGGAAACAGTCTAGAGAAAGAGAGGGGGATAGAGATAGAGGTAAGACGGGAAGATAAAGAATAGCTGAAGGAGAGTTAGCCACAGAACAGCTCTTGCTCACCAGGAGGAAGTAGCTAAAGGCGAATTTCCCTGCGAGGAGGAGGAGCCAGAAGGTAGAGTACCTGTTGAAGGAGGGAAGAGGAGAAGCAATGGGGAAAAAGAGAAAGGCAGCCAGTCAGAGGCACTGTTGCAGGAGGGATCTGCTGCAGGAGGGATCTGCTGCATGAGGGATCTGCTGCATGAGGGATCGGCTGCAAGAGACACCTGCTTTTGCTGCTGCTAGTTTCAATGGCAAATGAGAGGAGCTTTCACATTGAAAGAATGCTGGTGCTTCTGTTTTATTGCCATCCAGAGCAAATAACTTCAGGCACACAGAAGGCAGGCAAGCAGGCAGGCAGGCACGTACTTGATGGAGTCCCATGTGTCTTCACGCATTCCCCTGCCCACAAAGTTGTCATCCTGGTGGGGGAGCCGACAGATGGATCGAAGATAAGACACAGATGGAGTGTACATACTCAACTTAGGGTTACACTGAGGTGAAAGGTAACGGTCAAGCCTGCACACAGTATACGTAACCAAGTTATTGCATCGCACCTCGAGGCATGTGACCAGCATGCGGATGAAGGAGGAGCTGGAGGCCTCGACGCGGCGGCTGAGCTCGGGAGTGAGGAAGAGGAGGAGGCCGAGCAGATGCGGGGTCATGAAGACAAGGGCTGCTATGAGGTAGGTGTACAGCGCCGTGTTGGCCGCAGGGGACCAATACGTGGCTGCCTTGCGCGCATTCCACATCATGCTGGGAGAGAGGGGGGGGCAGGGAGGGGAGAGGGGGGGGGGGTGTGTAGAAGAGCAGGTGCGGGGTCATGGGGACCAGCGCCACGATAAGGGACGCGTTCAGGGCTGAGTCGCTGTGGGGTGGTGTGATTCAACGAGGAACTGTACAGGGCTGCGCCGGAGAGGGGGACCAGACCAGTAGGCGGCCGCCGTGCACGCATTCCACATCATGCTGGGAGAGAAGAGGGGGGCAGGGATGGGATAGGGTAGACGAGGGGGCGAGGGGTCGCTCGTGAAGGCGTACATGTGGGAGCAACATACGATTGGAGAAGACATCCAGATGGGGTGCAGGCATACAGATGGGGTGCGGGCGGGCGTACAGATGGGGTGCCGGCATACAGATGGGGTGCGGGCATACAGATAGGGTGCGGGCATACAGATGGAGTGCAGGCATACAGTTGGAGTGCAGGCATACAGGTAGAGCGTGGTGAAGGCGATGCACCAGGCGATGGCAACGAGGAGGCGCAGCAGCAGGCGGACGTTGAAGCGCATGTTGGAGGGGCGGATGAGCCGCCACTGCAGCACCATGTCCGATAGGGCTGCCGGGGGGGAAAGGGGGAGAGGGGGAGAGGGGGAGAGGGGGAGAGGGGGGGAGGTGGAGAGGGGAGGAGCGAGAGCAGGAGAGAGGGGATGTGAGGGAGGGAGCAGCACTGTCCCAACACACAGCACCATTGACTCGCCACACAGCCCCGCACACACCACACAGCACCATATCTCACCAAGCATGAGGTCGATGCCAGCCCATGTGATGAAGCAGGTGAGCAGCAGAGCCACAGCGTCCTTGTTGTTCGCCAGGTATGTGAACGGGTTGTTGCCCTCCGCCTTCCATGCCGTGATTAACATGAGCTGGCAGAATGGAGGGGCATAAGAAAAGGAGGAAGGGTGGGTGCGTATGGGAAAGGTGGAGGAGGGTGGGGGCGAGAACTCTCAGCAGGAAGCCACAAGCGAGACAACTTTCCGAGGCAAAGACGCAAAGATCCCAGATGCACACACACCTGGAAGGCGAAGATGAGGAGGATCCAGACGCGGTCGAAGCTGCGGAACATGTTGAGCATGGTGCGCTGCTCCACAAAGCCCATCTTGCCACCCTCGTGGCCCGTCTTGTTCTGTGCAAAGGTGCACAGGGGCGGGTGACAGGAGCACAATAGGCAGTCGGTGAGACATAAAAAAACTGGTGGGATGACAGCACCACCAGCATACAGCTGGGGTGAAGAGCTGGTACAGCCGGTGGAATGACGAAGGCACAAGTACTGGTGGGATGCGAAGGCAAACAGAAGGGCTGAAGATGGAGGCAATCTTGGCGGGAGGAAAGGGCAACAATACCGGCGGGATGAAGAAGACGGCAGATCGGTTGGGCGGCCAGGAGAGGTGGTCGAAGCAGCGCGGCGACCAGAAGAACTCGTTAAAGTCGTCGTAGTTGCGCCACCGCGCGTGCGGCAGCTTGCCGCCCACATTGCTGTCCGCTTCCTGCCGTGGGAGGGGAGGTGGGGGGGTGGGTGGGTTGAGCAATGAGTATCCCATGATGCATGAGATACATGGGCGAGGGAGGAAGGGGGAAGGGGAACACGAGTTGGATATAGTTCATAAAAGCAAGAGATCTTCGCCCCTGACAAATGGCTACAGAGGAGCGTACCCCTTTGAAAGCATCATAGAGCATCGTACCCCTTCGATGGCATCATAGAGCATCGTACCCCTTCGATGGCATCATAGAGCATCGTACCCCTTCGATGGCATCATAGAGCATCGTACCCCTTCGATAGCATCATAGAGCATCGTACCCCTTCGATGGCATCATAGAGCATCGTACCCCTTCGATGGCATCATAGAGCATCGTACCCCTTCGATGGCATCATAGAGCATCGTACCCCTTCGATGGCATCATAGAGCATCGTACCCCTTCGATAGCATCATAGAGCATCGTACCCCTTCGATGGCATCATAGAGCATCGTACCCCTTCGATGGCATCATAGAGCATCGTACCCCTTCGATGGCATCATAGAGCATCGTACCCCTTCGATGGCATCATAGAGCATCGTACCCCTTTGATGGCATCATAGAGCGGCTGTACGACAGTATCCAGGAACCCGTACGGCTGGCTGGGAATGCTGCGGTCGCATGCGAGAGACCTGGCGGACTGGCTCATGAGCTCGTTGGCCTCTGTGGCGAGCTGACAGGGCGAGGGAGAGACAGAAAGATGGGCAATGGAGGAGAGGAAGGGATGAGGTGGTAGACTGGATCATGTGTAATGAGTCGATTTTTGAGTCGACTCAAAAATCGACTCATTACACGCGAGGGAGAGACAGAAAGATGGGCAATGGAGGAGAGGAAGGGATGAGGTGGTAGACTGGATCATGTGTAATGAGTCGATTTTTGAGTCGACTCAAAAATCGACTCATTACACGCGAGGGAGAGACAGAAAGATGGGCAATGGAGGAGAGGAAGGGATGAGGTGGTAGACTGGATCATGTGTAATGAGTCGATTTTTGAGTCGACTCAAAAATCGACTCATTACACGCGAGGGAGAGACAGAAAGATGGGCAATGGGTCAAGCGCACGTTGGTGTCTGTCGGCAGCTGACAGGACTCGAAACGAAATGACAGACTGGGTCAAGCGCACGTTGGTGTCTGTCGGCAGCTGACAGGACAAGGGAGGGAGGGAGGGGGTGAAGGGAGCACATGGTGCGGGAAGGGGCATGTGGGTAGGGGAGCACGATCGGATGGCAGATTGCGTCATGCAGAACGTTGGGAGTAAGATGTGAGCCAGGCGCTCACATGGTGGAAGATGTAGCAGATGCACTCTGGAAGAAAGCGGACGTTGGCTGCCTCGCCCCATATGAGCAGGAAGAGGGAGCAGTAGACTATGTCGGTGCTGCCTGTAGGGGGAGGGGTCCTCTTGCGACCAACTAGAGCAGAGTCATCACTGGATTGGGAGTAGCCACAGGGCGAGTGGGGAGCAACAAATTGAGCGACACATTTTGGGTCCTAGATACGGCAGAAGACGGCTAAAGACAAGCTGCTGCAGGTAGGCATTTGCAGGAATTCATGAAGTAACCTGAATGACATTCTGCACTGCATTGGTCGAGGAATGTGTACACGACAAGATAGAGGTCATGCGACAGTGAAGGAGGCAGTGACTGACATGATGTTGGCCTTCTTGCCCACGTATTTGCACCAGGACTTGTAGTTGCTCAGCAGCTGGTCGCACACCAGCGTGATCACGTTTGGGTCCAGCTGCAGCAGAGAAGAACAACGAAGCAGCAAGGAACAAAGAAGGCAGTTTTTTCAGTGGATGCGCTTAGATTCGATTATGAGATTATGCATGATTGTGATCGGATCAGGTATGTAAAACGAATCAGGTCACCAGCCGGACCCATCGTTCCTTCCCACATGATTAGCTTATTGCGGACGACGGAATGCTGAGAGCCAGCGAAGAGCTGTACTCTGATGGCCTGGTTCACCTGAATCCAAGCTGCCAACACATGTCAACCCAATCACTGTCAACGCTCCGCTTCGGACAACGCTTGACAAAATACAGCTACCTGGAAATGCCTATCCGCATACCCGAGGCTCCGCTTCACGGGGGTCCAACGGTCGAATCCGCATCTGGTTGTTGGCCAACAGGAGAACCAGATGCTCTCTCTGGTTGGTGACGCTGCCAGACTGCATCCAAACAGACCAACACACGACATAGATGGGAATAGGCACGCAAGGAGCACATCGCTCCACAAACGATTTGCTATTCCTTCGAACGCGTCTGAATTCAACCCCGGCGCAACGTTCTCGGCAACATCACTGTGTCAGCGCTTTCAGCGGTGAGCCACAACGGCACATCGCCGTTTCCTGCGCGTTGAAATCGCACGCTAAAAACGAACGGAGGAAAGCCTCTTAACGAACGGGGTCCAAGGCATCAGCTCTCCTGGAAGATGAGGGCATTCTGAAGGCAGTCCAAGACGTCGGTCGACGGATTGAATCGGCCGTCTGACCCTTTCTGAGTCGAATCAAAAGCCATCACGGTAGAACGCCAATACAGAAACCGGCGGCTCAAGAATCAGCTCACCTGGAAGCTGAAGACATTCTGAAGGCAGTCCAAGACGTCTGTCGGCGGATTGCCTCGGTCGTCTGGCCATCCCAAGCTCGCACCGACCGCTCGAAGGGCCCCCACCGCAGCTCGCACCTGAGAAACGAGATTTCGCGAGGGAAACATGTGGTGGATTCGTCGCGGGAGACGAGAGAGCGGTCCATTGGAGACCAACCCAGGAATATTGTCAGACTGTTTCACATTACGTGCAATGACACGGCAAGAAAAGCCGCTAGAAACCAGGGACGCTAAAAACCAGGGACGACATGCATTGACTCGTAACAGGCTCGAAATGCGGAGACTATGCGAGATGGTCGAGAAGCGGCAACGGTGAGCAGTAAGGCTGGTGGACATTCCGTAAGCCACCACTCGTGCGAGACGAGATAACGGGGAACCTCACCTCGGGAGCCAGAGGGTTCGGATGGCCATCTTTCGCGGGTGGCCAGTGATCGGGATCAGTGGGAACTATGTTGTATATCGGGTGTTTAGGCTCATGCGGTGCACCGGAAGACGGAACGTTTCCTCCAATAGGACCTCCTAGGTCGTGCGGAGGCATTTCGACCGAATTCGGTACAAATTATATGCTGGATAAGCTAGGCCTGACGTCTCATTGGCACAAATTTGAGAGAGACGGAACCTGCTGTCTGATAGATGTGAAGCAGTGAAAACGGGACACTGATGAAATGGTGACGATGGAGTTTGGAGTTAGTTTCCGTGGGTTGTGAAAGGCTCGAGCGAGAGGCTTGCTGTTGGTGAAATGTCCCAGTCCCAGCCAAACACCATCCCAAGGGGCTGTGCGTAAGCGACAATGACGACATTTGCGAAAAGCGAGCGAACTTATGACCACTACGATAGCAAATAGATTGCTGTCACGTGGACGACAATATCGATGATGTGGAAAGCAAGAGATCCAGGGTCGTGTTTGCTGCCCCTAACCTCTTGTCGGTCTGGGAGGAAGACACTGACGGCGCGGCAAGAGGCAGCTTCGGGTCGCCGTGATGGACACTCTTTTTCCTGCCCAGCTGACAGTGCTGGTTGGAGGAGCTCTCGAGGGCGATCCGCTGACGGCTGCCTGCGACTCTCATGCTGCCCGCTGCTGAAACAGCTAGCCTTGGAAAAAGAACCAGCTAATCGCGTTACATCGAACTTGCCTTGGATGGAACGCGTTTGCCGCACTTCCCGCTGAGCACGAACAGCATTATTGGCTCTGCCCGCGTTCAAGAGAGCTTGTCGACAGCCAATCGCACTGAACTTGCCGCTGTCGAAAAGTTTGCTGTCTGCCCTTGAATTTGTCCCCAAACTCTTGCTGCTGCTGAGAGTCGGTCAGGGACTGGATGATGTTTCCGAGCCAACTGAAGGCCTGACTTCCCTTGCGGAACTGACCATCACTCATCTCATCGCATTCAGTTCAGGCTATGATCAGGCCCAATTTCTCTGAGTTTCAGCAGCTCTATTTCCTTTTAGCATTATAATCCGCAAAGCCATTGGTTGTAGCTTCAGTAATCAGTGAGGTATGCTTCTTTCGAGGTCTTCGGCGTAATGCGCTAACGGACCCAACTCGATTTCCTCGGCGATTAGGCAAGTAGCATCTATAGCATAGTTCCAATGGCGGAAGACATTCCTTCTCCAGTTGTAGATAACTGGCGGAGAGTGCTCGAGGCCGCTCACCAGTCAGTATCAAGAGCGCGACAGCGACAATCCGTGTTCTTCCAGTCCGTCTTGCCGGAAGGACAGATCGATGGCCTCAGCATTGTGCCGCCGACACTGGCTCAGAGGTCCAACATTCCCGATTACCTCGCAGCGGCGAAGGACCTCGAAGCCGAGCATCCCCGCATCTCTCGATTGAGTAAGTCAGGGAAGATACTCACACTCTGGAATTTTATAAATTCCTTCGCCTCGGTCAGCTGCCTGTTGTGGGTCTACGTACTGATTTTATTATTAATTTCCTATCTCTCGTGCCTGCGTAGTGTGTAACGCGACGTATGGCATTCGTTCATCTTCATTTTGGATTGTCGCAGATCAGCGTAACGCCTTTTTACGCGCTCCATGCTCGCCTTTTACCCCATTTCAGTTCTCGATGCAGCTTATAGGAAGGCCATGGTTCTAGATCCCAACATGCAAGGCCGCGGAGTGCTCCAGTTCATCACAGCGCTGCACATTCTCTTACCCGTGAGTGCCCCCCGCTCTCAGCGCGGAATTTGGCGAAATCTTGTAGCAGGGAAACGGGACGAAAACGAGTAAATCCTTTTTTCGTACTTTTCAGTGTAGATCTCGATGAAACCGTGTAGCTGGGTAACGGAGAGAGAACGAGTGACACCACGTTCAGAATTCCTGAAGCCATCCGTCTCCCTTTCTCACGGAAATGATCCTGTCAATGCGTGGTTGCCCTTGATGCAGGAGAGCGACATTGCGGCGGACCCCAGCAGGGACCTGGACATGGTCCACGAGTTCTACGCCGCGCACCGAGACTACGTCCGGGGATTGGAGATGGACCCCGAAAATAATAAGTGCGTCTTCGCCTGACACTCGAATCCTCGCGCCTCCGTACAGCCCCGCTCCATGTTTCCGCTACTTAATCGCCCGCGCTTCTGCTCGAGTACCCTCTTTCTCTCCCCAAGATTCGCGCCGTTCGATTTTGCACCATGAGCCAGTCGTTCTGCTAACCACACAACTAGGATGTGCTTGTTTTCGCAGAGAGGAGCTAGGCAAGGCCTGGAAGACGGAGCGGGTCCTCATGGAGGTGACCGAGGGCCTAGCACAGTCTGTCACGGGATCCGAGCGCAAGCAAGTGCAACAGGTGCGTTTTGGACTGAGCCTGTTATATGCGGCCATGGAGAGTGGTAATGGGCTGCAGTGAATTGAGATTTGAGCGGAGGGAGAGAGATTAGGGTTTGGCGGCCAGGAAGTGGGATTGGTGTTTAAAAAACGGTGGGTGGTCAAAGGGGGAAAGTTGAGACTTGGGAGAAATTTTGTGGCAGTCGGCTATGGCATGGCCACATCAGTCATTCCATCCATTCGGCTAACTTTGCTCGGTTCTTGTGGCATGGCCAATCGCAGGAGATTCGGGAGGATAAGATGGCAGCTGCTGCCAAGACGCAGGTCTTCACTCGCCAGAACTTCAACATGATCGATTTGGACGCACCCATTCCCACTGATGCTCCTCTGGTAAAACCTCATCCTTATGCTTTGTGTGTGTGTGTGTCTCGCCCAAGATGTGGTAACCAGCAGTATCCACTGGTCGACCTGGCTCTAATGCTAACAGACTTTGAAGAGAGTAGAGCGAGCCTGTGGAAACCAGAACAAAGCTCTTGCTGCTGGTGCCAGCTGTACCTTTTTTGCTGTTTCTTAGATGCCATGCCAGCAGTTGCGTTTAGTGCGCTATACCCTTCATAAGTCTCCATTTTCTTGCTTGAGGTCTGTTAAAAAACCATCTCTCTTGGCGTGGGCAGTGGAAGAGACGTGTGGGGGGGGCGACTGCGCTGCTCCATGATCTCAGAGGAGTGCCCAATCGGGGCCGCTTCAAGGACATGCTGCACTACCTTCACTTCGTCTTCGGCTTCCAAGTGAGTGTGCTTGTGGAGAATAGATGTCACTTCTAGCGTTTTCTAGTGACGAAATTGCACCTGCTGCCCTGTTCACGTGTGTTAAGGGCACCAGCCAGCCCCTTTGCACTGCTTTCTCTTCCCATTCTGACTTGTCTTCTGCTCCTCCCCTCTCTTCTCTTTCTTCCAAACCCCTCCGTATCCTCCCACCCGCCCCCTCCTCAACCCCCGACGCCCTCCCTGTGTCCCGCTCCGCCACCCACACTACAGGAGGACAACGTGCGGAACCAGAGGGAGCACATCGTGCTGCTGCTGGCCAACAGCCGAACGTACGATGAGAGGGGAGCGCCCCTTGCCGCGTCCGTGGGAGATGATGCTGCAGTGAGTCTCGTGGACAGCACTGGCAGCCTTAGGGTTAGGATGCTGCAGCACATAGTGTAGGCAGCACGAGTTTCCTGTCTTTGGCCCCTGCTTCCTAGTGTCACTTTTCTGCTCTTAACCCTTGTGGAAATGCTTTCCATCACTCCGGCGGTATTTCTTTTTCTTTCTCGTACCCATCTACAACCATTCTTGTCCCGTTGGATCTCCATCCCATGATGATCCTCCAGGCGATGAACATGGCCCTTGAGTCCGTTTCCTCCAAGGTGCTCGGTAACTTCCTCCGCTGGGCACAGTACATCCACGTGGACATCCCCTACTTCACGTAAGCACCTCTGCTCTCTGTCCATCGCTCCCCCTCCGCTCTCAATCACGCTTCCTCCTTGGAATAATCCTCCTTCCAACCGTCCCCTAACCCTAACCCTAAGAATAAATGACTGGAATCTACCATCGAAGGTCAGAACGCTTGGCATCAAATCCCACCTCTTGCATCTGTGGTCGCGCCACTGATATTGTCCCTGGCAAATGTCCCTGGCAAATGTCCCTGGCAAATGCCCCTGGCAAATGTCCCTGGCAAATGTCCCTGGCAAATGCCCCTGGCAAATGTCCCTGGCAAATGCCCCTGGCCTGGCTCTAATTGGTAAAAATGTCTGACTGGTCCTAGCGTTGACTGGCCGTGGCTGTGGGGCTGTGGGGCTGTGGGGCTGTTGTGTGTGCAGGGCGGAGCACCGAATGCTGCACACGTGCCTCTTCCTGCTCATATGGGGCGAGGCAGCCAACGTCCGCTTCCTGCCAGAGTGCCTCTGCTACCTCTTCCACCAGGTAAGGACGGGAAAGCAGAGCCTTTCTCTATTGGGCTCTGCTCATCCCGCACCCCCTCCCTTTCACTTCTTCCCCACAGCCCACAGCCCATAAACCTTACACCGTGGCTAAACCCTATTTCCCCTACTGCCCTCCCACAAGCCCACTTCCCGGCCCCTCCCCTCTTTCAAAAGTCTCAGCAGCCCATCAGCTCTGCCATCAGCACTTGGTGAGATTTGAGTCAACTTATACCCCCGCCCCACTTCCTCCCAACCCTGTTCCCATGACTGTGGCCACTATTGCTGATGCAGAAGACAGCAGCGTAGCAGAGCCACATTGATGTTTAAGCGCCCCAAAAATCCCCCCCCTAGTCCTATCCCCATGGCCACTATGACCATCACACATGGCGACTGAGATGGATGCGCTGATGCAGAAAACAGCAGCCTAGCAGGGCTGCATGGCTGTTTAGGTGCCCCAAACATGCTCCCCTAATCCTATCCCCACGGCCACTATGACCATCCTCAGATGGCGATGGAGCTGGACGGGCTGATGTAGAAGACAGTGGCGGAGCACAGCCACATTGATGTTTAAGCGCCCCAAAAATCTCCCCCCTATATCTATCCCCACGGCCGCTGTGACCACCGTCAGATGGCGATGGAGCTGGACGGGCTGATGCAGAAGACAGCGGCGGAGCAGAGCCACATGATGGGCACAGGGGGGGAGTACGCGTTCCTCAACAACGTCATTGCGCCCTTCTACAAGATCATCAAGCAGGTGACCACTTGCGCATGGATGGCTGTATGTATTGTTGGTGGTGCCAAGGTGGCTGTATGTATGTATGGTGGTGCCAAGGTGGGGGGTTGGGGGGGAAGGGGAAGGTTGTGTTCCTCAACAACGTCATCGTGCCCTTCTACAAGATCACCAAACAGGTGACCACTTGCGCATGGATGGCTGTATGGTCGTGCCAAGCCAAGTAGGGGGGTTGGGAGGGAAGGGGGAAGTTGTGTTCCTCAACAACGGCATCTCGCAGGTGATTGCTGATAGAGATGGCTGTATGGAGGTTTTTGGGAGAGGGGGGAGTTTGGTGGTGAGTGCTCTTGAAACTTTGAGCTCTTCTTTACCACGTGCAGGCTCCTTCCCCTGCTTTCTGTGTTTGACTGCATTGCCCGTCTGCATGTTGTTGAAGCTCCTTGTTCATCCTCACCCCTCCATGTTCGCCCTTCTCCCCATCCTGACCTCTTCCTCTTCTGCACCCTTACTTGTCCCTTGCAGGAGTCGGACTATGCGGGCCATGGCAGTGACGCTAAGGGCCACCCTGCGTGGCGCAACTATGACGACTTCAACGAGTTCTTCTGGTCGGCTGCTCGCTCCCTGCCACCTCCTGCCCTCCTTGCCCTTGCCATGTTTCACCATATAGCACACTACTTGCCACATTGCGCTTCCCTCGGTGTATAATTCCTTTGCATTGTTTCATTTCCTTTCACTCCTTGCCACGTTTCATTCCTTACCCCCCACATGCACCGATAATCTCCCTCCCTTCTCCCTCTCTTCTTTTCACTTCACATCTCCCCTCCTCTCATCTCCTCTTTTTTCTTCTCGTCCCTCCACCTGGCCTCAGGAGCAAGCGCTGCTTTGAGCTGGGGTGGCCCATCCGCACCAGCCATGCGTTCTTCAAGCCCCCTCCTGTCAAAAACAAGGACCCTGGCAAGAAGAATGAGCCCCCTAAAACTGCAGAGGTCAGCAACACCCAATACCCAGAACCCCCTCCTCCCTCCTCCCCTCCCATCATCTTGCACGTATCTTGACATCGCTCAAGGGACCTCCAACTCTGTGCAGTTACATGCATGCACTTGGCCGCCCTCTGAGTCTTGATTAGTCGTGTGAATCCCGACCCCAAGTAGTTGCTCTCCTTCTTTGACTCACACCTGATGCCGGAAGGCTCAGGTGTATTTTGAGTCGACTCGAAATACACCGAGTAGTTGCTCTCCTGCTTTGACTCACACCTGATGCCGGGAGGGTCTGCTCTCAGCTCGGCTGCTTGGCCCTAACTGTCACTCTCTCACTGTCAGTTTTCAAGCACACACTTAGCAATCTTGGCTCAACTGTGTGGGCAGGGAGGGGAGTTTTCCAAGGGGAGTCGGCTGAGCAAGACGCTCTTTGTGGAGTGGCGCTCCTTCCTGCACATCTACCGCAGCTTCGACCGCATGTGGGCCTTCCTGCTCCTCATGTTCCAGGTCGGTTGCCTTCCTGCTCCTCATGTTCCAGGTCGGGGTGACTTTTGAGTCGACTCAAAAGTCACCTCGGTCGGTTGCCTTCCTGCTCCTCATGTTCCAGGTCGGTTGCCATACGTGTCACTGGTATCGCTTCATCCCTCGTCTGTCTTATACTCCCACAAACCCGCCTCCATCTATCTCCACAACCCTGCATTCTGGAGCTCTCTCACATGTCACGTGTCACCCACCCACACAGGGCATGGCGATAGTGGCGTTCAGTGGGCAGGACGGGTCCACCACTCTCATGAAGGTGCTCTCCGTGGTGCCCATGGCCGCCATACTACGCTTCTTTCAGGGTACGTCTAGTCGAGGTGCAGGTTAGAATCTACAACTATGCAGCGACAGATGCATCTGACTTCTGAGCCTGCAACCTCTCAGAGTTGCCTATGTCATACCATCCTCCACTTCACTTGGGATACTCTCACCTCACCTCCCTCGGTTGCCCTCCCCACCACTGGCCCCCACACATCGGCATCCCCGCTCGTTCCATTTGACATCATCCTGTTTTTCGGCACCGATCGCAACATGAACTTTATAATGAAATCCTCCCCCCTCCCCCCACCCCCCCCCCACCCCTCCTTTCCCCCCTCCTTTCTCCCCGTTCCCTCCTTCCCCCCTTCTCCAATTCCTCCCCGCAGTGCTCTTTGACATCCTGCTGTCGCTCGGCGCCTATTGTAGCATGATTATGCAGACCATCTCCAGCAAGCTCTCTCCTTTCCCCCCCGTGTTGAATCACTTCCCGCAGTGCTCTTTGACATTCTGCTGTCGTTCGGCGCCTATCGCAGCATGACCATGCAGACCATCTCCCGCAAGTTCCTCCGCCTTGCAGTGCTGGGCGCCTGGGGGGGCTTCCTCACCTTCTTCCTCGTGTAGGGCCTCCTCACCTTCCTCCTCGTTTGGCCCCTGGTTCCTGCCTGCCACCCTCCCTTCCTCCCTTTCACCCTCCCTTCCTCACCTTCTTCCTCGTGTAGGGCCTCCTCACATTCCTCCTCGTGTAGGGCCTCCTCACCTTCCTCCTCGTGTAAGAGAATGTTCTTGTAGCGCCTGTCTCAATACGGCTCTTGGCTCCCATGTCTGCCAGTTTGGCCCATGATTCCTGCCTGCCACCCTCCCTTTCTCCCTCCCTCCCTCCCTCTCTCCCAGCCTTCCTCTCTCCTCCTTGAGCTTCTTTGTTCCAGTGTTCCCCAACGTGTGCCCCGTTCCCTGTCCGCCTCTGCAATCTTTCGCCCCCGAGTTCCTTATGCCCCACTCTTCATCCGTTCTTCCAATGACTCCCTCCACCGTCTTTCCCCCTCAACCCCTCTCCCCCTGCCGCGCCCCCCCCCCCCAAAAGCAGCATGTACTTCAAGTCGGGCTTTGACTTCGACAGCCCCTACCGCCCGCTCTTCCTCATGCTGGCAGCCATCTACGCCATTCCCGCAGTGGTGCTCTCCCCCATCCTGTTTCTTCCATATAAACTCAAATGCCCCTTTCTGTCCCCTCTCCCCTCGCCCCTCCCCCCCTTCCCCCAACCAGCATGTACTTCAAGTCGGGCTTCGACTTCAACAGCCCCTACCGCCCGCTCTTCCTCATGCTGGCAGCCATCTACGCCATCCCTGCGGTGGTGCTCTCCCTGCTGCTGCGCTTCGTCACGCCGCTGCGCTCCCAGCTCGACCAAGTCAGCCACCACCGCTTCTTCCAATTTGTCAAGTGGTTCTATCAGGTCAGTCTCTTGAGTGCTCAAGGTCCAAGCCAAGGCCTTCAGGTAGGATTAATCCTACCGCATTAGGATTTGCGATGTTTACGAGGCAGCCACCACTGCTTCTTCCAGTTCGTTAATTGGTTCTACCAGGCACTTTTCGTTCCGTTATGTGATTCTATTGAGTTCAGTCCTTGGGGACGTTTGTGATTCTCGTGAGATTTGTGGTCCTATGAAACCAAGCCGGTTCCTCGTCATGTTGCAATTGCAACCTCTGCTCTCGTCTCTCATCGCTTCATCACATGAGCTTTCAGTGCCTCAATGATTTATGCTCGTGGCACCTTGTATTATCACTTCCCCTCCCATCCCATCCCCTGAAAAACCTCCCGCCTGAACTCCTTGACTGGGCAGGATGAGGTGTACACGGGAAGGGGCATGTATGAGAGCTTCAAAGACACATTTCTGTAAGTGGGCTAGCGTGCATTGCTACGTGGTGGCTTTTTAGTCGACTCAGAAGTCACCTGGGCTGGATGAGGTGTACACGGGAAGGGGCATGTATGATAGCTTCAAAGACACATTCCTGTAAGTGGGCCAGTGTGCATTGCTCCATTGCGCCATTAAAATGTTAGACCCGACATTCTTCGCTCCCTCTATGTATGACATGGATAATCCCCCTCTCATCTCTGTCCCCCCCATCGATTTTCTCTCCCCCACTTGTGCATGCACGTTCACACACGTGTGCACACAACACACACATGCACGCACGCACGCACGCACGTACACACGTACACACACACCCCCACGCGCGCTCTCTCACGTGCAGGTACTCGCTGTTCTGGGTGGTGCTGCTGCTGGCCAAGTGCCTCTTCAGCTACTACTTCCAGATTCTCCCCCTCGTGGGCCCCACGCGCTACATCATTGGCTTCAAGCACCTCAAGTACCGCTGGAAAGACCTCGTCTCTGCAAGTACGTGGCTAAGTCTCTGCGAGTAAATCACTCGGTTTTCTTAAGCGGATCTACATACATGTGACTCGGTCCTTCCAGTATGGGGCAGTCCACTTCTTTCCAATCACTTGTCAACAGGAGAAAGGAGAAAGGGATCCCCCCTGTTGCATGATTTACATGGATCCCAGACCTTCGTCTTGTGTGTCCCTGCTGCTGCCCTAGCTTCCCCTCCTGACGTGCTCCTTGTTCCCCCCCCACCCTTGAGGAGTCTATTTTTTAGGCGCCTCAAAAATAGACTCCTCACGCATGGATTTCCCTCCTGACCTGCTCCTTGTTCCCCCCCCACCCTTGCCCAGGCAACTACAACGCTCTCACGCTTCTCTCCATCTGGGCGCCAGTCTTTGTGGTATGCCGTTCATGGCCTATTGTTGACCAGTCAACTTTTGAGTCGATTCAAGAGCGGATTCATGGCCTGTCGTTGTTGACCAGTCAAATGCATGCTCAAGCATCATGTCAGTCTCCCCATGCTCCATGCCATGGTGATGCCACATGCCATGGTGATGCTACCAATTTTCCAACACACTCCCTCTGCCTTCCCCCCTTGCTCTTCCTTTTCCCCCATTGCTCGCTGCCTCCTCTCTAACGCCCTTTCTCCTGTCCTGTCCCTCTCCTGCCCTCCTGCCCTCCTGCCTGCCCTCCTGCCCTCCCTCCTGCCTGCCCTTCTACCCTCCCTCCTGCCTGCCCTCCTACCCTCCCTCCTGCCTGCTCTCCTACCCTCCCTGCTCCTTGCACCTTGACCCCCTCCGCCAGATCTACCTGATAGACGCGCAGATCTGGTACACTGTGCTGTCAGCCATCCTCAGCACACTCATTGGCGCGTGGTGGCATCTGGGGGAGGTACGCATGGAGGGGTCTGGAGGTATGCATAGAGGGGTCTGGAGGTATGCATAGAGGGGTCTGGGGGATTTCGCATGGAGGGTCTGGGGGGGTGTGCGTGGAGGGGTCTGGGGATGCATGGGGGGGTCTGGGGATGCATGGGGGGGTCTGGGGATGCATGGGGGGGTCTGGGGATGCAGGGGGGGTCTGGGGATGCATGGGGGGGTCTGGGGATGCATGGGGGGGTCTGGTGAGGGACGCATGGAGGGGTGTTGGGGAGGGGTCTAGAGTGGGTTGGCCCAAAAGGAGGTGCGAGGGAAGTGGTCGTCATTGCTTCAGACCATAGACTGAAGATGATGCGGGAAGTGGATTGCTCCAGACTTTCTCCTTCAGCTGTGTCACCCATTCCCCGCATCATCGCTTTCTCCTTTCAATCCTCCATCTCCTTTCCCTATGCCTCCTCCCTCCCTCCCCTCCGTTTCCCTCCCTTCCACTCCATGCTCTACTGCCCTCGTCAGATCCGCACTCTGTCCATGCTGAGGGCCCGGTTCCGGTCTTTCCCAGCAGCCTTTATGAACACAGTGCACCACCAAAACAAGTTCAACCGCACGCGGTGAGTTGTTTGTTGCAGCTGCTTTGAAATCAACTACGAGATCCTGCCAATCCAAACAAGGAGTCAAGAAAGTTATTTGTTGTTCCCTCCGTTTCCTCAATTTCTCGTTTCCATATAAGCAGCTCCACGTCCCTGCGGTCATCGGCGCGCTTCCAGCCGTTGGGGTCGCAGCAGCCAGCGGGGAGCGGCAGCGAGCTGCTGCTGTCTTCAAGAAGGGAGGCGTGCAAGTTTGCCATCGCGTGGAACGAGATCATCCGGCTGCTAAGAGAAGAAGACTACCTCTCAGACAGGTGCTCTTGATGTTGTATTTTTGAGGCGCCTCATGCAAGTTTGCCATCGCGTGGAATGAGATCATCCGGCTTCTGAGAGAGGAAGACTACCTTTCAGACAGGTCTATCTCGTCTCATGCCTGCCCGCTCATTCATGCCTGCCCGATCATGCCTGCCCTCTCATGTCTCCGTTCCCATGTTCCTATGCTGGTTCTTGCAATGATGGCAGTCAGTACCATCACCTTCTCTTCCCCTCCCCCAAACCCTCCCCCCTCTCCACTGTGCTTCTACCCTCGGTGCCATGTTGAGAGCAGGGAGTGCGATCTGCTCATCATGCCAGCTCTCCCCTCCAATGTCACTGTTGTGCAGTGGCCGCTGTTCCTCCTAGCCAATCAGGTATTGCCGTCCCTTCCTCCTTGCCAACTAGTTATCGCCCTCCCTTCCTCCTCACCAATCAGGTATCACCTTCATTCCTACTTGCCAATCGGGTATCGCCTTCCCTTCCTCTTTGTGAATCAGGTGTCGACTTCCCTTCCCCCTGCCAATGCTTTCCTCTCTACATCACTCTTTTTTGGCCTTCATATGGCACACACCTTCAGCTCCAACCCATGTCGTCAGGTTCAGCTGATAGTCGGAGCCCTTCTCCTCCTCAGCTCTTTTCAACCTCCTTTCAATTCTCCCCCCTCCTTCCCCTCCCTCCCCCTCCCCCTGGCCCCCCGTCCCCACAGATCCTACTAGCAGTGGGCGAGGCATCAGGGCGCAAGGACTCACAAGCATCGGTGTGGCGCAAGGTGACTGCGGACGAGTACATGCGCTGCGCTGTGCTCGAGGCATACCAGAGCCTACGCCCCTTCCTGCTCTCCGTCGTCGAGCCCAGCCGCATAGGCTCCGACACCGACGCCACTTCTGCAGGGCAGGGAGTGCCTGGCGGCGGCGGCGGTGGGGTGTATGAGGCACGCATCATCAACCGGCTGTTTGATGATTTGGAGGTGGAGGCGAACAATGGCAGCCTGCTCACCACCTTCCGCTTCAATGCTCTCCCTGTCATCCTCGACCGCTTCTCCAAGCTCACTGCTGTGCTGGTCAGTTTCTTTTCTTGAGCCTGTTGCTTTGCGCTCTGGAGGTCGTTTGCAGCTGGCTCTATATCCACCTGTGGTACAACAAGGCATCTCCCACACAAATAATCTCCTCTCCATGTGTTCGAAACCTCCTGAAGGCTGAAACCATCCCATTTCCTCTAATAGTCTCTCCCGCCATCATCTGGCCTCTCCTCTTCTCCCATCGTCTCCCCTGAGTTCGCTCTGCTGTCCTTCGGCCCCCCCCCAGATCCGGGACCAGAACGAGATGACGGAGATCCGTTCTCAATCATCTTCCCTCCAGTTCAGCATCTGCCCTCTCAGCATCTGCCCTCTCAGCATCTGCCCTCTCAGCATCTCCCCTCTTTTCACGAAACCCCCCCTGCAGATCCAGGGCCAGAACGAGATGACTTTTGAGTCGACTCAAAAGCCACCTCTGTCCTTCCGCCCCCCCCTGCAGATCCAGGACCAGAACGAGATGACGCAGCGATCAGCCGTGCAGGCGCTGCAGGCGCTTTACGACACCGTCAAGTTCGACTTCCTCTCGCCCGACCACAGGTGACTGCCGGGCACGAGAGAGTGAGAGGGGGGTTCAAGATGGGGGGGAAGATTGGGCGGAGAGAGGTGTGAGGATGAGAGGAACAAGGATGTAGAGTTAATGTTCCTCACCGCTTTTAGAGTTCCTCACCGCTTTTAGAGTTCCTCACCGCTTTTAGAGTTCCTCACCGCTTTTAGAGTTCCTCACCGCTTTTAGAGTTCCTCACCGCTTTTAGAGTTCCTCACCGCTTTTAGAGTTCCTCACCGCTTTTAGAGCTCCTCACCGCTTTTAGAGTTCCTCACCGCTTTATTCTGTCCACTTGCCTGCTAGTCCTTCACCACCCCTCGTTCGCCAAGTACTATTATATCTCTATCTCGCGCACAAGCTGGATCCTTCCTGAGTTCTTTCCTGCCCGTGCCCCACCTCCCCACACACCTTATCACCTCCTCACACACCTTATCACCTCCCCACACACCTTATCACATCCCCACACTCCTTATCACCTCCCCACACACCTTATCACCTCCCCACGCACCTTATCACCTCCCCACACACCTTATCACCTCCCCACACACCTTATCACCTCCCCACACACCTTATCACCTCCCCACGCACCTTATCACCTCCCCACGCACTATCACCTCCCCACACACCTTGTCACCTCCCCACACACTTTATCACCTCCCCACGCACCTTATCACCTCCCCACGCACTATCACCTCCCCACACACCTTATCGCCATTGCCAGAGCAAGCCTGGAGGAGGTATCGGGCAAGCCCCCGTCGTACTGCCTGTTCTCGTCGGTGGCATGGCTGAGCAACAGGGCGGCGGTGAAGCGGCTGCACCTGCTGCTGACCATCAAGGAGTCCGCCATGGACGTGCCGCACAACCTCGAGGCGCGCCGCCGCCTGCAGTTCTTCACCAACTCGCTGCACATGCGCATGCCCGGCGCACCTAAAGTCGCGGACTCTGTGCCCTTCTGGTAGGCCCTAGTTCTCTGGCTCTAGGTTTAAGGCGGCCTAAAGCTCGCCTGCAGTTCTTCACCAACTCACTGCACATGCGCATGCCGGATGCACCTAAAGTTGTGGATTTGGTGCCCTTCTGGTAGGCCTAGATCCTAGTTCGGTGTCATGCCCCTATGTCAGGGTGATTACGTCCTATTAGGCCATGTGTGTAACAACAGTCACGTCCCTCTCTCCCCGCCCCCACCCCGCCCCTCTCCCCCACTCCGCAGTGTGATGACGCCGTACTACAGCGAGATCGTGACCTACTCCATGGCCGAGCTCGTCAAGGTTTAAGGCAGTCATATATCCTCCCCCCTCTCCTCTCTTTCACCCCGCCCCTCTCCCCCACTCCGCAGTGTGATGACGCCGTACTACAGCGAGATCGTGACCTACTCCATGGCCGAGCTCGTCAAGGTTTAAGGCAGTCATATATTCCCCCCCTCTCCTCTCTTTCACCCCGCCCCTCTCCCCCACTCTGCAGTGTGATGACGCCGTACTACAGCGAGATCGTGACCTACTCCATGGCCGAGCTCGTCAAGCCCAACGAGGACGGCATCTCCACCCTCTTCTACCTGCAGAAGATCTTCCCAGGTGCGTCCACGTGGCAGGTGTGGGTTCATCACATCGCATGTGCAGGCACTCTGCAGCACAGTATGTATGCTGCTTCTCCTTCTGCTATTCCCGTCACCCTTGCTGCATGTCGACGCATCTCAAAATTTCCCACCACCACCACCACCCCTCGCCTGCAGACGAGTGGGCCAACTTCCTGCAGCGCGTGGGCATGGGCGAGAAGGAGCTGGACGTGCGGCTGAGGGCCAAGGACGACATCAAGGAGCTGCGCATGTGGGCGTCGTACCGCGGCCAGACGCTCGCCCGCACCGTGCGCGGGATGATGTACTACCACCGGGCGCTCAGGCTGCTGGCGTTCATGGAGATGCCAAACGCCTCAGGTAAGGCTATCCAATTTAGGGTCAGACCAGATGGTTGGGTCAAGCCAGGTTCAAGTCAGTCACTCGCCCGCACCGTGCGCGGCATGATGTACTAGGCTTGGTTCCAGTCAGTCACTCGCTCGCACCGCGCGCAGCATGATGTACTAGGCTTGGCTCCAGTCAGACCCTCGCCCGCACCGTGTGCGACATGATGTACTTACTACCGCTGCCCGCTCCGGCTGCTGACTTCCATGGACATGCCGAATGCCACAGGTAAGTCTTGCTGTGAGATGGCTCAAGTCAGACGCTCGCTCGCACCGTGCAGAAAAATAACTGTTCTCAGGCGCTCAGATTGCTACCATACACGGAGATGCCCAACCCTTCAGGTATGGCAGAGTTGGATGGCCATTATGCTGCTGGTTGCTTCCCAGGAGTCCTGCTTTAAGTTGCCTCATCTCGCACTCTCTCTCCTCTTCACTTCTCCTCGTTCATATTTCGCTCACTTCTCTTCCCTCCCATCATCCTCTTCCCATCATCCTCTATCCTTTTCTCCTCCTCTTGCCCTTAGACCTGGAGCTAGGAGCCGACGGCCTGCCCCTGGACCCGGCGGACAGGCTGTACCTGTCAAAGTTGGAGCCAAAGGAGCTGGCGGATGTGAAGTTCACGTATGTGGTGACGTGCCAGATCTACGGCAAGCAGAAGATGGACAAGGACCAGCGCGCTGCTGACATCTTCAACCTCATGAAGGAGTGAGTGTGGTGGAGAGAGGTGGAGAGCGGTGGAGAGGGGATGGAGAAGGGTGGAGAGTGCAGGAAAGGGGTGGAGAGGGGTTGGAAAGGCAAGAAGGTGGAACTGAGAAATGAGAAGCGAGAAATAAGGTGGAACTGATGGCAGGGCGAAATGAGAAGCGGGTTCAGACAAGAGGAGCATATCGGGTGGAACTGAGAGATCGTATGAGCCCATCAAAGGCCATGCCGGACCAACCTATCATTGACTTATTTTTGCATCCCTTTTCCCTTTCTCCCCACCAAACTTTCCTCGTAAATCAGGACGGAGGTCCTGTGAGTGGCATACATTGACGAGGTGGTAACCCTGCCTGCCTACTGGCCTCCCACTTACCCCCAAAGTTCCCCACAACCCCTTTCTCACACGCTCAGCCTCAGCTTTTCCTTTCCCAAGTCAGAAAAGAGGCCCTACGGGTGGCATACATTGACGAGGTGGTAACCCTACTGGCTGAACCCACTCATCCCTCACCAGTCTCACCTCTCCCCCTTCTCTCTCACCCACTGACCACACCCAGGAACGACGCCCTATGAGTGGCATACATCGGCGAGGTGGCAACCCTACCAGCAGACCCCAGTTATTCCTAAACCATACCACCTCCTCCTCCCACCCTCTCTTCTTCCCTTCCATCTAGGAACGAGGCCCTCCGAGTGGCATGCATCGACGAGGTGGTCACCCTGCCAGTGAACCCCACTTCTCCCTCAACCCCCTTCCTCTCTGCTCTTCCCCCCCCCCCCCCCCCCAAACCCAGGAACGAGGCCCTGCGAGTGGCATACATTGACGAGGTGGTCACCCTGCCAGCAGACCCCTCGCGGCCCGACGCGCGGCCCAAGACGGAGCACTTCTCACGCCTGGTGAAGGTGGACACGTTTGGCAACGAGCAGGACATCTACAAGGTGAAGCTGCCCGGCCCGGCCAAGCTGGGCGAGGGCAAGCCCGAGAACCAGAACCACGCCATCATCTTCACCCGCGGGGAGGCGCTGCAGACCATTGATATGAACCAGGACCACTACTTTGAGGAGACGCTCAAGATGCGCAACCTGCTGCAGGAGTTCGCCACGCGGCACGGGCTCAGGAAGCCGTCTATTCTGGGCGTCAGAGAGCACATCTTCACTGGCAGGTGGGTGGGGGGTTGTTTTGGTATGGTGATTGGTGGGACACGCCTTTACTGGGAGGTGGGTGGGCGTGGGTGGTGGGTGGGGTTTGTTTGAGGCACCTCACCTTAGGAGGCGCTGCAGTGCAGACCATTGACATGAACCAGGACGACTACTTTGAGGAGACGCTCAAGATGCGCAACCTGCTGCAGGAGTTTGCCACATGCCACGGGTTGAGAAAGCCGTCCATTCTGGGCGTCAGAGAGCACATCTTCACTGGCAGGTGGGTGGGTGGCGTGTGGGTGGTCGATGGGTTTTAGGGCATCTGGTGGGACACCAGGATCACTACTGTGAGTGGGTTAATGGGCGGTTGGGCGGGTTGTGTGGTTGGTTGGGTGTTGTTTGATGTGCCTCACCTCGGGAGGCACTGCATACGATCGAGATGAACCAGGACTTGTTTGAGAATTTGTTTGGGTGGGAGTATGGTTGGGTGCACGGGGAAGAATTTGTGTTATTTTTATCTCACGAGGTTGCCATGAGCCCCGCAAGCCGTCCATTCTGGGCGTCAGTGAGCACAAGATTGGAACCGATGGGCAAGTGCTTTTCTCTGGTGGTTGGGATGGGAGCATTTCTGTTGAGTTGACTTGATCGTTGGATTATAGGTGGTCGAATGGATGCTCTGTGACAGTCCCTGCCGTTTTCAATCCTGTCGTTTTCCACATGTCCCTGTCTTTTTCAATCCTGTCGTTTTCCCCATGTCCCTGTCTTTTTCAATCCTGTCGCTTTCCCCATGTCCCTGTCTTTTTCAATCCTGTCGTTTTCCCCATGTCCCTGTCTGTCCCCATGCCATTTCTCTCCCGTTCCCTTTTCCCCAATCCCGGTGCACAGTGTGTCTTCGCTGGCGTGGTTCATGTCCAACCAGGAGACCAGCTTCGTCACCCTCGGTCAGCGCTTCCTCGCCATTCCTCTCAAGTAAGTATAATGCTTAGTCTTCACTAGCATGCAGGGAGCAGCGCTCATGCTGAGTCTGGGTCTTTCTTGTTTACTTTTCCCCCTTGATTGCAGGGTTTCTTTCACCTCCTGTCACCATATCCCAGGGTGTGCATGCACTACGGTTACCCGATGTGTATGCTACCGATTACATAAGAATCTTCAAACCCTGTTGACTTTTCAGGTGACTCAAAAGGCATCTTGTGCATTGGCGATTATAGAACCTTCAACCCTGTCCCACTATCCTCCCCTCCCTCCCCTCCACCCGCCAGGGTGCGCATGCACTACGGGCACCCCGACGTGTTTGACCGCCTCTTCCACATCACGCGGGGCGGCATGAGCAAAGCGTCCAAGACCATCAACATCAGCGAAGACATCTTCGCCGGTACGCTAAATGCAGTGAAGGTGCATTCGCTGGGCCGCTATGTGCAGTGAAGGTGTAGTTGAGGCTGTGGCCTGTGTGAGACATGAGTGCAATTCCCACCCACATGGACCTGCTCCAAGATGTTTTCTTCCCTCCCGTTTCTCTTTTCGCCACTGTGACCCTATCTGCATGACCCCCCCTTCTCTATCGTCACTTCACCCCCCCCACTTCTCTCCGTGCTTCCCCCTCCCCAGGGTTCAACACCACATTGAGGCAGGGGAATGTGACCCACCACGAGTACATCCAAGTAAGTCCCACCTTGTGCCATGTGTGCTGCAATGTGTGCCCTGTCTTGCCATGCTGTCTTGCCATGCTGTCTTGCCACGCCCTGTCTTTCCACGCCCTGTCTTGCCATGCCATGCCATGCCATGCCATGCCATGCCATGCCATGCCATGCCATGCCATGCCATGCCCTGCTGACACGATTCCCGATTGAAAACCCTCCAGGCGAAGCTCACTCCAGCCACACTGGCATGCTGTGCCACGCACAACACGCCTTCTCTGCCGACCTCTACCTCCCACCAGCCCTCCCTAAACCTTCACCCCCCGTCACCGTTCTCGCACCCACTCTCTCTCTCTTTGTGCGTGCCAGGTGGGCAAGGGTCGGGATGTGGGTCTCAACCAGATCGCTCTCTTTGAGGCCAAGGTCGCCAGTGGCAACGGCGAGCAGGTGCGTGACAGTGTTGTGCTCTGGGGCAGGAGAGGTGGTGTGTATCTAGCTGCTATGCATGCCAGTTTGATCGTGCTCTGCTGCAGGAGAGCAGGTGCGCACCAGTTTGCTTGAGTATTTCGCCTCTAAACACTTAGTGGAGAACAGCTATGTGCCCAGCTGCTCCCGTCTACGGTGTATCTTCAACTAAGCATGTATGTGTGTCCGTGTCTGTGTATGTTTGTCCGTGTGTGCGTGCGTGCATGTGCGTGCGTGCGTGCGTGCGTGTGGGTGTGTGTGTGTGTGTGTGTGTGTGTGTGTGCGTGTGTGTGTGTGTGTGTGCGTGTGTGTGCGTGTGTGTGCATGTGTGTGCATGTGTGTGTGTGTGTGTGTGCACGCGCGTGCGTGTGCGTGTGCGTGTGCGTGTGTGTGTGTGCGTGTGTGTGTGTATGTGTGCGTGTGTGTGTGTGCGTGTGCGTGTGTGTGTGTGCGTGTGTGTGCATGCGTGTGTGTGTGTGTGTGTGCGTGTGTGTGCGTGTGTGTGTGTGTGCATGCGTGTGCATGTGTGTGTGTGTGTGTGTGTGCACATGCAGGTGTTATCTAGGGACATCTGTCGGCTGGGTCAGCTATTTGACTTCTATCGTCTCCTCTCCTTCTACTTCACCTCCGTTGGCTTCTTCCTCTGCACCGCTGTAAGCCACCGCTTTGAACCGTTCTTCACCAGTTTATTCTACCTCCAATATTCTCTCTGCACAAGTGTGTCAGTCGGCCCACTCCTCAAACCGCACGCTCCCTTTGTTTGCCCCCCTCCAACGCCTCCTGCCCCTGCTGCAGCTTACGTCCTTCTGTGCCTTCCTCTTCCTCTATGGACGGGTCTATCTGGTAAGCTACACGACCACCCCTACTCTCCGCTTTCTCCGCAGTTTTCCAGTGGAATTTTTGGGGGTCGACTCATTAGTCTGCGCCTTTTTTCCCCTTGTCTCCCCTTCACCCCTTCTGCTTCCTCCAAAGCCTCTCCAGAGTAGGGCAACTTTAGCTTATCAGCGCAAGAGCATGGCAGCTCTGGATTCAGCCATTTGTTTCTTTCTCATATCCCTTCTCTCTTTTTCGTCCCTCTTGTCCCCCCCCTTCCCCCCTTCTGCTTTCCCCCAGAGTCTGTCGGGCGTGGGGGCAACGCTGTCGTCGCAGAGTGAGAGTGTGGCGAACCTGGCGCTGGAGTCGGCCATCAACACGCAGTTCCTCATCCAGGCGGGCTTCTTCACCGCCGTGCCCATGATCATGGGCTTCATCCTCGAGCAGGGATTCCTCAGGGTAAGTGTGTTCTTTAGCCTGAATTTCTATTGCAAAGCTTACAGGCTTTCTCACCATTATCATGTCCCATGGGGTTCATTCTCAAGCAGGGCTCTGAGGGTCACGATGCTATTTTTGAGGCCCCTCAAAAATAGACTCTTCTGAGGGTCACGATGCTCGTTACCTTGTTCTCATTGCAAACTCGATTAGGCTTTTTCACTACCATGCCCATGATCGATCAAGGTGTTCACTCTTGAACAGGGCTTCCTGAGGGGGAGTAGGTTTCTTTGCGTTTCACCTCCTTAGTACTCTATGCAGCCCAAACCACTGCAGCGTACCCCTCACTCACATCCCCTCATTATCCCTGCACTCCCCCTCTCCATGCAATAAAAACTTTCTAAGGATGCCCGCTCTTGCACACTGTCCCCATTCCCCCCTCCTCTCCTCCCACCCACCAGGCCATAGTGAGTTTCATCACGATGCAGCTGCAGCTGGCGTCGGTCTTCTTCACCTTCTCCCTGGGCACGAGGGCGCACTACTTCCTGCGCACGCTGCTGCACGGCGGGGCCAAGTACCGCGCCACGGGGAGAGGCTTTGTGGTGCGCCACATCAAGTTTGCTGACAACTACCGCCTCTACTCGCGCTCCCACTTCACATACGGGTGTGTAACCCAGAAGGGTACTTTCTCTTACATGTCACAGTTTTGCCGTTAACTACCGCCTCTCCTCACCCACACACTTCACATGCGGGTGAGTCACACACTGCACGGAGGCACCAGCTCATGCCTCAATCACTTGCCCAAACACGCTTTCTACCTCCTCCCTGTACGTTGGCCCCAACCCCCGCTTGAGTTGGCTCAAAAGCAATCTCTTACTCGTATACCCGTCCTCCCTCCCCCCATATGTTGGCCTCTTCTTCCCCCGTTGTGCAGCCCACACAATGGTGCAGCATCGAGGCAATCATGCTGCTGACGGTGTACATGCTGTACGGGGGCACCAGCTCTGGCCTCGTCAGGCTTTCCTTACCCTTCTCCCTTGTGTCCATTTCTTCTCGTAATGCACTTTCCCTATCTTCCCCCCCTTCTCTCCCCCCCCCCCTCCCCCCTCTTCTGGCAGCATCGAGGCCATCATGCTGCTGACGGTCTACATGCTGTATGGGGGCACCAGCTCGGGGCTCGTCTATCTCCTCATCACAGTGTCCTCCTGGTTCCTCGCTCTCTCGTGGTGCTACGCACCCTACATCTTCAACCCAGCAGGCTTCGAATGGCAAAAGTAAGAGCTCTTTTCCATTTCCGCCGCCCCCTCCTCGCACTACTCCTGAATTCTGTTCCTCGCCCACTTCTGGTGTTACGCGCCCTACATCTTCAATCCAGTGGGGTTCGGATGGCAAAAGTAGGGCCCATTTTCTCCTCCTCTGCTTCCTCGTGTTTTCCTCGTGTTTTCCTCGTGTATTTCTCGTGTGCTCCTCGTTTGGTTACCCCACGCTGCTGCTTGCCGCCCTCGTGAGGTGTATTTGCCATCGCCCCTGCCCCGTCTCGATCGCCTCTTTCCCCTCACCCTCCCACCTGTGGCAGGACGGTGGCGGACTTTGAGGACTGGGTGGAGTGGCTGTGGTACAAGGGCGGCGTGGGGGTGAAGGGCGAGCAGAGCTGGGAGTCGTGGTGGGACGAGGAGACGGTGAGCGCTGAGAGGGGCAATGAGTGCACGTATTGTTCTGTGTGTGTGTGTGTGTGTGTGTGTGTGTGTGTGTGTGTGTGTGTGTGTGTGTGTGGTGCAGTGCTTGTGGTTCTGTGTATCTCGGGGCGTGGCGGTGAAGGGCGAGCAGAGCTGGGAGTCGTGGTGGGACGAGGAGACGGTGAGCGCTGGGAGAGGCAATGAGCTGGAATGGAGTGCGCATTGTTCTGTGTGTGTCTGTGTGTCTGTGTGAGTTTGTGTGTGTTTGTGTGTGTGCTTCTGTGTGTGCCGGGGCGTGGGGGTGAAGGGCGAGCAGAGCTGGGAGTCGTGGTGGGACAAGGAAGGAGACAGTGAGCTGGTGAACTGGGCAATGGCTTGATACAGCATGTACCCAATAGCTCACATGCATGCGTGTGTGTTTGTGCATGCTGTCTCTCCTCTCCTCTGCACATCTTGCCGCATACCTCCTTGCATCATGTGCATATCTCTGTGCCAAGCTTAAGCTGCGCCGATTTCACCCGGCCTTGCACAACCAGGAGCACATGCGCACCATCCGCAGCCGCATCATCCAAGTGATCCTCCTCCTGTGCTTCTTGTTTTGACACGCCCCGGAACTCAATGCGTGCCCATCCCATCCCACCCGCCCTTCCGCCACCAGGAGCACGTGCGCACGATCCGCAGCCGCATCATCCAAGTGATCCTCAACCTGCGCTTCTTCTTCGTGCCCTACGGCATCGTGTACCAGCTCAACGTGGCGCAGGGCAACACTAGCATCCTGGTCAGTGCCTCGGAACACTCCACATGTCTTGTGGTTGGAAGATCTTGCAAAAGCCTTCAAATTCAGGACTTCTCGTCATGCCTCTTGCCCATGTATTTTTTAGTGTTATGTCGGTTTGGTCTTCGTTAAACATTTATTTGTCCTACACTTCTCCTCATGACTCGCAGGTGTATGCATATGCGTGGATCATCTTTGTGGTCGTCGCCCTCGTCTTCTGGGTGAGTCACAGAATCTTCACAGGGACGTATATGTGAGCACCATCGCACATGCACATGCCCTCTCTTGCTGCTCACACCATCTCACAGCCCCTCCCGCTTTCCCTTGCCTCCTTCTAATTCCAAATCTCCTTCCTCCCTCTCTTCTCACCTACCCTACCACCCCCTCACTCACTCCACTCCCCCCCACCCCTCTTCTCACCCCATTGTCCCCCTCCCCTCTCGGTCTCCCGGCCCCACTTGTTCAGCTTCAAGCGTTCAACTTCTCGGGGGATGACTTCTGAGTCGACTCAAATGTCCCCCCCTCTCGGTCCCTCGGCCCCACCTGTTCAACTGCAGGTGTTCAACTTCTCGCGGGCGTGGGAGGCGCAGCTGCCGATCCGCCTGCTGCAGATCACCATGGCAGTGCTCTTCGTGATGTCCATCTCCGTGCTCGTCACCGTCACCTCTGTTTTTTAGTCGACTCAAACCCCCCAACCCCACTGCCCCACCCCCCGGCCCCACCTCTCAGGTGTTCAACTTCTCGCGGGCGTGGGAGGCGCAGCTGCCGATTCGGCTGCTGCAGATCAGCGTGGCGGTGCTCTTCGTGACGTCCATCGCCGTGCTCGTCACCGTCACCTCGCTCACTGTCGGCGACCTCTGCTCCATCATCTTCCTCTTCATCCCCCTCACTGGCTGGGGGCTCCTCCAGGTATGCGTTGTCTGTGTAGTGTAGTGTGATATGCCACTGTTAAGATCGTGAATTCTAACGTGCTATGCTTCCTCATACGGTACGATTGTTCTTTCCCATCTACGTCTCCTGTCCCGCTGACAAATTTCACCATTCCATTCTCCCGCGTTCTGCCTCCCTGCAGACCCCCTCCCTCGCCTTCCCTCTTGTGCCCCCCATCTCCCCCTGCCCCATCTACCCCCCTCCTCTCCCCCCCCACCCTTCAACCCTCTTTTCCCTGCTCGCAGTATCTCACCCCACTTATACTCACGTTAACCTATGTTCTCGCCTTCGTGCATGCCTCCTGGTTGACTCTACCGCAGGTGATTATAGCCCTGCGGCCCGTGCACAACAAGCGGCTATGGTGGTGGCGGCAGGTGCGCACTCTGGCACGTGTGTACGACGCAATCATGGGGGGAATGATCTTCCTGCCCGTGGCAGTGCTCTCGTGGTTCCCCTTCTTCTCCACCTTCCAGACCCGCCTTGTCTTCAACCAGGCCTTCTCCAGAGGCCTCGAGATCTCCCTCATCCTTGCTGGCAAGCCCTCCGATGCTACTGCTTAGGGTGGATATTGTCTTTGTACAGTGGGTGTAGTGTAGGTCTGTGTTGGTGCTTGCTGGTATGCAATGCAAGTAACAAAAACAGCTGGAAGGAAAGATGTGCTCATTTACGGTGGGGGCAAACTCGTGCTAAACTGCTTGGAGGGCTCTTTGCATGGTTTCAGAAGGCTAGGGATCGTACACACACACTACACTCCATCGTAGTCGGATATCGCAATGAGAATTGCAATGTAGGTTGCCACACATTTGGCCCACCATTGTGCTTGCTGCATGTTTCGGATAAGGACTAAAAGCCAAGAATGGAATATAACTCGATTGCCTACCTACCACCAATGTTTGGCTCACCAATGAATAGATGGTTTTGACAAATGGTTTCGATATTGATTCTAGATAACTTCATATTTCTTGCTAGAGGACTGTATGTAGTAATAGAGCATGTCATTGAAGGTTGACCACAATTTTCAAACTACTACCTGAATGATCTGCTAACGATGCCATCGTTATGAGACCACAAAATCACGCCACGTTCAGCTCACCCTTGAAGCCATACCTCGATCAGCGCCGTCGCGGTTCGGTGTAGACTCTCGCCACAAGCAACTGAGAGCCGGAGACTCGCTTTCAATTGGTCATTGCGTGGCACGAAACTAGAGCCATTAGCCATGGCTACGCACACATATCGAGCACGCGGTGCCGCTGCATTCAACAGAGCGAGCGAGGGCAACTTCCCAAGCCGAGGCGCAGAGGGGCTGCCTCACCCACAAACCTTTCAACCTTGTCACCTCCAGGGCTCAAACTGCTGCTTCCTAATTGGTGGAAATCAACACCTGGCGAGGGAGGGGAAAACGGAGTCTCCGAAACAACATCGTCACAACTCTCCAGAGGTGTGGGGGTAACAGCTTGGCTCCCATTTCGTTCACTCCAACCCGTTCCCCTCCCTCCCATTTTCTGCTGTGGGTGTTGTAGCTCGCCCTGACGAGAATGACTAGCCCACTGATAGCAGACACCTTTCATTACTGAACGCCCTTGGTATCGAGGTTACCTGGCATCACAACCAGGCGCCATTTCTACAGGGTCAGGCCTGCTGAAACGGGAGCTAGCTAGCCAGCTGTATTAATTTATAGAGGATGTTGTGACATTCATTTATCTCTTCCGGTAGCGGCTACTCCAGCCCCCAGTTGATGCTGTCGAGGAGATATGGAATCTTGTAGCAAGGGTAAAGGTGATGGCAACGGAGAGCAGTTAGGCTTCTGTAGAATATGTTTAGAGAGCAGTCCGTTACCTACACGACAAGAAACGGGTCTTTCAGCGATTTTCAACTGCGGTTTATCTTCGTCTGACGACAGCCTGATTTCTCCATGTGCTTGCACTGGTAAATAACCTGTGATTCCAGGAGTGTAGCACTAAACACGAGCAACGTCCGCTAGCGGATGTTGATAATTTTTCGGTTGAACGATTTAGTCGTTTGAAGAGTTCTCCTGACGAGAGCTGTTCATGCCTTTCCCTGGTCAAAGTTCCTTCGTGTTCGTCCTATCCAATATCGGAGTTAGTCTCTGCTATTCACGAGACGTTGAAGAGCATTCATGAGAAACCATTCGTAACGGTCGGGAGTGGAGAGATGGAAATGTTTGATTGTCGACAAACCTTCTTTCAATGCGATTTTACAGGAACTCAAGCGTACGTTCATCTTGCATGCCTAAGAAGATGGCAATGGGCTGTGATGGCATCTCGACATCCTGGAACGAACTACACACCGGCGCTAGTGTGAGTAGTTTTCACGCGTTTCATTTGCGCGATGCTGACTGAACCTTGCCTGAGTAGTTACTGAAATGCGTTTATTCCATTCACTGCATCCTCCTGATTCGTCTATCTTGTCATGGTCATCGTTATGATACTAAACTTCAATTCGATTTCACAGATGCTCCGTGTGCACACAACGTTTCTCGGTAGCGCCTCCCCGTTTGTCAATAGGCCTCAGGCTGCTTCGCCTGATTGAGTTCTACTCGCGTGAACTCACAGGCTTCTTCGTCTTCCTGGTACGCCTCGCTTCGTGATGCAACCTTTGCCTTCGTGGCTTGCGTTAAGATGACGCCATGTCGAAAACTACCAGATGATGTAATAAGGCTGACATTCACTGTCATTGTGCAGGTTACCTGCTACGTCTTGTTGGTGTTTCACGTGGAATTCGCCACACTCATTTTCCAGCTTCACTCTCTACTCCACACTATTTCCAGGTTTGTCCATAAAGAGGTTGATCTCGAGCCGAAGGCTGTGTTTTGTTCACTAACGCTTGCAGGTTCGATTTTGCAATTCCAGTTCTTACTGAATGACGTATTTTTTCCGTTGCTGATGACAATCTCAACCAATCGACAACATAGCCAGCATCACACCCGATCCGGCTGACCAGATGCTGTTGTACTGTTATTGGTCATAACGTACAAGCTCTTCTAGCAAGAATTACCAGATGCGCTGTCGAAACAATAACATATGGTGCCCCTGCTCCTGACGCAACTTCCATCAGAACACTCTGGCGCGAAGGCGCTTCTGTTTCTGTGCATCCTGGAATGCTTCTGGTCGCCTCCCCCTCCATGCCATTGGCGGCTTCCATCTTCTACCAATCAGTGGTACGATCTCTGAGTCATCTTAGGGTTCTCTCCGCGGTCCTGCTGATTTGTTGAGTTTTGTTCTTCTAACTAGCTTCTGTCAGCTGGTTTTTAACGCGAGGTGATTGCAGGTGCTGTTGTATGACTACCGTCCTTCAGTCGGAATAAGTGGCATTGTCATCAACAAACCCATGCAGGTGTGACACATTAACGTACTTCTTTTGCAGGCACTTTCTTGCTGGATCAGTTTCATCTCGGGTCTCACCGCTTTTATGCAGGATGATGAAATAGGAGCGCACCTTCTGGACCTTCCTAAATCCGTCCAGCGATCCTTGGCAAAAAATCAGCTCAACCTTGCGTGGGGAGGGCCACTTGGACAGTCTGACTGGTTGCTTCTTGAGCGTTGTCCATGCTGCGCCATGCCAACGCGAGCAAGGCGAATATGCTGCCGCTGCTCCTGTGCGAAGCACAGCCATGCTCACAGCCCTGATGGAGGCTGGTCGCGCCAAGTCCTGCCAGGCCTGATCATAGGCTCTGACCTACCCTCCATACAGATGCTTCCCAGGGAGCGAAAACCAGAAATTTCAGATCCAACGGTCAATGTTCGTTGCTTTTTGGGCCGGACGCACATTGAGCTGGAGTCAAATGCCACAAATTACGTTTTAGTTGGCCGGGCAGGTTGGCAGCCGGGGCAGCTGGAAGCGGAAATTCGAGCAGGGTGGTGGTTGGTGAGGGCGGATGAAGCAGTGGCTGCAATGTCTCTGCCTGTGGAAGAGATGTGGAGAATGCTTTCGCTAGCTCGACCTCAGGATGAGAAGCCAAATGGCTCAAGTCTGTGGACACAGGAAAGTGGGAGCGAGGAAGATGACACTTGGCGTTTGCAATAAGGGAGAGATGCAAATGGCTGGTGGCTCTTTTCTGGTTTGATCTGTCTGTCACACCATCCCAAGCAGTGTGCCACTCGTTTTGTGGCAATGCGTTGATGCAAATGGCTGAGCATCCAGTTTTTTCATTTGTCTTGCTGCAATGCTTTGTTTCAGTGGGTAGATGTGCTTGTCATGTCAGGCAGCCCATGCAATGTCTCTTTGCTTGGTGCTGCTCAAAGTCAATAAAGCAATGCTTTGTCTGCCAAAACAGCTGCTGTAAAGTACAAAACTGCTGACTCAGATGGCTGTGCATACAACATTGGTTCCCTGGTACTGAACACACTCAGCTCCAGACGGATTGCTTGATGTGGTGTCAGACTGCTCATGCATATCTGTGTGGTACATCCCAAAACTTCAGCCAACCTTTTGTCGCTTCTGCCTTTGATAATCACCCCCAAAATACAAATTTCCAGTCCAGTGGTAACTGCACATACAACATTGCTTCAAATTGCCGATACCAAGGATCCCTTGCACATTCTCAAGGATAGCGTTGCTGATAGGGTGGTGGTGGTTGAGGTGGAGGGGGGCCATGCCCCATCCCCTGTCCTCCATACTGTGCATGCCCAAACTGCCCCATGGGACCTCCCCCATGATACCCATCTCCTAAGCCACCAAGACCCATGTCCCCCCCAGGCCCATACCCTGGTCTCCCCATGCCCCCTTCCCCACCCATCCCCACATCCATCCCATATCCCATCCCTCCACCCAAGGGGCCGGGCCTACTCCCCCCTCCCTCAAAACCACCCTGCCCGGAGTAGCCTCCTCCTGGCCCCCCACCTCCCCCTCCCATGCTCGGATGTGCCAAGCCTCCAGGTCCGGCACTTGCCGGGCCTGGCGGCAGGTTTGGCGGCTGCCCATGGAGTGGAGGCGGCATGGAGTGAGCATGAGGAGGCGGAGGTGCGTGGGGAGGGAGGGAAGGAGGAGGGCCGGAGGAGGAGAGGGAGTGAGAGGCCTGGGGCCCAGGAGGATGGTACTGCCGCTGCGGATGCTGCTGGTACTGCTGGCCCTGCTGCTGACGGTACGGCTGCTGGTATTGCTCCTGATACTGCTGCTGCTGCTGCTGCTGCTGCTGGTAAGAGGGGCGTCTATCAGAGGAAGAGAAAGGCTGGGTGCTATGAGACTGAGAGTGTTGGTGGCGCCGCTGCTGCTGGTGCTGCGGCCGTGGGGGGTGGCGGGAACCCATACCCCCGCCAGAAGGGGGAGCAGAGGCGGGCCTTGGCGCTGCTGAGGGGGGTGGCTCCTTGGCAGGGGGAGGTCCTGGTGTGGGGCAAGGGGGGGAGGGATGGAGGAGTAAAGGGTAGGTAATGTGCAAGGGGGGGGAGGGATAGAGGGGTAAAGGGTAGGTAATGTGCAAGGGGGGAGCAGCCAGTGGGGCCAGCAGAGGGGGGAGCAGAGGCGGGACTTGGCTCTGAAAGGGGCTGTTCCTTGGCAGGGGGGGGTCCTGATGTGGGGCAAGGGGGGACTGGACTGAGGGGTAAAGAGTAGAGCGCACTGGGGAAGGGGGCACGTAGGGCCCAGAACTTGTTGGTCTGATCCCTGCTGCCGTTGCACACAAGCATAGACCCTCCCTTCTGCCTCCGCAAACAGCCTTCACCCTACACCCTCCACACTAACCAGCATATCCAGGAGGAACGGCAGCAGCAGCACTTACCAGCATAGCCAGGGGTGGCGGCGGCAGCAGCAGCACTTACCAGCATAGCCAGGGGTGGCGGTGGCAGCAGCAGCACTTACCAGCATAGCCAGGGGTGGCGGCGGCAGCAGCAGCACTTACCAGCATAGCCCGGGGTGGGTGGCAGCAGCAGCTGCACTCACCAGCATAGCCAGGGGTGGCGGCGGCAGCAGCAGCGGGAGAGGTGGTGTTGACCGAGCCAAGCGGGTCCTTGACAGCGTCACCGGGGCGGTTGCGGCTCCAGAACTTGGTGGTCTGATCCCTGCTGCCGCTGCACAGCGTGTGCCCCAGGGGGTGCCACGCGAGGGACAGCACCGAGTTCTCATGTGCTCCTGTGACTTCTGCTGCTGGCCCACTTGTATTTGAACTGCGAAGTGGTGAGGGGAGGTCCGGGGGTGGGGAGGGGGAGGAGCAAGGAGGAGGTGGGGGATTTGACTGCTACCTTCCCACCGTCCGTCCTACCATACCGCCACACCATGCCCCACCCATGCTCACCCATGCCCCACCCATGCTCACCCATGCCCCACCCATGCCCCACCCATACCCATGCCCCACCCATGCCCCACCCATGCCTCACCCATGCCCCACCCATGCCCCCCACCCATGCCGCACCCATGCTCATCCAGCGATCCAGAAGAGGATGCCCCCATCGGAGTCGCTACTGGCAATAAGGTTCTCGTGCACGGGATGCCAGGCAATGGACGGGACCTCTACCTTGTGCTGATGACATGCCTCCGTCTCTTACCCCACGATCCGGATTCCAGAACAGCATGCTGCCATCAGCCCACCCCATCTCCTATACCTAACACTTTGTCCCATGCTCACCCCACGATCCAGAAGAGGATGCTGCCATCGGAGCCGCCACTGGCGATGAGGTCCTCGTGCGCGGGATGCCGGGCGATGGACGCCACCTCCTAAACGTGCTGATGAAATGCCTCCATCTCTCACCCCACGATCCAGAAGAGGATGCTGCAATCGGAGCCGCCGCTGGCGATGAGGTCCTCGTGCACGGGGTGCCATGCGATGGCCGATACCTCTTACATGTGCGGATGAACTGCTTCCATCGCTTACCCGGTGATCCATTGCTCACCCCACGATCCAGAAGAGGATGCTGCCATCGGAGCCGCCGCTGGCGATGAGGTCCTCGTGCACGGGGTGCCATGCGATGGACGCCACCTCCTTGGTGTGGCCCTTGAACGCCTCCATCTCCTTGAGCGTGCGGATGTCGTACAGCTGGGGGAGGGAGAGGAAAGGGGGTTGGGGTAGGGGAAGAGGGGGTGGGGAGGGTGGAGAAAGTGGTGCAGGGTGCAGAAGAAGCGATGGACGCCACCTCCTTGGTGTGGCCCTTGAACGCCTCCATCTCCTTGAGCGTGCGGATTTCGTACAGCAGGGTGTTGCGCAGTGAGAGAGAGGAGGACGAGTAGAGTACAGAAGAGCCTGGTGTCTTTTGAGTCGACTCAAAAGCCCCTCGAATGAATGCCGTACGAAGCTGTCCAGCCTGTCCTCACGAGACTCTCGCAAGAACTCACTTTGGCCAGCTCTCTAGTCAAAAGCCACGCACCTTCACGAGTTGATCGTCGGAGGAAGAAGCGAGCCAGTTGCCATTCCGGTTCCACGCCACCGACCGCACCGTGCGCTTGTGGCCGTACCTGGTGGTGGGTGATGGTGGGTGATGGTGGGTGATGGTGGGCGATGGTGGGCGATGGTGGGTGATGATGGGCGATGGTGGATGGGTGATGGGTGGGTGATGGTGGGCGATGGTGAGCGATGGTGGGTGTGGATGGGTGATGGGTGGGGGAAATTATTGATGGTCGTTGCTTTGAAAAACGGCTGCCTGAAGTTGCCTCAGAACATTCTGGTTCCTGAGGCGCCTCAAAAGTTGCCTCAGAACATTCTGGTCCGATGGGATTCGATCCGCCACGCCACCGACCGCACCCTGCGCTTGTGCCCGTACCTGGTGATGGGTGATGGGTGATGGGTGATGGGTGATGGGTGATGGGTGATGGGTGATGGTGGATGGCGGATGGTCAATAAGGGACCAACTAGCATGCTGTACTCAGCGCCAGACTCAAAGCGACCTCGCCATAGTCTTCTATCAGCATGTTTCTAGTAGTTAGTTCTCAAGCATATCAAGTCAGCAGCGTACTCACGGCGTGCACACCTCCCTCCCTGTGCCTGTGCGTGCATCCCAGAGATAACAATCTCATTCCGAGACGTCGAAAAAACTGGATGGTTATCGCCATCTCTCAACCGTACCACAAGGGCATACTCACAGCGTGCACACCTCCCTCCCTGTGCGCGCATCCCAGAGCTTCGAGTGAGTGTCCTTGCCGCCTGATCGAGGGGAATGGGATGATGGGGGGAACGAACGGATGGAAGGAATACCAAGGTTCAGGTGGACTCCACTTTTGAATCTTATGAAAAGAAAAACAGGTGCGCCGAGATGGCAGAACACCAAGGTTCAGGTGGACAGCACTTTTGAGGCGCTTCAAAAGTGGACTGCACTTTTTGAAACTTATGAAAAGGAAAAGCAGGTGATTTTTTAGTCGACTCAAAAAGAACTTATGAAAAGAAAAAGCAGGTACACCAAGATGACAGAACACCAAGGTTCCTCAGGCGGGCTGAGAGAGCGCGAGGACGAGGAAGAGAGATAGGATAAATGTACCCGAGACAATGAGCGAGTTGAAGGGGTGCCAGTCCACGCACAGCACGTTCCACCGGTGGCCCGCCAGCGTCAGCTCGTCCTGGCACCTGGCGAAATCCCACACCTTGACGGCCGTGTCGTCCGAGCACGAGCAGAACTTGAGGTCCGAGCTGGAGAAGCTGCAGGCAGGAGGGGGAAGGGGTGGAAGGGGGTGGGGGGTCGTGGTTGGAGTGGGGAGAGCACGAGCAGAACTTGAGGTCCGAGCTCGAGAAGCTGTGAAATAGTGTGGCAGGGGGGTTTTGGTTGCAGGGTAAAATAACGGTCCGAATCAGACAAAGGGGCGTTGTTTGAAGAGGGGAGGTGAGGCGAGGAGCATGAGGGGAGAGGAGTGCTCTGGCCGCTTGTCCTCACCTGACGCCCTGCACGGATTCCTTGTGCGCCGTGGCATTCTCCTTCATCATTCGTAGGTTGGTCTGAAAGTACCTGCCAGTCAACGCAGTCAATGCAGTCAATGCAGCCAATGCAGCCAATGCAGTCAATGAAGTCAACGCAGGGGGAGAGATTTTTTAGAGATTTCAAGTGCAGTCAATGCAGTGAATGTAGCCAATGCAGGCAACCCAGGCAATAAAACTCGGTGTGGAGGAAAGGGGTCAAGACAGTGAGGGACAGGGGAAAGGGAAAAGGATGACCCAGTCAAGCGGCCAATGCTGCACACCATCAGGCTTGGTGGGGAATGAGGACGGACGGAGTGCCCGGAACATCATTGACTGGTGCCCAGAACGTCAATGAGTCCCGCTCTAGGGCTAGGCTAACTCCACCAGTGCTACATGAGAGCGCCAGCTCTCACTTGATGCACCCAGCTCTCACTTGATGCACCCTGAGTCGTCCCCAGACACCAGCCAGTTGCCGTTGTTGCTCCACACCATTGACCGCACTGCCACCTGGTGAGCCTGCAGAGTGGTGAAGAGTGGTATTTGAAGGTGGTGTGTGGTGTTTGGACATCAGAGGGGTGGCAGAACACAGTTGCCTGCTCCACACGTTTGACCACACTGCCACCTGGTGAGCCTGGTGTGGTGCAGAGCGGGTGTGGATGTGAGGAGGAGGCCAGGGCAGCACATAGGGAAAAAAGGGGTTGCAAGGCGCTGTTGCTCGCTCCACACCAACGACCACACCGCCACCTGGTGAGCGTGCAGGATGTGGGTGGGTGGGTGGATGTGAGGTGCCATCCACCCACCCTGCAGGAGAGCTGTGCCAAGCAAGGGATATGCAGTGGGAGCTTTTGAGGCGCCGCAAAAGCAGTCCTGCAGTCCTGAGATCCGTGCTAAGCAAGGGATGCACAGAGGACTCCACAGCCGTGTCAGGACTGCAAAACCCTCAAGCGGTGCAGAATGGTGCACCTCCACAACACCATGGTCACAGCTCGCACTGCCGCCACCTGGTGAGCCTGCAAAGCGGTGCAGAATGGTGCAGAATGGTGCACATCGTTGCATGAGGGTGGTGTGTGCGCCGTGCGGCGGTGCATTGCGCACCAGAGTCACTTCCCAGAACAGCACCATCCTCATCTGCACCACCAGTCACCTGCACCACCCTCACCTGCACCACCAGTCACCTGCACCACCAGTCACCTGCACCACCAGTCACCTGCATGAGCATCTCGAAGTTGAATGAGAGCCCGTTCCACAGCGTGAACTCGCCACTCTGCGACCCCGTCAGCAGGCGCCGCCCCGTGGGCGTCCACTGGGGCGGGTTGGGGAGAGTGGGGAGAGTGGGGAGAGTGGGGAGAGTGGGGAGAGTGGGGAGAGTGGGGAGAGTGGGGAGAGTGGGGAGAGTGGTGAGAGTGGGGAGAGTGGGGAGAGTGGGGAGAGTGGTGAGAGTGGGGAGAGTGGGGAGAGTGGGGAGAGTGGGGAGAGTGGGGAGAGTGGGGAGAGTGGGGAGAGTGGGGAGAGTGGGGAAAGACAGGTGCAGTGGGGAAGAGAGGGGAGACAGGCAGGACGGGAGGAGTGCTCTGAGGGGAAAGGGGAGGAGGCGGGTGAGAGGCGTTGGAAAGGGTAGGGCAGGGGCAGGTGGGGGCATGAGGAGGGTATAGATGAATGTGATGTGATGTGATGTGATGTGATGTGATGTGATGTGATGTCAAGTCATGTCATGTGATGTGATGTGATGTGATGTGATGTGATGTGATGTGATGTGATGTGATGTGATGTGATGTGATGTGATGTGGCAGTATGCTGTAGCATGCCATACCATCCAACACCACCACCCCATCCCATCTCATCCCATCCCATCCCATCCCATATCATCCCATTCTACCCATGCCATACCAGGGTTTGGTTGATTGGACAGCAGCGCCGCATCGCATCTCACCACGACCATACCATAACATACCCATCATGCCATGCCACATCACTCACGTCACTCTACCTGTGCCACGCCACGCCATACCACGACTTGGTTGATGGGGCAGCGGATCTTGTTGGTGGAGGCATGCACGAAGCGAGATGCGATGCTGGCAGCGGGCTGGTCTGCATACCCCATGCACGGCAGCAGCTGCACCGGTCGGGACACAGGGCGGGAGAAGGGAGCGGAGGGAGGGAGAAGGGAACGGGGGGGGGAGAAGGGAACGGGGGGAGGAAGTGGGAGAGGGGAAGTGGGGAGGAAAGGTGTGGCATGAGACGCCATGCTGGCAGCGGGCTGGTCCGCGTACCCCATGCACGGCAGCAGCTGCACGCAGGAGGTGGGGGAGGACGGCGAAAAGAGGGCCTACTCGTCTAAAAAGCCTCAGAGACGCAATGCTGGCAGGCAGCAGTCTGGACTGCGTACCCCGTGCAGAGGAGCAAGCAGCTGCACGCAGGAGGTGGGGGAGGCAAAAGAGGGGGAGGGCCGGGGGGGGGGGGAGGAGAGGGGAGAGGGGGGGCAGCTTGTTGAATCGGCATTCCGCCAACTACTAAGCATGCAATCAGCTCTCTGGGTCCCCCCTTCCCACCATCCTCTCCCCCGCCTTTCCTCCCCTCTTCTCCACCTTGATGGACGCAGACGTGAGCGGCGGCAGGGCAGGTGTCAGAGGCGAGCGGCGGCAGGGCAGGTGTCAGAGGCGAGCGGCGGCAGGGCAGGTGTCAGAGGCGAGCGGCGGCAGGGCAGGTGTCAGAGGCGAGCGGCGGCAGGGCAGGTGTCAGAGGCGAGCGGCGGCAGGGCAGGTGTCAGAGGCGAGCGGCGGCAGGGCAGGTGTCAGAGGCGAGCGGCGGCAGGGCAGGTGTCAGAGGCGAGCGGCGGCTGGGCAGGTGTCAGAGGCGAGCGGCGGCAGGGCAGGTGTCAGAGGCGAGCGGCGGCAGGGCAGGTGTCAGAGGCGAGCGGCGGCTGGGCAGGTGTCAGAGGCGAGCGGCGGCAGGGCAGGTGTCAGAGGCGAGCGGCGGCAGGGCAGGTGTCAGAGGCGAGCGGCGGCTGGGCAGGTGTCAGAGGCGAGCGGCGGCAGGGCAGGTGTCAGAGGCGAGCGGCGGCAGGGCAGGTGTCAGAGGCGAGCGGCGGCTGGGCAGGTGTCAGAGGCGAGCGGCGGCAGGGCAGGTGTCAGAGGCGAGCGGCGGCAGGGCAGGTGTCAGAGGCGAGCGGCGGCTGGGCAGGTGTCAGAGGCGAGCGGCGGCAGGGCAGGTGTCAGAGGCGAGCGGCGGCAGGGCAGGTGTCAGAGGCGAGCGGCGGCTGGGCAGGTGTCAGAGGCGAGCGGCGGCAGGGCAGGTGTCAGAGGCGAGCGGCGGCAGGGCAGGTGTCAGAGGCGAGCGGCGGCTGGGCAGGTGTCAGAGGCGAGCGGCGGCAGGGCAGGTGTCAGAGGCGAGCGGCGGCAGGGCAGGTGTCAGAGGCGAGCGGCGGCAGGGCAGGTGTCAGAGGCGAGCGGCGGCAGGGCAGGTGTCAGAGGCGTCCCTGAGGTGACTTTTGAGTCGACTCAAAAGTGGGGGGGGGGGTTGACTCAAAAGTCGCCTCCTCCCCTCTTCTCCACCTTGATGGAAGCAGAGGCGAGCGGCAGCAGGGCGTCAGAGGCGTCCCTGGCGTCCCTCCAACTGGTGCGCCCTCTCCTGCAAATAAAGCGCCACACTCGAGCTGCAGTGTCCACCTTCTCCCTCCCTCTCCCCCTCCCCTCTCCTCTCCCCCGCTCCCTCCCTCTCCCCCACCTTGATAGCCGCAGAGGCAACAGGAATGCAATCGGAGGCGTCCCGGGCGTCCCACTGGTGCATCCTCTCCTGCAGGTGCAGCGCCACCATCGAGCTGTAGACTGTAGTCCGCCCTCTCCCTTCCCATCCCCCATCACGCCCACCTTGATCGACGCCGAGGCGACAGGCAGGGCGTCAGAGGCGTCTCTGGCGTCCCACTGGTGCGCCCTCGCCTGCAAGTAAAGCGCCACCGTCGAGCTGTAGTCCACCGTGCGCCGCTGCATCGTCCGCCTCTGCATCCGGCGCGCTGGAGGCGGGTGGGTGTGGGGGGGGAGGGGGGGGGGGGGTAGGGGGAAGCGGACACCACAGTCAGTGGAGGGGGGGTTGCAGCGGAGCAGTGGAGCTGTGGTCCACCGTGCGCCGCTGCATCATCTGTCTCTGCATCCGGCGTGCTGGGTGTGGCGCAACGGGGGTGGGGGGGGGAAGGAACGAGCGAGTGCGTGTGTGTTGGCCGGTGGAAGCGGAGGAGCAAGGGGCGAGCAAGCTGCAGTCCACACCGCGGATGGGAGGTAGGGAGCTTGTTAGTTACCTTTTTCATAAGGGGGGGAGGAGAAGGGGAAGAATCAGCGCAGCGCACTTACCATCAAAGTATCCGCCTCTCCCGCCGAAATCTCCGCCACGTCCGCCACCATAGTCTCCCCTTCCGCCATACTCCCCCCTTCCCCCATACTCCCCCCTCCCGCCATACTCCCCGCGCCCCCCAAACCCTGCGCCAGGATGGAACCCCCCCTCAAACCCCCCTCCGCGCCCAAACGCGTGCCCCGGTCCCCCAGGTCCCGGTCCCCCGGGTCCTGGTCCGCCCGGCCCCGGAATGCCCGGCCCCGGACCAGGTCCCCCCATCCCCCCTCTCCCCGGACCAGGTCCTCCCCGGCCTGGTCCCCCCATCCCTGGTCCCCCCGGGCCTGGTCCCCCCATCCCCGGTCCCGATCCCCGCCCGGGGCCCGGCGCATGTCCGTAGGCGAACGGCGGAGGGGGCTGCGCCTGCTGCGGGGGGCCCGGCGGACCCGGCGGTCCTGGCGGCTGTTGTTGCATTACTGCTTCAGATTAACGCGTACGAGGCAAGGTCGCGGAAAGGCGGTATGCGGCGAGGTGTGAGAATGTTATGGAGACATTAGGGTGTGAGATCTACTAGCGTTGCTTTTCCCCGCAATCAACGTCTTTTGCCGGCGGAAGCCGCAATGCCTTTGAATGGACTCAAAAGCTTTCTCCTGCAATCAACCTCGTCTGCCGGCCCAAGCCGCAATGCCAGCTAAAGAAATGTTATCTTCCCGGGGGACCGTTCGCGCTGTCAGTTCCTTAGCTCGCGCTGACTGCAGCTATGGCGCCTTCAGTTCGTAAGATGAAACGCGCTCCTGGCTGATTGTGCAGGGTAGAAAGATTGGAGTCGAGTGGACAGGGAGGTCGTTTCAGGGTGGCTGTTGAGTGCATTTCTAGACACCCAGGTGAAATTGAATGTGATCCAGTCATCGTACCATCCCGAACCGTTCCGTTTCGCCTGACTGGGGTTTCGAAATGGACTCCACGCACACCGCGCCAAGTTTCATCGCTGCCAGATAAAAAAGCTCACCTTGCGGATCGAATGACGATCGCCTTGAGGATCATTTGAAGGCAAGATGTCGTTTCCCAGCACAGGACAAGATGTCGCAGTTTTTGCTCTTACAACAGTTTTGAATCATGTACCGTATTGGTTCGGATAATAGACTCAGCGCGTCTTTCAAGAAAATTGTTCTATCGTGTATTGCAGTGTTTTTCCCCACCGCACCACCACTCCAAATCGTAACCGCAAATCTCGAATCCGGGAGGCGCGTAAACGGCGGTGGAACGATGGAGATTCTAGAGAGGGAGGGCCACAGCGGCCCCCCGTTAGTGGACCACCTACCGATTCCCGAGACCGAGGAACTCCTGCTACACCCGCCGCCCGACTTCCACACCGCGCACGACGGCCCCTTCTCCCCGCACTCGCTGCGCGCCGCGCACTTAGCAAGCTCCCCGCCGTCGCATCCGCACACTTCCTCTCCCGCCAGGCGCGCGCGGGGATCGCGCGGGCATGGTAGTGAGATTAGCGAGGAGGATTATAGCGAGGATGAGGACAACGATGGGGACAGCCTCTTGGATCCGTCAGGGAAGCGAGGGAAGCGACGTCGACCGTTCGATTTAGATTTGGACCGACCGCTGGGATCGAGTTCCCTCCCTTTCCCCCTCTCCCTCCTCTCCTCACTTCCCTCCTCATTTTCCTCCTCCCTCTCGTCTTTCTGTTCAGATGCCACGTGGTTTCGATGGCCTGTAATCTCAGCCGTTGCGGTGATCATCCTCGTTATAATCTTCCTCACTTCCCCTGGTGCAGTATCCCCCACCACTACCACACCCCCATCGGACGGCTCAGATTCAACCTCTCTCTATCCCTCTGATCTCGACGGCTCAGGAGCCCATCCGTCGCGAGACCCCAGAGGTTACCGGCCGCTACCAGTCGATTCGTTCAAAGGCGTCGACGCGTCGAGTCTAGATCCGTCAACGTTACCGTCAGGCGAACGAGGCGCAGGGGGAGATGACTGGGGAACCGGCGCTGGCGGAAACTGGGGTGGCGGAAAACGGGGGCAAGACCCGCAGGAGGGGCTGTATCCGGACGCTAAGCCCGCGCGGGGAGGGGGGAGGTGGGGGAAAGCGGGCGCGGGGGCAGGCGCGGGGGGCGGGGGGCATTTGGGGGAAGAGGAGGCGGAGGTGGAGGATTATAGGGATTCCGCGGGGGTTGGGCGGGAGGGGGAGGTGGTTGGGGAAGATGGGAAGCGGAAGAGGAGCCGATTGGATGACGAGGTGGTGACGTGGCGAGGCGCGCCGTGGAGATTCGACGTTGGTGATTGGCTGAGCAGCTGCAATGGCGAGTCCGGGGTGGTGAAGACAGTGGAGGTGGGCGCAGGTGGAAGGGGGAGTGGGGAGGGGCTGAGGCGAAAGGGGGGATTGAGGGGGGTTGGGGGGGGGAAAGGGGGGATTGGGGGGGGGGGGCTGGGGGGGAAGGGGTAATCGAGGGGGGAGGAGGGAGGGAAGGTGCCAGAGGGGTGTTGTATGGATTCTCCCACCAAATGCTGATGTTTGTTCATGTGTCTGCATCCGTTTATGTATGCATGCATCCATGTGTGCATGCATCCATGTGTGCATGCATCCATGTGTGCATGCATCCATGTGTGCATGCATCCATGTGTGCATGCATCCATGTGTGCATGCATCCATGTGTGCATGCATCCATGTGTGCATGCATCCATGGGTCTTGAAATGACTTATGATCGTCTGGTATGCATGGGTTCTCACCCCACATGAATACATGCATGCATGGGTGAACATTCTGCATGCATGGGTGAACATTCTGCATGCATGGGTGAACATTCTGCAAGCGTGGGTGAGCATTCTGTATGCATGGGTGAACATTCTGCATGCATGGGTGAACATTCTGCATGCATGGGTGAACATTCTGCATGCATGGGTGAACATTCTGCATGCATGGGTGAACATTCTGCATGCATGGGTGAACATTCTGCATGCATGGGTGAACATTCTGCATGCATGGGTGAACATTCTGCATGCATGGGTGAACATTCTGCATGCATGGGTGAACATTCTGCATGCATGGGTGAACATTCTGCATGTATGCATGCATGGTGTCAACAGGAGGTGTACGGCAACAAGTGTGTGCAGGAGTGCAATGGGGTGGGCACATGCCAGCATGACACAGGACAATGCCGCTGCCGCATTGGTTACACAGGTGGGCTACAGCCCTCGTTACACAGGTGGGCTACAGCCGTCGCTACACAGCTGGGCTACAGCCATCGTTACACAGATGGGCTGCAGCCGTCGTTACACAGATGGGCTACAGCCCTCGCTACTCAGATGGGCTACAGCCCTCGCTACACAGATGGGCTACAGCCCTCGCTACAAAGATGGGCTACTGCTCTTGTCACAGACCTACACGTGCCATGCTAGTGAGTGAGAGCCCCCGAATTGAGTGAGGGCTGCATTGGCGGCTGGACTGGACACGCATCTTTGCACACCCATGTATCCGATCAGACTGCTTGCTGCCTATCCCCTCTTTTCCCCACCGCCCGGCTTACAGGAGCCGACTGTTTTCACATGGATGCACACCCCTGCACCTCGCCAACCCCATCTCCCCTTGGAAGTCGGAGCACAGCCAGCTGCTGCAGCAACACTGGCCGGGCATCAAACCGCTTGCTGCATATCCCCTCTTTTGCCCCCACCCCCCTCTCCCTCTGGCAGGAGCGGACTGTTCTCACATGGATGCGCACCCCTGCACCTCGCCAACCCCATCTCCCCCTGGAGCCCAGCCACCTGCTGCTGCTGCAGCGGGGGGCCTGGCTGGCAGCGTGGCGTCGTGTGCGGGCGAGTGCGACCTGCACTCGGGGCTGTGCTTCTGCGGCGCCGGCTCCCTCTTCCCCCTCCGACCCGTGCCCGACCCTTGCGGCTTCGCCCACGACCTGTGAGTTGCATTGCATGGGTACTGTGCCGTGGGTCGCTGTGGCTTGCAGTACACCATGCACCACCCCAGGCACTGCAGCCCACGCACGCACGCATGCACGCACGCACGCACGCAGGCACGCACGCACGCACGCACGCACGCATGCACGCACGCACTCCCCGCCCCAGCCATTCCCCCTCAGAGCAAGCCACAGCAGGGAGTGCGTGCGGGCGCTGTTCCAGAACACCTCCCCTTTCCCTCCCTCCCCACGCTCTCTGCTGCACCAGCACGCACTGCCCTGCCTGGTGCAACACATACATACACATCTCCCCCTCCCTTCCTCCCCCCATGCACCCCACCGCTCAGAGCAGCAGCAGCAGCAGCAGCAGACCGCACACGGGTGTGACATGGACGCCCTGTGCGCCAACAGCACGCTCTACCCCGGCTGGTGCAGTGCAGCACCTTCATTCTCTTTTCCTCCCCTCCTCCCATGCACCTGCAACCACTCAGAGCAGCAGCGGTGCACAGGACGAGAACCAGACAGCACACGGCCGCCCTGTGCGCCAACAGCACGCACTGCCCTGCCGGCTGCAACAGCTTCTTTTGAGTCGACTCAAAAACAGCACGCACTGCCCTGCCTGGTGCAGCAGCGTCAGACACATCCTCTTTCCCATCCGTCCCATGCACCCCCATCGACCAGGGCAGCAGCGGTGGACCGCACGCGGCGGGACACGGACGCTCTGTACGCCAACAGCACGCACTACCCTGGCTGGTGCAACACGCGCCCGGAGGACGTGGGGGTGGGCATGGGCGGCACCATGGCCATGGGGGGGGCAGAACCAAGGGCGCGGTGCACATGTGACTATGACGGCGCCGTGGGCACCTTTTGCCAGGTGCCTGTGGCGGCATTCTGCATCAACCAGTGCTCGGGCCATGGGACATGCATTCGAGGGCACTGCCAGGTGCGCGTGTGTGTAACTGATGTAACACGTACATGTAACATGGGCTGGGACGCAGCATGTTGTGGGGATGTTGCTGTGGGCACTTTCTTCTGCCAGGTGCCTGTGCCATGGCGGCATTCTGTGTCAATGAGGGCTCTGGCCATAGCACTGGCAGTCGAGGGCATTGCCAGGTGAGTAATAAGGCGTGGAGCCAAGGGTGCAGAGCCAAGGGCGAGGTGCACGTGTGAATATGACGTCATCGTGGCCACTTTCTTCTGCCAGTGGCCCGTGGCGGCCTTCTGCTTCAACCAGTGCTCTGGCCATGGCACGTGCATGTGCATTCGAGGGCATTGCCAGGTGAGGTGCTTGTAATGGGGCTCATTGTTGCCTTGCCTTCTTCTTCCTGTGTGGCTCACACTTAAATGTCAAATTACCTTACCTCCCCATGCACCACCCCCCCCCCCCCCGCCCTTCTCTCCCTCTCTCAGTGCAACGAGGGCTGGTTCAGCATTGACTGCAGCGTGCCATCCAAAGCTACCTTCGCCGACCCTCAGCTCCCGGCCTGGCTGCAGCCCTTCGACGAGGCAAAGAGGTTCGGCAGCGGCTCTGGCTTCCGAACATCGACCGAGCCTGGCTCAGCTGCCGAGCCTAGAAGGGGAGGAGGGGGAACGGCAGGGGGAGCGGGGGGGGGGAAGGGGGGAGGGAAGGCTCGTGGGCAAACAGAGGAGGAAGAGGAGGCGGCACTAGAAGCAGAGATGGGAGGGGAGGAGGGTGAAGGGGAGAGGGGGGATGAGGACGGGGGTGGTGGAAGGACATATGGGGGGAAGGCGGCACGGGCAGGGGAGAGGGGGGGAGGAGGGGATGGGGAGATGGGGTGGAGGAGACGCAGGAGAAGGAGACTGCTGGGAACTGATGGGGGGTTTGATGGAGGGCTTGATGGGGGGCTTGAGGGTGGGCGCGACCAAGGGAGGCGAGATGTGATTGGTGGTGAACGGACGGATACCCCTGGTGGCACTGGCACGGGTGATGATGGCAAGTGGGAGGCGCCTGTTGGCGCTGGCACGCGTGACGAGGTGGAACGCAGATGGCTTAGAGGGAGGCAGGAAGAGGAGGAGGAGGGGGAGGCAGAAGAAGCGGGTGGGGGAGAGTATGAGGGTGATGCGGATGCTGGGAGGGGTGCTGCTGCTGCTGGTGGCGGTGCTAGTGGCGGTGCTAGTGGCGGTGCTAGTGGTGGTGCTGGTGGTGGTGCTGGTGGTGGTCGGGCAGAGGCAGCAGGGGTGGCAGCAGCGGGAGGGCCCAACGAGGTGGTGAAACGGCGGCCGTTGATTTACATCTACGATCTGCCGCCGCAGTTCAACACCAACTTCCTGCAGGGGCGGCGGGGGAAGAAGGAGTGCGTGCCGCGGCTGTACGACCGCCTCAACCGCACGGCCTTCCTGCAGGACTACACCCATGGCATGGAGGTAAGTTTTTTTTTTCTTTCTTTCTTTTTCTTTCTTTCTTTCTTTCTTTCTTTCAGCATGCAATAAGTGTTCTGACTCTGCATCATGGCATTTGAATGAAGTTCACTTCTGGAGGCTAGCTAGCACAAAATACTTTCCCCCTTGCCTTGCCACCTTGGGGCATGAATCAGGCCAGTTCAACTCCGCCTCCATCCATTTCGCCCCTTCCCGTCCTGCCCACTTCTTCCCTGGTCCCTTCCGCTCCCCTTGCCCAGATCGCGCTGCACGAGGCGCTGCGGTCCAGCAAACACTGCACGACCAGCGCATATCACGCAGACTTCTTCTTCCCTCCCGCTTCCTTTCCCCCTCTCCCTCCCTCCCCTCCCCTTTGCCCCCCACCCCCAGATCGCGCTGCACGAGGCGCTGCTGTCCAGCAAGCACCGCACAACGAGTGCGGACGAAGCTGACTTCTTCTTTGTGCCCGTGTACGCCTCCTGCCTCTGGCTCCGACTCGCCAAGGCTGGCGATGCCTCTGGCATTCAGCTGCTGGTAGGACATTGAACATGCACCTTAGCAGGTAGGCCACAGGGGCACGCACCTCGCTACCTGGCAGGGCTGGTAGGGCAGCTTCTTGCTGTTGCTGACTTGAATCAAGCTTATGTTTCCTGGTTCCGCATCCTGTTCTCTCCACCCTTTTTCTCGTTTTATCCTCTCTCTTCACTCCCCTCCCTGCAGCCACACGTGCAGGGCAACTGGGCGTGGCATGTGGCGGAGCTATATGTGTCTCACTTCTTCCCTCCACATTCCCCTCTCTCCAAATTCCCCCCCCACCTTGCAGCCGCATGTGCAGGGCAGCTGGGCGTGGCACGTGGCGGAGCTGTATGCCTCTGTGCATCGCCACATCGTGCATGCCTACCCGCACTGGAACAGAAGCAGGGGCCGCGACCACCTCTGGGTAAGCAGTTGTCAGCCTTTGCTCTCTCATGGCGCTCTCTTGCGTGCAGTTTGTTTGTTTGCTTGTTTTTCCCCTGACTCTATTTCAGAGTCGGCTTGAAATGCGGCGTCTGCTTCAGGGTGGTGAGGTGAATTCATGGATTAGGTCTTGTATAGGTTGAAGTCCTATCTCCTGTGACTTCAACAATGCCTGGCCGCCTGTCTGCACTCCCCCTCTCCCCTTTTTCCTCCTTGCTCTTTCTCCCTCCCAGCCCAAGGGTACGGACGAGGGTGCGTGTCTAGCCCCCCAAGCCATCTGGCACGGCAGCATGCTGACGAGCTGCGGCAACAGCATGGCGGCGCACTGGCACTGGCACTCGCTCACGGCATAGCCGGAGATTCCCTCATGCACCCTCTTCCCTCCTCCCCTCGCCTTCGCCGTCTTCTCCCCCCCTTCCCCTCCCCCCCCCCCCCCCCCCCCCACACCACCACCAGCCCATGGGTACGGACGAGGGGGCATGCCTGGCTCCTCAAGCCATCTGGCACGGCAGCATGCTGACGAGCTGGGGCAATAGCATGGCGGCGCACTCGCACTCGCTCAAGGCGGCCGCGCAGCAGCGGTGGGACGACATCCCCCTGGGGCTGCGGGGCGGCCACCTGTGCTACTCCGCTGCCAAGGACATCGTGCTGCCAGCCTGGCTGCCGCCCAACGTGAAGCACCTGCATGAACAGTACTGGCTCAGGTAAGCTTGGCCTATGCTTGGATAAGGTAATTATGCATGAAGACGCCCTTTTCCATCCTTCGTGGTTCACATTGATAGTTATGCTTCCTTCCCTCCTCGCCTTCTCTCCTCCTCTCCTTCCCTCCTCCTCCTCCCTCTGTCCTCCACCCCACTCCATTCCATCCGTCCTGGCCAGGTCATTCGAGGAGAGGCAGAACCTCTTCTACTTCGCTGGAGACCTGGGGGGCGAGTACAAGGGGGGCTCGCCAGACAGCAGGTAGCCTCACTCACTGCCGTGCAATCGATCTGGCCATCAAGTGTGGGAGATATGGACAGGAAGGGGCCAATAGGCCAATAGGCATGATTGAATCAGGGCTGCTCATCCACGTCAGATCTTGAAAATCCGTTCCGTTTTGTTTCTCTCTTCTAGTTTCTCTTCTCTTGTTTTCTTCGTCCCTTCTCCCTGACATCTGACTTTGCCTATCCTCCTGCCTGCCGAGCCTGCAGGTTCAGCTTTGGCATTCGCCAGGCCGTGGCTCGGGAGTTTGCCTCGGTTCCAAATACCAGTGGGCAGCTGGGGTCGCAGCAGGAGGCTGGTGTGATTGTAACGAATGTGAGGGGGAAGGGCCACAGCACGCAGCTGGGCAACGCTCGGTTCTGCGGGGTCTTCCCGAGCGATGGCTTTAATGCAGACATGGAGGAAGCCATGGAGCATGGATGCATCCCACTCATCATTCAGGTGCATCCTTGTGATAAGGCAGTGGCATGAAAAAATCAATTTAAACCCCCCCTTCCCGACTCCCCCCCCCCCCCCCCCCCCCCCCCCCCCCCCCCCCGTCTCCCCCGCCCTCCGTCCTCCGACCTCCTGCTCCATCCATCTTTTTGCTCCACGTGGCTCTCCTGCCTGCCTCATATTCCAGCCTTTATGGCTCTCCTGCCTGCCTCATATTCCAGCCTTTATGGCTCTCCTGCCTGCCGCATATTCCAGCCTTTATGGCTCTCCTGCCTGCCTCATATTCCAGCCTTTATGGCTCTCCTGCCTGCCTCATATTCCAGCCTTTATGGCTATGGACTTTTCGTCTTTTCTCAGGGTTTCACGTTTTTTTGTCCTCTTGCCTCTCCCATTGGGTCTGCGTTCATTGGCTGGGCATGATGAATGGTGGACATGCATGCTTGCCATGTGCATGATGAATGGTGGGCATGCATGCTTGCCATGTGCATGATGAATGGTGGGCATGCATGCTTGCCATGTACATGATGAATGGTGGGCATGCATGCTTGCCATGTGCATGATGAATGGTGGGCATGCATGCTTGCCATGTGCATGATGAATGGTGGGCATGCATGCTTGCCATGTGCATGATGAATGGTGGGCATGCATGCTTGCCATGTGCAGGACGGCATTCACCTGCCATTTGAGAATGCCTTGGACTATGCTTCCTTCTCTGTGCGCATTGAGGAGAGGGACATCGCTGACATGCTCACAAAGCTCAAGGTGCTGCAAACATTATGGACCACCGCTAACTTGATGGTGTTTTCCACTGTTCCCTTCCTTATTCTTTCTTATATATATACATGTATATATATTTACATGTCATGTATTCCCCACGTCTCCTGTATCGTCTTATCTCTATCGTTTTGTATTCCTCTCAATCATGCCCTCCATGCTTTTTCCATCAGGCTATCACAGCAGAACGTGGGAGTGCGCTGCAGGCTACAGTGCAGAAGGTGTGGCAGCGGCTGTCGTACCACTCGGTGATCGCACAGGAAGCCAAGAGGCAGCAGGACGAGTATGGACACAACGAGGCATGGGCGTTTGGCATCAGCCTGCTGAAACACGATGACGCCATTGATACACTCATTGAGGTGTGTCTCTTCATCACCATATAAACCTCTATTGCTTTTCTTGCGCAGTACTGAGGCGTGTAACTCATCCATGACTAGTTGTGCTTGCAGGTTTTGCACTATAAGCTTCACAATGACAGATGGCGGAGGGTCTTCAATTACAAGCAGTCTCGTGAGGAGTTACAAAAGTATTTCGGTGTACCCAAATCATGTCTTGTCGTGTGATATAGATTGAAGGTACAATATCTGAGATACTTATGGTTTGCTATGTCTTGTTTGTCAGCAAGTTGTGAAACTAATTTTGCATCACACCTCACATCACATACCCAAGCAACCATGTGTACGGCTTTCATTGATGTGATGTGACATAATTGTAAGTGTGATATTCAAGTGGTAGCTGGTCAACATATTTATGTATTGTTATAGGCTAGATAGGTGCACGCCTTTAGAGAGTACAGCACTATAACACAAAACCTGCCTGTATGCCTCATTCTAGTCATCGTGTTATTCTAAGATGGTCTCACGCTAGGTTAGGTCCCCCTCCCCGCTTACTCTTCCACCCCTAGCCCTAGCCCTAGCGATAGCCCGTGTCCTAGCCGTGCCCTAGCCCTAGACGCACCCGCGCCCTAGCCCTAGCCGCGCCCGAGCCGCGCCCGCGCCCGCGCCCTAGTTCGCGCCGGCCCCGTCCCTCCGCGCCGGCCCCGCTAGTCTGTGCCGGCCCCGCTAGTCTGCGCCGGCCCCGCCAGTCCGTGCCGGCCCCGCCACTTCGCGCCGGCCCCGCTAGTTCGCGCCGGCCCCGCCCCTCCGCGCCAGCCCCGCTAGTCCACATCGGCCCCTAGTTCCCAGCGCCCACCCTAGTCCCTTGCTCGCCGCTGGCCTTTCGCATGCCGCGCGAGCCCGCTGGCCCCTAGCTCGCAGCTGGCCCCCAGCTCACCGCTGGCCCCTAGCTCGCCCGCTGGCCCCTCGCTCGCCGCTGGCCCTTCGCGCGCCGGGCGAGCCCTAGCCCGCTGGCCCCTAGCTCACTCGCTGGCCCTAGCTCGCCGTCCCCAGCTCGTCGACACTCGCTCGTCGGCCCACGCTCGCCGGCCCACGCTCGCTCGCCGCCCCCTAGCTCGCTGGCCCCAGTTCGCGCCGGCTCCTGTTCGTGTCGGTCCCCCGTTCGAGCCGCCCCTAGTTCGCACCAGCCCTTGTTCCTGCCGGCCCCAGATCCCCACGGTCTCTGCTTGCCGCCGTGCCGCTGTGTCCCCGTGTCGCCGTGCCGCCGTGTCCCCATTTCGCCGTGCCGCCGTGTCGCCGTGACGCCGTGCCGCTGCGCCAACTGCGGCCGTGCCGCTGTGCCATCGTCAGTTGCTGCAGCCTTGGCGATGGCGGACGCTGTGTTCCGCCTGGACGCGGAGGGTCGGGCGATTGACTTTGAGGCGTGGCTCGCCGACCTCCGCCGCTCGCTGAGGGGACAGCGCCAAGATGGCCAGTCTCTGACCGTCCACGTCGACGGTAAGATCCCCTGCCCGGACCAGCCTGCTGCCCTCTCAGACCCCCCCACGCCCGCTGAGCATGAGGCCTTTATAGTAGTTGAGCTCGCCCACTCTCTTTGGGAGTCGTGTGACGCAGTTGCGCAACTTGCTATCAATCGCGCCCCCCCCCTGTCTGAGCGCCCCCGCTACAAGGCCCTAGAGACTGCGAAGGAGTACTTAGATGCCGTCATTGCGCGCTATTCCACTCCCTCCTCCGCCTCTGCAGGCCGTCTTCTTCTCCCCTTGCTCTTCCCCGACCTTGCGTCCTTTCCCACTGTCGCTGATCTCGCCACTCACCTGCGCGCGCTAGAGGCTAGCTACCGCGCTGCTAGCACTGAGGCTCAACTCCTTGTACAGCCTCCCCCCCTCGGCACTACCCTATACTTTCTTGCAACGCGCCTTCCTGACCGCCTAGCCACTGCTCGCGGCCAATTCCTTGGTCTCCACCCTGCTGACCTCACCCTTGCTGGCTTTGTCACTACCCTGTCCGCGATAGAGACCCGCTAGCGCACTATCGCTTTGTCGAGCGATACTGCGGCAATCCCTATCTTCCAGGCCTGTGCTCCCTCCCAGTGCACTTACTCTGACGTCTTTGCTGATTTTGCTGAGACGACCTCTGCTGCTGAGACCGCTGCGGCAGCCTCAGCACAGTCTCGTCAGGGTAGGGATTGCCGGGTCCGGGGGGGGCCGTGGCGGCAGGAGGTGTGGCAGGGGTGGCGGAGGTGGCGGCGGTGGTGAAGAGGACGGTGGTGCAGACGAGGGGACCGGGGCTGGTGCCCCGGCACAGCAGCAGTAGCAGCAACAGCCCCAGCAGCAGCAGCAGCAACAGCCCCAGCAGCAGCAGCCGTAGGGACCCCGGCCGCCATGGTGGCCTGGAGGCTATGGTGGTGGTGGTCGTGGTAGTGGGCCGCCCAGCTCAGTGTCGGGTGGCAGCTCTAGTGCGGTGACCTGCCAGTACCAGCCTCAGCCTGGCCCCCGCCGCGGCACCGTCTGCGACCGTCCCGGTCACTCCGTCGCTCACTGCTACCGCCGCCTCGACGACCTCTTCCGTCTCCGGTTCGGCCCTGCGTCAGACCCTCCTGACTGACACAGCCCGGTACGTCGCCATGTGCAGATCTTTGAGATGGATATGGATCAGATCGCTTTGGTGAAAACTGGGCACTTTTAGCGTCTACCCAATTTTGAAGGGGGGAAGCGTGAGAGAATGGGGCTTGCTCACAACCATTTGCTATTTGCTATTTATTGTGTGTTTTTCCTTTCCTAGAAATCCCTACACTTTTTCGTATACAATGAGACATTATATATCATACTGTATGTGTTACGGAGTATTATGGACTTTCCTTGCGTGACACGTTTTCTATTGCGTGGAGTGTTCCGCCACCGTCACCGTATCTCTAGAATCTACCGTGCTTCTAGGTGGTGTTCCTACGGACGGTTCCACTCATTTTTCGAACTCTCTTAAAAGATCCTAGTTACCCTTCCCTAGAGTTCTTGTAAGTATAAATAAGATTGCGTCTTTGCTTGTAGACATTCAATTCTACATTCAATTCTTGATTCAATTCATGATTAGTATCTTCAAGCTTCCGCTAAATCCTGGACCTGTGACACAGCCGGCTGACGCTACCGCCGCGCTCTCTTTCACGCTAGACTCTGGTGCGTCTGCCAGCTTCTTTCGCGACCATACTGCACTCACGCTGCTTGCCGCCCCTTCAGCTGTCGTGCTTGTTGACCCCTTCTCAAGTCCGGTAGTTGCACGTAGCTCCACCACCATTCCCTGTCCAGCAGTTCCCTCGGGCTCTCTTATAGCCTGCACATGCCCTCGTTCTCCAGGAACCTAGTTGGTGTCGGCTGTCTTCAAGACCTCGGCGTCACCACTACATTCCCCGGACACGAGCGATACGCGGTCTGTACCGAGGCCGCCATTGGTTCCCCTCTCATCACGTTCCCCCGAGACACGGTGTTTGGCCTGTTTATGCTTGACACCGCATTCTCCCCGATGGGGGTGTCTCCCAAGGTGGCCGCGCCCTCCCAGGTCGCTGCGGCTTGCTCGTGTCGGTCGCTCACTTAACCGTCGCTTCTGTGGCACCACCATCTAGGTCACCCCGCACTCTCGCGTCTGCCTCACATGTCCCACCATGGTCTTGTCTTAGGTCTCCCTTCATCGCGCCTTGCCCTCCCTCCCTCGCCTGCGCCGCCGTGCACGCCCCCGCGTCGAGAGCCGTCTGCGCCATGCTCCTCACTCCTCTTCGCTTCCCCCTACCACTGCGCCACTCTAGACCCAGCATCTGGACGTTTGGGACCCAGCCCCCGTCCCTAGACCGCGTCGAGAGCGCTACTTTCTAGTGCTTGTCGACGACTATATGCGCTATACCATGGCGTTTCCCCTGGAGTGGAAGGCCGACGTGCTTGATGTTCTTATCCCGTGGGTCGTAGCTGTGCGAGTCCACCGCGGCCTCCCTGTGCTGCGTCTTCACTCCGACCGTGGCGGCGAGTTCGCCTCCGGTCGGCTTGGCCAGTTCTATCGTGCGAGGGCATTACCCAGTGGTACACCCTGCCGTACACCCCACAACAGAATGGGGTCGCTGAGCGACGCATCAGTTTGGTCATGGAGGTGGCTCGTACCTCCATTATCAATGCCGATGCACCCCATTTTCAGTGGCCATTCGCTGTTCGCTACGCCACTCATCAGGTTAACATGTGGCAACACTCCTAGTGGCCGCAGGTTTCGCCGACCCTCGTCTGGACCGGGTCCCTTAGTGACACATCTGCGTTCCACGCCTGGGGCTGCCTCCCTCACCTTTGTGCCTCTGGAACGGGCAAGCTCACCACCCGCACTAGCCTTGTGTCTGCCTTGGCTTCCCCCTAGACGCGTCTGACCTGCGCTTTTACCACCCGCCGTCTCACCATTTTTTTCACTCTCGTAACGTCACTTTTAATGAGTCTGTCTCCTTCTACACCCGCTTTCCCCACCAAGGTCTCCCGGTTGCCTCGCCCATGTTTCTGGTTCCCACTCCCCAGTAGCCCCTGCTCCTCTCCCTTCCCGTCGTGCCTCGTCTTGTGTGTCTCACGTCACTCCCCTCCCGTCGGTTGTCCCAGTAGAGGATTCGGCTGACTCTGGGGCGTGGCTCCAGTTTCGCTGCCTGCCTCCGCCCCGGTGTCTCCACCTCTGCTGCCGCAGCAGCCGCCGCCGTCGCCGCCGCAGCAGCAGCCGTCGTCGTCGCCGTTGTAGCCGCAGCAGTAGCCAGAGTCGCCGCCGCTGCAGGGGTCCGCGAGCTCTGGGGGTGCGGGCATTGAGGAAGGTGCTAGTCCTGAGGGTACTATCGTGGCTTGTCCCGGCGGTCCTGTGGATGGCACCGGTACTGGAGAGGGTTCTCGTTTTGGGGGTGCTGTCGTGGAGTGTCCAGGAGGTAGCCGTGGTGCGGCTGGAGGTTTTGACATCGGCGTGGAGCAGCATCAGTAGTCGCCGCTAGTGTCCGCCCTTCGCCTCCTGAGTCTTCACTCCCCTGACCGCCCGCCTGCGCCTCCCCTGCCGCCGCCTCCCCCGCCTGTCTACGGCCCTGTGTTTCCTCCGCCTTACTCATCCCCGGCTCGTTTCCCCCATCGTTCTGCTCCTGTGTCTCCTCCCTTGTCTCCTAACCTGACCCCCCCTCCCACTGGTGGTCTCATTGTGCCACTCGTGCTCGTCCTGTTTCTCTTGTCCAGTGCTCTCACCCTATGTTGCTCCGCTCTCACGCGTCTCGTGCTCCTCTTCTAACGTTGCCTCCTCCGTCGTCGTTAGTTGTCTCTCCGCCTCCTCTCTCTGACTTCCTC